ACAGCGTTGACGTGGTCTACGTTATTAGCTGTGCTTCTAAGTTAATCAATACAGTGTTGAAGAGGTTGTGGTTCTGAGTTCATGAAAACAGCGTTGAAGTGGTTAGCCGTGCTTCTAAGTCACTGAATACAATGCAATGTTAACATGGTTAACGTGGTTAGCAGTGCTTACAAGTCCATGTACACAGCGTTGACGTGGTTAGCTGTGCTTCTAAGTTCACAAATACAGCAATGGAGTTGTTAGTTCAGAAGCATTCTATGGTTTTAATTGCCATGAAGTACCTGTTTAAAATACCTGTTTTTCACTGTGTTTCCAGGCAACAACACTACATTATTATGATAATAAATATAGCCAATTATTAGAACACTGTGACCTCAACACGTCCTCAGTCTGGTTCTACCATGAGTTTTCAGGCGCATATTCTAAGTGACATCTTTATGTCAGCTTTCTCAGACAGAAAAGTGACCAAGAGGACCGATCACTCAGCCAATCAGCTCTCAGTTAAGATAATATTTATTGCTGATGCAAGTCAATCTTACATTTGTGTGAGACACATTTACTCGAGTGAAACCACACATTTCAATAAACAGCTCATCCACTCATTCAGCCCACACACATGTGGACTTTACTGAAGACAAATACGTACGCAATGTTGCCATACACATTTAGAATGTGTTTTGCAAAGTTTACCAATTGTTAAGTTCATTATGAATCACACAGTTTGACATTGCATATTGACAAAGGGACATTGGAGTTATAATTGAAATGGGAAAGTGCTGTTCAGTATTACAAATCAAACACCACTTCATTTGGCAAACTGACCATTTTATGTTAACAATCAGACATTTTAAAGTGCCATCAGTTTAAGAGTTTTAGCACTGCCACAGAGACATGTTTTCCTCACGTACAGAAAACTGGTCAACAAAGACGTCAGTACATTATTTTCACATGTCATGGAAAGTTAACCTCCCCATCTTGACAACATGGCTTCTACATGTTTTCCCCTCAAATGTGAACTGTTAATGAACCAAATATGATCTATAAGTCATTTTCCCATTTATCACCATAAATATAGATTTTGCCTGATTCTGTAAAATGTGGAGCTTATACAAACAGGCTTCACGGGTCATTGTCACCCAGTTCCTGTATCCCCTGCTGGTCCTGGGCCACAGCATCGACCAGCAAGCTTGTAAGAGAAGAGAAGAGACTACATATTGTTTGTTTTGATCATTTTATTAAATTCCGTATTTTTGAAATGATTGTATAAATGTTTGCACAGTAGCCCCCTGCTGTCCTGAGGGCTCTCAGAGTTCTCTTCAGGGCTGTGGGCTCCATCACATGAGGCTCCTCCAATGGATATGTGAAAGTGCCCTCAGGAGAACCTCCCTCTGACAGTCTGGCTTCTCTCTCCAAACTGAACTTGGACTGGACCGGTTTTAAACAAGCCAGTTGTGTGACCATCTATGACTTGGGGAACACCTGCCTTTGTGCAATAGATAGATAGAGAGTTGTGTTCAAAGCCCTTGAGGGATTGACTTTGCAAATCAGCTGTGGGTATAAATGTTTAATACTTCACATTGTGTCCCTATCAAATAAATAAATAGTAAAAATGACTGTATTGTCCATCAACTGCAGTGTACGGATTCAGCTTAAAAACCCGCCTGAAGGCCAGCCGCTTATTAGTATTTCTTTACAGATGTGTTTAGATATAGAGTCAACAGGAAGCAGCTCGTAGATGATCCGTGGCGCAGACAAACTGTTGTGGTGTTTGTGTAGAGACAGCATGTACCATCAGATATCCACACAGAAAAGTCCAAGTATAGAACAAATCTATTTAAACTACATTATAAAGTATGCCAACAGTATGAAGGAATCCTGCCTTCTAACAAAATATATTCTATTTTAGTCAACTAACACTAAAGAATAACACTACAATTTCTTGTCAAAATGAACACAGACAAATTCTCAGTTTAAAGCTGGTCTTTGGTGGTGGATTCAGTGAACCAATGAGATGAGGACCGGAGGAGGGACTCGACCAGACTAGACCAGTATCTCTTCTCCATCCCAGGCCCCAGTGCAGACCACACCAGCTCCTGTCACACGGTAAGACAAGCTCATTCACTCATTTACTCATTCCCTCCTTCAGACTTTTGATAATGTACCTTACTGGCATCCCCATTTCTCATTTACAACAACAAAAGCTGCCCAGCAACTGTGCAAAGATAAATGTTATGCTGTGTTTTTCATACTATACTATAACTCATATAGAACTTTGAGGTTACTTCCAATTTGATTCATTTTTTCCTTTTACTATTTTGCTCATTCATTGAAAAACAAGGCAACAACAATATTTTAGTTTGAATGAAAAGGAGCAGAAAAAAGTACAAATTTATCACGTTTGCCCGCTCAAAACACAAAAATACATTATCAAAGCCGACCTGCTACTCTGCATGTTTTTAAACATTTATCATTTAACATTCTTCCTAAACAATAGAATGGATTCGGGAGATTGAGAGACATCTTTCCTTTGAGGCTGATTGAATATAAACTGCCCTTTCTCTTTGTAAAGCAATGTTACGTAAAGGAAAACAGAACTTTGATTAAACTACACATTAGAACAAATGTGAGCGCAGAGCTTCAGACAAAGGTGTGGCTGCATTAAAGTGTGTTTTGTAAAAAGCCCTCTCCCCGACACTGTCCCATCGAAGCCAGACACCTGTGGACCTGGGGGTGTGCCAATGATAATGTAGCAATATCGATATTCCAATATTTTGTCTCACTGGTGCTTAATGACGTGCTAATTCCAAGTACTTGGTTTGACAGGTGTATTTTTAGAGCAATGATTATTATTTACAATGATATTGTAAGTGCCATAGTGGAAATTCGTTGAACACAGAGCAAGACTCTAGATCCATGTTTTACTCCCAGACATGAAACTGGCCAACAAAATCACTTTAAAACTTATTTTTAACATGTTTTAAAGTGAGAAAGTCCTCATTTTTGACACAAATGCAGTAAATTAAATGTGAATATTTGGAGTAGATGGACCTGTGGGGAAAAGAGCCAATGGAAGTCAAAAACCTAACAGTCCTGCAACTTTTTTTAAATTCTAATTTGGATGGGTGCAACTTTGTAGATAAGTTCCTTCTTTAGTCCCACGATGACACTCTACTATTGCAGCAAGACATCATCAGTAAAACTAAAAACTAAAAACTCACTGCGGTCTAAACAATCCGACGCTTGGTGAATGAAATTTTACAAACAAAGTCCGCCATACCCAGTCTTCTTCCCCAGTTCTGAGTCAAGCACAGCCATACTCATTATTTTAACTAATTCTCGCAAAAAATAAAAATGTGTTCAAAAAACCTCCAATAAAAAGTAAGTAAATGAACAAAAGCACCGACATAAACAAAGCAAGAAACTTTGAACTGGACATAATCATGATGTTTTATTGACAATGAAATGATCTAGGTCTATGATGGTTGAGTAAAATCTTTGAAAAGCTGAAATAGATATTAAAGTTGCTGAGGAAGTACAGGAGTGATATTTATGATAACGTTATCTAAAAACATTGGCAATAGGGTTGTTCTGCTCAAATTTGTCAGTGGAATAAAATGGTTTCTAGATGAAATTGTTTATTAATGAAATGGGCTTTTCTGATAAAGGTGTAAAAGTGGAATCATCAGGAAAAATGGCCGAAGTATTTTGTTGTGAATGAAAACAACAGCAGATATATATATAAACAACAGCCGTGATATCATGTATACTTGAGAGACTGGGTGCCAATCATACAAACCTGTCGATTTTTTTTTTTTTTCTTTAATTTCATGGTCCCAGTCAAATGCAGATAGATCACATGTTTGAATTATGTTGAAAAGTGTCAAACAAACAAAATCAATAGTGAATGGTGACAAGTAACAAGGGCCAAATAAGAACGCAACATTACATTATCAAGAGGCACTGTCTTTCCAGTGATGCAAAAAAAAGTTGGGGGGAAACTTTGTACTTTATCTGATAATGTGGTGGGAAAGTATTAGACACATTTCTGTAAAGTGAATGTGGATGAAAACCTACTTATTGATTTCATGTATTCTCTATAATCAGAAGTTTTATTGTAAATGCAAAATCCTCCTGCGCAATGACGACAGGTGGAAACTAAAATGTTAAAATGTTATTATTTTTTCTATTCATGAGACTTTTTGATTAATGTTTGTGTGCTGCCCCCAAACAAAGATTCAAAGTTACGGAACACTGAGTACCTGCTTTGATATGTATTATACAACATATTCTGATACACAGAAGAATGATCTTTAAAGTGTTTGTCACATTCAGACAGATCGTGTTACAGTTACGCGTGTGTCAGAAGCTTCCCTTCGTGTTGTTGGAATCCCACGTTTACTACAGTCATCACTATAGTTTTACTTTCAGTCACTCGTCAGGTGCGTGGCTTCTGCGTGTGCAGGTGCCTCAGGAGTCGGGGGATGCTAAAATGAAATGAAATACAATACATTTTCTATTTAGTGACATACTTTTTCCCTCCCTCTCTTTTTTAATATATATTTTTTTACTTGAATAACAACTCATCTTCACTTAATGAAATATAAATGCATCAATAGTGTTGTGTTTTGTTTAAATGTAGCGGACTATTTTCTATTCATGTAGATATCGAATTATTACAATTATATATAATTCTTGTGCACAAAACTTGATCCAATATACAGTATGTATTTTTAAAACATAAGTTAAACAAAAATATTTTATAAAAGTTGTTGTAAAAGAAGTAATGGTAGTAATTTTAAGAAATGTTATGATGATTGAATGTTCTTTTTATGCATGTATTTATCTATTTTACCTTTTATAACTTGTTTGCACTGAGAGCCAAAGCTATTTCCTAGTTTGTACTTTCCGGTTACTCACAGTGGCGATCAAAATAATTCTGATATTTGACTCTGATATTGACAGCGACACTATCTCTCTACAGTTTTTCGGGTGTTTCAAGGATGCTCCGGCTGCAGAATCCTCAGTCCTTCCACTTCCTCCCAAGAGCCGACGTCCTGAGACACTCTAATGTCCTCTGCGACGCTGCAATCTGCGTGGACGGCCACTTGTTCCAGGCTCACCGCCTGGTCCTGGCCTGCACCAGCCGAGCTCTGGCCCGGCTCATGTCCCTGCAGCAGGATGGCCGGGTCCAGTGCGGCGTGCAGGGCGTGTCCGCACGCACCTTCAAACAACTGCTGGACTACATCTACGCTCAAGTCGTGGAGGTGACCGAGCCAGAGCTGCAGACGCTTCTGCGCGGCGCTCAGCTGCTGGAGATGGACGGGTTGGAAGAGCAGTGCAAAACACTGCTTCTCAAACTCCAAAAACCCAACACAGAGACGACAAACTGCATCACACCTGCACCAAAAACCGGCAAAGAGGTCAAAGAGGAGCTTTTGATCTGCAAACGCAAAGAAACCGCAGAAGAAGTCAGTGAAGAAAAGTCGCATCAGAAAGCTCAAACTCTGTCCCAGAATCCCCGGGACAGCGTGATCACCTCTAGCGTCCTGTCCTCTCCCTGGACTCTACCAGCCCATGTGTGGAACTCGGTCAGCACGTTGAGACACATTGCTCAGAACTACTCGCTGATGTCGATGCCCAATACCTTATGCTCCCTGTCCATGCCCCCCCACCGTGTGCTGCTGTCGTCGGCCTTCCACAGACCGGCCCGGGACTTAAACAGACTGGCCCGGGACTTGCACAGACCGGCCCAGGCCATGTCAGTGCCAGATTTCCCGTCTGAGACCGGTCCTTTGAGGGCGGGAAGCTTCATCGCGCAGGGGCTAAAGAGGAAGAAGCTCAAGGACAGGGCCTCAAGGACAAGGACTCAGGACAGGACCAGGTCAGTCACTTTTCATTATTCAATGAAGAACAAGTGCATGGTTTCATTAGTTCTGAGTAAATTAGTTAAATTTTTTCGGTCAATACCCACTGCATTAAAACACAATTATTTCAAGCAAAAACTTTCCTTCCACATCGAGTGTCAAATCAACTCTGCATTCAATTCGCCTTGTAATCTAGTATTTTTGACGAGGTGTGTTAAGAGCTGTTCAGACTGGATCATGCGTTGCGTTCAATTTCACTGCAAAGTCAAAGCCAATCAGAGAGCTGCAAAGTGATCACGGGGACTAGAGGTCAGAGCAAGAAGACTGAAGACACTCATAAACAGCCAAAACAGGAGCTAAACCAAGCTCCCCTATTGACAATAGGGTACACCGTGCTTGTGAACATATGCCTCCAGCCTGAGTTCTCATTCTCCAGTGACTGTAAAGAAGTGCTGCTAACATGTTCGCCAATGCAGAAGTGCTGTTTAATAATAAAACAAACTTAAGGCGCAGCTCCGTGAACATGCATCTGAGATGCATTCTTGGAGAAAAGCTGTTCACAAAAAGCAGCTAGCCCTCCGTTAGCATCAAAGTTCACCCGTAACTCCTGCCTTGCATTTTTTTACTCATCGCAGGGCAGTACTTCAGATTTTCTAAACTTGTGCGGCTGAAATTTAGAAAATGTGTGTCCAGTGCAAGTGGAGGCTGCGTTCAAATATGTGTAATCTCTTTACATGCTGTGGGAATGAGGCTGCAGAGCTAGAAACAGTCAAAACAGGAGCGGAGGGTAGGGGGGAGAAATGGCGTCTCGGTTGTAAGAGACTATACACGATTCTCAAACATGGATGAATAATTGTGAAAAACAATGGTGAGTGTCTGACAAGAGGAAAGAACTTGAGGTGAAAAGATAATTTTGGAATTTATGTAACCTTGCACATTATTTGTACTTACCGCCTCTAAATGAAAATGAAAGTGGCAAAAAGTTAAACAATTTCTCTGTCAGAAAACATAATATAAAGGGGGGATTTTTTTTTACAAATAGTAAATAGTTGATATAATACTTAAAGCTAGTGTACCTAACTTGGAAACCACAAAAAAATATGCAATCTAATAAAATCTGTGTAACTAGTTTCTTTGCTCTCAAAACAGTTTGATTCAATCACTAGTTTTCACATACATGTTTTACATACAGGAATTTTGTCACATGTTTGGATCAGCTTTTGCAGTGAAAAAAAGAGGACCAGCCCTTTTTCAGCCAATCAGCTCTCAGTATGTAACAGATATCATGTTTCCTATTAAGATAAACCTAGCATGTTGTGGTCAGCAAAATGGTTCATAATTCTAAGACAAAGAATTACTTTTAATTAATTTTACTTTTGAATGCGCTGTAAAACGGCTGCAAGTCCTAAGTAGCTCTGAAACAGTTGTTGTTTTGTGCTTTACAATTTTGTTTTGTTTTTGTTTTTTCTGCCTGAGATGTTGCAGCAGTGCAGTGTTCATGGTTTTACACTGGTCCAAACCAGAGCAGAGAGGAGTCATAGTCTGAACCAAGCAGATTAGGCGAAAATCCACTGGAGGAATGCTAACTTTTAGAAAAATGCGAATTAATAATTTAACATTTTACTTTGGACTGGAGCAGAGAAAATGGTCCGAACCAAGCGGCTACTCCACCTTTTGACCTGTCCTGCCCACCCAGAGGCTACTCCGCCTCTGCTTCTGTGACCTGAAGGCCTGTGGCTGATTAATACTATTGTTTTTTTTTCTTTGAAATATTATTATTATTAAACTTTATTACAGACACGAAGTCCAGATAAGAAAGACATTACACAGAAACAATATGAATTTTATTTTTTATTTTTGCTGAATTTCTCCTACGGGGATCAATAAAGTATCTATCTAAAGCTAGGGAACCTAACTTTTTTGCTTCATGAATACCACCTCCTGTTTGTCCCGACAGAAAACGTTTTGTCAAAGATGATCAAAAGATGTGATAGAGGCCAAGAATACATGTGAAAACTAAAGTGATGGCACAAATAATCTGTTGTCACTTTTTTCCAATCGCTCTAAATCACAACAGCAGTCAAGACGGCCTTTAAAAAGTTGCTGATTTCTTGACAGCTCAGAGAATCAAACAGTTCAAGCGCAGAAAATACAATATGAGCAAACACATAGGAGCAGTATTTAACTATAACGTTGACCTGTTGAAATTGAAAAGTTTAAACGTATGTATTTATTTTTGTCATATTACAAGGGAAATCTCTCGGAAAATAAATTTTTGAATGATAAGTCGAGTATTTCGGTTTCATAGGTTTCAAAAAAGGTAGACTTGAAATGATGGTCATATTCTAGACCTTTCTGCTCCAGAGACAGTGACGATGCGCCTGAGTCACTGCCTTGAGGCTTCTTAAAGGACTTACTTGTATGTTCCACAGCTCACCCTCACATTTTCGACTGTAGCTGTTTGCAAAAGGGAATCTCCCCCATTTCCCCCTAAATATGTTTAGCATATACTGATCCTACAAGGCTCTGTCTGTTACCATGGAGACGAGTCACATGTCCAAGAGAGCAAACCCCTGCCCACCCCACTTCGCTTTGAGAGCTAACTGAATAGAATATTGTGGGGAAAGAGCTGAGTAGAGGAAAAACAAGAGGAAAGGTAAAAGACAAAGAAGGAAAAGCGGCAACCAAAATATCAGTTCCAAATGTGTTTTTATATCATTGTTATGTTGAAATAAATGTCATGTCGTTTGAGAGATTTATATTATTATGGAAATTGTCTTTTCTCATCCTTTTTTATTCTACTAACATTACTAGTATTAGTTATTTTTATTTTTTCTACAAGGGGAAAATAGAAATGAGTGCGGGGGAGAAAAGGAAAAAAGTACTATGTTGTGTGTAACGTGAATGAAAACGTAAACTGATGAAATAATCATTATAAACATAGAATATTGTGAAAACATTTACAAATTCTTAGTCAGTCATTTTACCATATGTGAAATTGATCACACTTTTATTCCTGAATTTTGGGGATCAAGACCAGCAGAATGATAATGCTTGATAGATTCTCAACAAATGGTTTTCAAATAAAAGCACAATCAGCTTCAGAAAAGTGTTTCTGTTAAAACCATTATTTCTGGACTAAAAGCCGCTTCTTTTTACAATTTCTTTGAACCCTGTTGCTTTATAGCAATACTCCAATATATTGTAGGTATTCTCATTGGAGTAGAGCTGGAGTGAGTGTTAGTAGCTATAGGTTTATTGTCAAAAGAGACTTGTTTCCGACAGTTCAGGTTTGTGTCTTAATGACAGATAACATTTACTTCCTTTGAGTCAAGGTTTGTGGTTTTTATACAGGCACGCTTTAGAGTCCAGCAAGTTTGGACCTTTTGCATCATGCCAATTTTGTAGTATACTTTTTCACAAATTCATTCTTTTGAGACACTGTAACAAGTCACATTAGTCACATTAGACACACAAGTGATAAGATGTCAAGTACTAGCTTAACACTGAAACTCCCAGAGTAGTCAATTTGACTGCTTATGGTTTTGGAAGAGTAATGACTCCGTTTATGTACATTATTGTTCTTCATGACTTTGTGGCTTTTTCTGTATTGAAATCTAGTGTATTTCAATGTGATTCTGAAATACAATAATATAATATCTCAATCATAGACTTGAAGTGTTAGTTACCATAGCAACACACTGTTTACTTGAATCAGTGAGAAATTAGTTTTGCGACATTCATTTAGTGAAAATCATTTATATTACCAGTTTTAGAACGTATTAAAGATTACATTTTTTAGTAGTGAGTGGTGATTCCATTGATTGCAGTCAAAATGACTGCTTTGGGAGTCCTAGTGGTTTCGGACGTCTGGGAGTCTAGTGTTAAACTGCACTTGTTTTGTGCCAAATTATCTTTCAAACCTCAAAAGGCAGGAATAAATCAGTGGGTGTCTATCAGTCAGCTGTGCTCGGGTAAAGCCAAGAGTCCAGAGAAACTGTAACGTTTATTTTATCTTAAAGTAAGTTTTCTTTTAGATGTTTTTCAAAACATCACTGCTGTTTTTAATCACTAAGCCACATTGTATTCTAGTACATTTGATATTTATCTCCCTTTGCTACAGTTGCAGGGGTGAAGCTAAAGTGGATGCAGGACGAGGCTGCCAGCTCTGCTCCTCCCAGCCACAGGGCTCCTCAGGTGGGTACTCCTCTCACACATGAGCCCTGGAGTCTAAAGCTGGGGTTCATTACTTTGCTTGTTTCCTGAGTCAATAATACATGTGGAAGAGTATTGTAAAAATAAAATCAAACCAAAACATGCTGCCTTTAGAAGCGTTAGCAAACATCTAAAGGTTACATCTATTATATACGTGTAGGAAAGAACCCTGTGAGTCACTGTTTGGGCTGAGGGAGGGTGGTCCTCTCTTTTTCACCTTTCTGTCTGAAAAGAACTGATCTAAAGATGTGACCAAAGATACATGTATGTGAATACTTCTTATAGAACCAAACTGTTTTAGAACAATTCAATAATTAGATGGATTTCATCTTTTGTGGTTTAGTTTTGGTTCCCCAGCTTTAAGTGCAGGATGACAGGATGATCTGTTTCTGAGCCATTGTTATAAATGTTGAAAAAATTAGCAAATATTATTTCATTTATGTTGAAAATTGTTCGATGATGTCTTCACACAATAGGCACTTTGATCATTATTATTTTACGGACACAAATATTTGCACAAATTTTATTACATTTTTCATTGAATTTTTAATGTGAGAAATTAATGGTTCGTCAGAACTTGATGTCATCGAGCCTCATAGTTCACAAATAAACTGACATATCTATATCTAATTATAATAGTAGCGTAGTTTATTTATAACACCTTTCAATGTCTTATTTACACAGCTTCACAGTAAACATGAGTTAAAACAGAAAATGATTGATGATGTTTGTTAGATTTTGTTCAGATGAGTTTTGTTTGGATGTGTAAAAACAGCAGTGTGACACAAAGAGACATCAACAGTTAGTGATAAATGAATGAAAGATTTATTCAGCAAATAACTGTTTTTTCAGAGAATATTCAAAAGATTTTCACGTGTGAAGCTTTCCATCAGGGCCTTCAGTTATCAAGCCACATGTTGATATTACTGTATTCTGATTTAGTTGGAGGCGGCGCATGTTTTCAGAAGTGTTTTGAAGATCTGTTTTATCGCACCACATGAAGCCAAAATTAGGCAATGATAAAAAAAAACCCTGTCCTAAACGCTGTAGAAGACCAGCTTTTTGTGTCGGAGTTGTGTAATGGAAAGTGATAAAGAGCTGTGGTTTGAGCACAGTGCTGCAGTATTGTGGTTTCTGCGTACATGCACTAACAGTACGTTCAAATAACTGCCGAATATTTGGCTTAAAGTGCTATTACACAATCCACACGTGACGTCAAATGGTGTGTATGTGTGTGTGTGTGTGTGTGTGTTCCGATTAGTCACAGTTCATCAGAACAAGTGCAGAGTGTGGAAACGGCTTTTATCAGTGCGACTTTTGTTGTTTTATGTCATACGGGTCCAGATTTGTTAAATTAAAAAGGGTGCTTTAACTTTGTTTCATTAATTTTTTTACTTCTATCTTTATTTAAAGGTATATAGGAGGATTTTCTACTCCCAGGTGGATCATCAAGACTATCGGTCCTCCTTATTGTCAATCATTCTGCTGAAACGTGCTCGTCAAATAATACCAAAGAGTTCTGTTCAAAAAAATTGGAGGGGGCGGTTCTTTCTAAACAGTTGCAAGATCCTCCTCTGTGCCTTTTAAATGTTATTAAACCAGGAAGAGATTAAGGACCTCTTTGTCGAGGGAGTCCTGGATAAGAAGCAGCAAAAGTTACACACAAGTACATACAATTACAGATTATAAAAACAGTTACACACAAGTACATACAATTACAGATTATAAAAACAGTTACACACAAGTACATACAATTACAGATTATAAAAACAGATTTTAAAAACAGCTAAGTAAGTAGGTAATCTTTATTCATAAAGTGCAGACCAGAGTCACTAAGCGCTTTACAATTGTTATTTTTTGGGCATTTATCGCTCGCTCCACACAGAGACGGGAGCGAGGTTACACATAATAGATAAAATTACGAAGTATAAAATCAGTTACATGTCAATGAAGATGTCTCAATGCTCTCAATCTGGATTTAAAAGCATTCAATGGAACAAGTTCAGTTGTTTCTCATGATGAAGTACATGTGAAACCTGTATACTAGAATACAGTCTTACTTACAATATGAAACCAATGTGTAGGTGGAAAGTAAGATCATGTTGATAATTGGCTCGCAAAATACCCACAAAAAACCTTTAAACAATAAAAAGTATGAGATATTTTGAAAAGTCTGAGAAAGTTTGTGCCCTGTTCCTAATGATCAGAATCAGTATTCCTTTTATTGTCATTGTAAGTAACAAGAAATCACAAACCAGGAATTTACTATGGTGCAAACAAGAAAAAGAATAGACTAGATTTTTTTTTTAAATAAAAAATAAACAAATCTAGTCTTGCTTGGAGTTGTAAGAAAACAAAGCAGGAAAAGCTTGTTTAGAAAGATCCTATTGAAAGACTGCAGCTGCTTGGTGACAATAAGGCTTGCCATCTGTCACTTGTAATGACTCTATTTCGTAAAATGGTTTCACATTTTAAGAAGGAAAAATAGAAATAAATTAATTTATGAACAATATTCAAACAAGTTTCTCCTGTATATTTACCAGTCTTTATAGGAACAGTAAGTACTGTATATTTGGGGGTGACAGTGGCTCAGTTGGTAGAGCATTGGCCTTTGAGCCTCAAGGTCAGTAATGGATTAAGGCAGGGGTGTCCAAACTTTTTAGTAAGAGGGCCACTTTAGTTCATCAGAGTTGACCTGAGGCCAGGATATAAACTGGTTTTGAGCTGGATTGACTGGATTCTGGAAAATTGGTTATGACACGTCCTTATTGATTCACACCACAGCTGCATTTTATTTGGAATGTTGTGACACAATCATAAAATAAATGTCAGCATAAAACAATGAGTGGATTCCAGAGTGTCAAAGTGCCTCAATGGCGACTTTGTGTTAGCAGCAGAGGGCCACATAAAATGGCAAAGAGGGCCCCAATTGGCCCGCGGGCCTGAGTTTGGACATGCCTGGATTAAGGGGAAGAAGATGGATGGATGGATGGATGGATGTATACACAGAAAAAGTTCTATTTCCCTACTGCTTTTGTCTTAAACATATCTTTTGCTTAAGAGCCCCGTTAGTCACAATTGAACACTTTGGGTTGATTGGCTGATTGCCGTGATTGGGTGGTTCTCTCTGTCATTTTTCTGTCTGAATTAGCAGTGACAGAGGCCAAACCTACATGCATGTGAAAACAAGAGATAGAAGTACACTGTTTTGAAACCAAGGAATTTTGTGCATAGGATTTTGATACAGTTTGTATTTTGCAAATTAGGTACCCGAGCTTTTATGATTGACTATAATAAATCATTTTGATAAAGATAAAGGAAAGTGAAAGCCTTAGAAGCTGTACAGCTGTTGTTTGCAGGAGGTCTTAGGTTGCTTTGATGTGGTGACTTCTGTTTCCCTCAGCGCAGAGAATAAAGGTGCAAACAAAAGTGTCAGAATGATAATTTACTCTTTAATTTGCTTATTATCATTACTTATTTGACATATTTATGTCCTTGAGCCTCTGTGGAGAGTGAGAGCCTGAGACATAAATTCCATCGCCCGGCACGTCGAAATGGTTGAGGCTAACAATGTATTTTTGTGTGTGTTCTATAGCAGGGATGTCAAACTGGTTCCAGAAAGGGCTTGGCTGTAGGCTGCACGGTGTGCTCTTGCTTGGTTGGAATGAACACCTGCAGCCACACTGGCCCTTTGAGTTTGACCTCCCTGCTCTACCAAATAACATGCCATAGAACCCAATTACTATCATTGCAGCAAGTCCATTATGTTCATCAAAAATCCTTGGCATGTGCTGACTCAGTCCTGGCTATGTGCAGAATGCAGATGTCCCTCGGCTGTGAGACCTGGTGCTCAGGAGCCTCAGCACAAACCCTATCAGTGTCAGCGCTGCATGAAGAGGTTCAGCCTGAAGCATCAGCTCGACACACACCTGCGCGTGCACACAGGTTAGTGGCCCCCTCTTTTTACTGAGGGTGAAAAAGACCTGACAGAAGCCAAAAAATCATAAATGTGTAACTAGAAGCAAACAAATAGTAAAAAATCCATCCAACTCGATTCTATTAAGTAACAGGAAGTCACAGTCTAGAAATTTGCTTTGGCCCTTTGAGATTTTTTTTATATAAGACATGCATGAAAATATATAGCGCTCATTAAGCTAAAAAGTTTCTGTGTGACCAGGGACCCTCATCATGTCCTCCATGTTTTAAACACTAGAAAAAGATGGAACATAAACAGTTTTAGACCATGAATATTTGGGCTGTGTGCAGGAGAGAAGCCGTTTGAGTGCCTCCTGTGCGGTCAGCGGTCACGAGATTACTCCGCCATGGTGAAGCACCTCCGGACACATGGGGGCGCTGCTCCGTACCAGTGCACGGTGTGTCTCCAGTTCTGCAGCAGCCTGGTGAACATGCAGAGACACGTGAAGAGCCACGAGCTGAGCCACTTCCCCCACGACTGGAGCCTGGCGCGCACTTACATGTACCGCTCCCACCTGTGAGACCGACCAGCACCTACACGTACCAGTCCACCTGTGAGACCGACCCGCACCTACATGTACCAGTCCACCTGCAAGACCGACCCAGACCTACATGTACCGCTCCCACCCGTGAGACCGACCCGTACCAAAATATGTACCATTCCATCTTAAGAGACCAACCCACACCTACATGTACCGCTCCCACCTGTAGAGACCAACCCGCACCTACATGTACCAGTCCACCTTAGAGACCAACCCGCACCTACATGTACCAGTCCACCTGTGTGACCAACCCATACCTATATGTACCAGTCCACCTTAGAGACCAACCCGCACCTACATGTACTGTGAGACCGACCCACACCTACATGTACCAGTCCACCTTAAGAGACCAACCCACACCTACATGTACCGCTCCCACCTGTGAGACCGACCCACACCTACATGTACCAGTCCACCTTAGAGACCAACCCATACCTATATGTACCAGTCCACCTTAGAGACCAACCCGCACCTACATGTACTGCTCCCACCTGTGAGACCAACCCATACCTATATCCACCCGTGAGACATGTGCGCACATTTGTGCCGGCCCCTCATTAGAGAAGATAATGAATTATTTGTGTTTCTTTAGTGCCATAAATATAATTTTGAAAATATAAATTTTGTCATGTCATGTTTGAGAATGTGAAATAAAAGCAGAAAATATATGGATACATCAGTGCACTGGATAAATAAAGGATCTCAGTAATGAAACATCTTGTGGTAGGAATGTGAAATTACATTATTCTGTCTCAGCAGTTATGATACATCTCCAATGAAGATTACACAGTACATGTCAAACTGAGGACTTTTCCAGGAAGAAAAAAAAGTTTTGTCTAAAAACAAAAATGATGGACGTTGTGTATACAATTCTAAACACAGTAGTTACAAAAGTAATTCCTTACTGTAATATATTCCGTTTTGAAGTCACTCAGTAGTGAAACTCAATGCAAAAGGGATAATTGTTCATTATTACATTATTATTTACAGTCAAAGGTACTAAAGTTACACGTAGACTTAATGTGAGTGACCAACTGCTTTGTCATCATTGTTTACAATTATATGAAAAAGCAATGACGATTATACTTCAGTTTTTTTCGTTCCAAACAAGTTATACTAACAGGTAAAACATACAGAAATACAATCATGTGTGATTGTTAGTGTTTTGGGAATACTGTAAAGTTATTGGGTAACTCATGTTTAAACAGCAATATTGTAATACAACATTATATTACAATTTAATCTCAGTAGTAACTAGAAATACAAATATATCATTTAAGAGTGACATACACAACATGGTCAATTTCACATTCAAGTTTTCTGAATTGCTCGGCCAGGAAGGGGTCAAAAAATGTATGTAGGTCAAACTAAAAATTCAACTATGGATTGCAGGTACCACGACTGTAACAATTGTGTTAATAATACAGGAATCAGCCAGAGCCAAGTAAAATGTCTCAAATGTCAGAACATCTTAACATCTTTATTAAGCATTTATTAACATCATAAATAAAAAAAAGTGCATAGAAAAATTAAACAGGTTTAGAAATATGTATACAAATATTTACAAACTCAGGTTTTTTTACATGGTAACAAAGACATATTTAAAGATCACATATTTTCTCATGTTTAGAACTTTTACACTCATTTTAAAATAACCCTACCATATTTATATATATATATATATACTTTATCTTTATATGCGTTTTTTGTGTTTTTAATATAACATACAGCTTTTTCTGAACAGAGTCAATAATGAGAAGATGGTCATGATCAGGTTTGCGTCGATCAAATGCACTTTCTTTCACACACGCACACACACACACACACACACACACACACACACACATATAGTATCCTCTACAGACAATAAAAGCAATTTCTTTTGAAACTCTTGACCATCTTTTCGTGTTGCATTAGTATTCCCAAACATCTGCCGAGACAGTTGAGGTAGAATCCTTGCAAGGAGCTGGGAGTGACTCTGCTTTTCAAAATAAGGTGATTGACAAAAATATATAGATAAGATAGAAGTCTGGGCTCCGTTCCCAGTGATTGGACATGCAAGAAAAAAAATGAAGAAAAAGCAGGAAAAAGCTTGTTTAAAAAAATAACCTATTGAATTGTATTGAGGGCAAAAAACTGTGGGTGCTTGGTGATTGGATGAGGACAGTGCTAGACACTCAGTTGAACGACCTGCTCTGGAAATAAAAAAAACTTTATAATTAAAAGAAGGCATAAATGAACATAAAAAGACACCGCTGCCCCAATAGTAGATTCAAGTATATATATAGTCACACAAAATTATATATTATATATATATATATATATATATATATATATATAAACATATAAACATATATATACATATATATAGTGAATATAGGGCGTTACTTGTAAACAAAAGATATATATATATATATATAGCTATAAATGGGGAGCTCTCCAACTATACCAGACCGGCACTGTTTAAACAAAATGTTTTGAAATCAGGAATAAATAGAACTCTCCTTTTAGCAGTGGATCTGCTTCAATGATGTGGCAACAGCACTGAACATCCAAACAGAACATGGTTAAGGTGCCGAATCGCTTCAATAAGAGTTTCTATAAACGACGACTTTAGAAAGCAGCTCTCAGTGACCAGTGGGGCTTTAACTCTGCTTTCACTTGTTAAGAAACAAGTGGGTTTTGAACGACGCAACAGCCAGAATTATTGCAATAGTGAACGAGCCTCTACCCTAGTCGTAATAAAATAGGTTAAAAACTATTTGTTGAGTTAAAGGAGACATAACACGCTTTTGTGTGCTCAATGGTGATCGATGACATCAATGACAACTGTGGGTCGTGATGCTGGAGTTAGTGCATTTGAAATATAAATGTTGAGCTATAACGTGCAATGTTGAACCCTGCAGACTCTGCTCAGACCGCAAATTAAGTTAGCGTATGATCGACCGATATCGGTTTTCTGTGTCTGATGACAATTTTCTCTTAATTTGACCGGCTGACTGCCTTTTTTTAAGTACTCAAAACAAAAGCGCACAAATTAGCAACAAGGACATTACTTATTCATGTATATTTAGCCTTGCATTTGTGGTATTTTTGAGTATACAATAGTTTACATTATGGAGGAATGACCACTTTTATTGAACTAAACCAGTGCAGTTATGATTATTTCAGATTTTTAACCATTAGCAGATTGCCGATAGTGGTACAAGTCAGGAGTTTTTAGACAGAAGGAGCATATTTGTCACATATTTGTGCAAGAGGTTCCTCATACTAGCATGGATGGATCTAAAATCAAATATATCGGTCGATCTCTGGGAAGTGTTCAGCTGATTAAGGTAAAACACAGTGAGCAAGTCAGAGAGGAGAAAGAGAGTAATAGCATCTCGGAAAAAGCTATGGGAGAATATAAATGACCAAACACGCATGAATCGCCCTAAAAAGAACTTTGCGTGTGAACGTCGACATAAAAAACAAACAATAGCATGATGAAACAGCAATGTTATGTCCCCTTTAACATTTCATGTTTGGCTTGTATTTGCTACATACACGGTACCGCAACAAAGGAAAACTCGTTTGTGTTTGCAGATGTGACACTAGTAACATCATGATAACGTGTGTATGCATCCAAAGGAGAAAGTAGGCGTGTACACTACCCACTCCATGGAAACGAAGCGGACATGACAGTAGTCAATTTGAGTGCATTAATACGTCTGAGAGATAAGGGAAACGTTTTTGAAAAAAATAAAACAAATGATTTGAATCAAGGAAAGCAACAGCCGTTCTAAGCTTAGCACCAATAAAAACAAAAAAAATCATCACAGGAGACACTGATTGCAGATAAAAAAATAAATCTAAAATAAATGTTTTCAGTGAAGGTATGGCTCATGGCCAGAATGCGCAGACCAGGGCCCAAAAATCGCATTGAAATTAAGGTCATGATGATGTTTGATGAGAAAAAAAGACCCGAAAGTAGTCTGAAACTGACCTAGAGACAACAGGCTTGAACAATGACACAAATGGGTAAGGCCAGACGCGTGTTTTCTGAAAGGAAAATTGTTGCGGCCGCAGTTTGAATTGGCGGAGAGCTGCCGTGTTGTGTCTGAATCCTACTGCAGTGGAGCGAAGTTGCCCGGATGATTTTGTCCTTGCGTTGCAAAGTCGCATCAGTCTGTTTTACTTTAAGGCAGCCACAAACTTACTCCTGTGAGGAGGCTCAGTTGAGGAAGCGCCTGCATCTCCGCGCGCCACAGTTGCAGTTGAGTTTGCTGCTGGCATCTTCAATGGGGAACTTGTAGTCATACGTGAGCTCTTCTCCGCGGTAGATCTTCCTCAGGGCAAAGATGACAATGTGCTTTCGGCCCTCCACATTGATCACCCTGGAGAAGCAGTTGGGCTCGCAGGAGTGGTTGATGAAACGCGCCGCGTTCCCATGCATGGTGGCGTCCACAACGTCGAAGTCATCGATGCGGAACATGTAACAGCCGATGCCCTGTCCACACAACATAACACGTCAGCCTTTCATAACAACTCCAATAGAGGTTTTGCACCACCATGTAACCTACATAGCAACCGTCACTAGGCGGCCATGTTAGATGGCAGGTATGAAACTTTATACAGTCAGATTCAACACAGTGGCCGAGAGATGTCTATTCTTTTTAAATACCGGCCGTAATTCGCCATCAAGGAAAATAAACTATCGAAAAAGCGACTGCAGCAATGGTTAGCAAGCTAGCATTTGTGACAAAGCAGTTCAAAATTGGGAAATCAATAATGTGTTTGTCTGTTCTAGTCATTTTCACCCAAGTTAGTTGTTCTATTAAAAACATTGCGTTGGAGTAAAAAGCCTGTCAGTGACGTGCGGTTGGTGACTGAGGCACTGACTTTGAATTTGAAGTAAAAGGATAAGAAAGTGGATTTAACAAATTGGACGCACCGGAATGTCGGGTGCTGCAGCATGGAGCTAGCAAAACAAGAGGGACACCCGTATTTGTTCTTTTTACTTTTTGAATTTTATTTCCAAATGGAGGATTACATAATCTACATTGTAAACGTAGGATTACATATCTATACTCAACATTTATCTAGACTTAAACATGGTCTGAACTGAATGAAGTGGTGTATGGAGTTCATATAAGGTAAGACCATAACACACTTTAAAATGTGCTTTTTACTTTGGCGTTTTGTTTGAGCAAACAATGCGGACCATGTGTGAATAATCCTCTGTATGTCCTGTTGATATGTATCGTTAAATCTGATTGTGATGAAGTCAGTGCCTCAGTCACCAAACGCACGTCACTGACAGGCTTTTTACTCCAACGCAATGTTTTTATTAGAACAACTAACTTAGGTGAAAATGACAAGAACAGACAAACACATTATTGATTTCCCCGTTTTGAACTGCTTTGTCACAAATGTCACAAAGAGTTTGGCAATCAAGTGGCACTAACTATGTAGAAAATATATAAAAAACAACTGTTTTGGTTTGTTCTGTTTGATTTGTTCACAACATTTTGTTTTTGTGCCTAAATAACATGCATTGTCAATGCAAGCGAAAATGTAGGTACCTGAGCTTTAATTCAATGAGTTTTGGGGGAGACAGGCAAGACCTGCATGTGCAACAAGCCGGGGATGGTCCTGTCTGCACGTCTATGGTCCGCGGTACATGACCATGTTACGGATGCGCGTTCGCTGAGATTCTAAATCAAGGTACATCCATCGCTTCAGTGATTTTTTTATATTATTCCTTTTCTGTTTTATTCATGTGGAAAAAGACTTCAATAATTGCAGTCTTGGAGAAGTGCAATGAATCTTGCTGCTGCAATACGTTATGATGTAGTTTAGTAAAGGGGCGGCCTACAAACCTTGCCATCGTAGTACTTTTCTCTTTTGTCAGTGAGCACTGAGCGGACCACAATGCCTGCGTATTCTATCACCATCTCTCCAGCTTCAATGTTCCTCTTACAGAAAAGACCTCGGCCGTGGATAGCAGACCTGAGGACAGACGGACACATCGAAAAGGATTACAAATGCGGGTGTTTTGCATGGAAACTGTTGTTTTTATATCAATTAAGCCTTGCCTATACTTGCCAGCATTAATTGTATTTATACAGTGCCTTGCGAAAGTATTCGGCCCCCTTGAACCTTTCAACATTTCAAGCTTCAAACAAAGATATAAAAAAATATTTTTTTGTCAAGAATCAACAACAAGTGGGACACAATCGTGAAGTGGAACGAAATGTATTGGATAATTTAAACTTTTTTAACAAATAAAAAACTGAAAAGTGGGGCGTGCAATATTATTCGGCCCCCTTGCACTAATACTTTGTAGCGCCACCTTTTGCTGCAATTACAGCTGCAAGTCACTTGGGGTATGTCTCTATCAGTTTTGCACATCGAGAGACTGGAATTCTTGTCCATTCTTTCTTGCAAAACAGCTCGAGCTCAGTGAGGTTGGATGGAGATCGTTTGTGGAAAGAGCTGAAGACTGCTGTTCACAGATTCTCGATTGGATTCAGGTCTGGACTTTGACTTGGCCATTCTAACACCTGGATACGTCTATTTGTGAACCATTCCATTGTAGATTTGGCTTTATGTTTTGGATCATTGTCCTGTTGGAAGATAAATCTCCGTCCCAGTCTCAGGTCTTTTGCAGACTCCAACAGGTTTTCTTCCAGAATGGTCCTGTATTTGGCTCCATCCATCTTCCCTGTCCCTGCTGAAGAAAAGCAGGCCCAAACCATGATGCTGCCACCACCATGTTTGACAGTGGGGATGGTGTGTTCAGGGTGATGAGCTGTGTTGCTTTTACGCCAAACATATCGTTTTGCATTGTGGCCAAAAAGTTCGATTTTGGTTTCATCTGACCAGAGCACCTTCTTCCACATGTTTGGTGTGTCTCCCAGGTGGCTTGTGGCAAACTTTAAACAAGACTTTTTATGGATATCTTTGAGAAATGGCTTTCTTCTTGCCACTCTTCGATAAAGGCCAGATTTGTGCAGTGCACGACTGATTGTTGTCCTATGGACAGACTCTCCCACCTCAGCTGTAGTTATCTGCAGTTCATCCAGAGTGATCATGGGCCTCTTGGCTGCATCTCTGATCAGTCTTCTCCTTGTTTGAGATTAAAGTTTGGAGGGACGGCCGGGTCTTGGTAGATTTGCAGTGGTCTGATACTCCTTACATTTCAATATAATTGCTTGCACAGTGCTCCTTGAGATGTTTAAAGCTTGGGAAATCTTTTTGTATCCAAATCCGGCTTTAAACTTCTCCACAACAGTATCTCGGACCTGCCTGGTGTGTTCCTTTGTCTTCATGGTTCTCTCTGCGCTTTAAACAGAACCCTGAGACTATCAAAGAGCAGGTGCATTTATACGGAGACTTGATTACACACAGGTGCATTCTATTTATCATCATCAGTCATTTAGGACAACATTGGATCATTCAAAGATCCTCACTGAACTTCTGGAGTGAGTTTGCTGCACTGAAAGTAATAATATTGCACGCCCCACATTTCAGTTTTTTATTTGTTAACTCATTCACTGCCCATGACGACAAAACTCGTCATGTTGAATAGTAACGCTCACTGCCCATGACGAGTTTGACGAGTTTTTCGTGTTATTACACGGGAGGCTGCAGTAATGTCTGGCGCACCTTGTTAATGACCCACAATACTGATATATAGTGCAAATGTACCTGTAATGATAAATCAACACCAGTAGGATGCAGTATTGCACCACAGGAGAGGTCATAAGTCAGTGGAGAGAAGGAGGAGGAGTGTGGGGGTCTTTGGACAGCGTGCTGCTGTAGCAGAGCGATGATAGCGTAGCATTGAGACGGATCAGCGATCTAGTTTAGCGATAGTATAGCAAGAGTGATGGCGAAAAAGAATAGTTATAAGCAGCTGACACTGCTTCAGAGATTGACTCGCGGATCAGTGAGTGAGGTCGAGAGGGGAGAGAGTGGAGACCCCGGTGGAGGTCCGTCTCTGCAGCTACATTTGCGCGGAGCAAGAGCAGAGACACACCTTCCGCCTCTCGCAGCGTATCAGCTGCTGTTGTTACTGATGCCTCGGATTCGTTCAGCAAACCTGATCATGATTTATCGGACACACTCACAAACACTCACACGCACTCACTCACTCACTCACGCACACAGACACTCACTCGCACACTGACATTCACACACACAGACACTCACTCACACAGACACTCACTCGCACACTGACATTCACACACACACACTCAAATTCACATGCTTCATTCTATTTTATACATCTATAGTTTTATTGATCTTTGTGTTGTTGTTGTTTGACGTTTTGGTTGATGGTATAGAAGAAAATTAAATTTTCTATCTGTGAATAAATTGCCAACAATTTGCCATCAAAAGTATTATTTCAGAGTCATGTTTTTATAATTTTTGTAATGGAACAAGTGTGAAGATGTTTTGAGTTGTCACTAAAGCAGCAAAAATGCATCTAAAAGTCACTTTTCTGCTTGATATGTTCCCGTTTACATACAGCTCGTTTTCTCTGTTTTCTTGCTCAGACCAGGTGTTGTGGGTGAAAGTATGCTTTGTTCTATGGCGAATAACGCAAGAACGGTAAGAGGTAGAAACAAACTGTTTTTTTCAGAGTAAAGCAGAGAGGTGAATCTTTAATTTGGTGCCCTTGGTGTTTACATCGTCTAAAAAATGAATATTCTGTGGCACTTCAAAGTTGGGTCAAATCACCTGAAATTGCTGGCAGAATGCACTTCTCAAATCTGAAAATGCCTGGCAGTCAGTGAGTTAAAAAAGTTTAAATTATCCAATACATTTTGTTCCACTTCACGATTGTGTCCCACTTGTTGATTCATGACAAAAAATGTAAATTTTATATCTTTATGTTTGAAGCCTGAAATGTGGCGAAATGTTGAAAGGTTCAAGGGGGCCAAATACTTTCGCAAGGTACTGTATAAAAAGGAGGAACTATGCATAATAAGGATAATGTAAAAATGACAGATGCAGCCGCAGATAAGTTTCCATCTTACCTCCCAGGAGAGAGGTTTACTAGTTAAATAAACATACACATTATATATATTTACTATATAGATTCTGGTGTATTTTACAATAGTTGTAATATGTTTAAGATGTTCATGTAGTGACCTGTAAACGCCCACAGCCTCTTTAGAGGTTTTTTCCAGATGTCTGAAGCGCATTGCCATAGGCAGCTCCAAGCTGGTGGCCCGTCTGTGAACAAACACACATATGAATGACAGGGCCAGTAGTGATATAGCAGACTGGGGAAAGAGGGAGGTCCCACCTGGTGGATTTGAGAAGAACTTCATCCTCTTCATCGTCATAAAGATCGATGTCTGGGAGCTGTCGGTGCTGAGACGCCAGGAAGTTAAACATGTCAAATGTGGACTTCCTGTAGAGACAATTGAACAGATTAAGAGATTACATGAAACCCCTTTCACACTTCTCAGCTGGACAATAATAAATGGATTGGATGTGGACTCAGAAGTCCATACCTGACGTAGAGCTCGGAGCGGGCGCAGCCCGTGGGGTTGACTGGTAGGTCGTCTTCTTGGGAAAACTGTTTGAAGAAGCGGAAAGTGTGTTTCTGACAGTGGTGAGCTCCGTGCAGCTGCTCCAGCAGGAACACCACAGTGTCATGGACGAAGCCCAGCATGTGGTCTCCAGTGATCTTCTGAAGCGTCAGAGGTCGCAGCCGCGCGATAGCTCGTGCTTCCTGCACTCCGTCGATGACCGCCTTCCAGGCCACTAGAGGCGATAGAACACAACTATTTATAGTAATAAACAAAAAAAGTTCGTTAATCAAAAGTAGTTTTTAAGCTCACCCTCGATGCTGTCTGCTTCCACACTAAAGCCATCATCACTCTTGATCTCGAACTTAAGATGTGGTTGGTCCTTGTTTGGACATTCCTCTTCCTCATCTGATAGTTCCAACTCATCTTCTGAGCCTGAAGAAGCCCCTAAACAGATTCACAACATAAATACCCATGTTTGCCAGTTCATAAAGCGACAACTTTCTTCCACACATGAGAGCACAAGTAACATTCAAGTCTCTTTAATACCTGAATATTTCCTCCAGTCGCTCACAGTGCTGTGTTCTATCACTTCTCCAGACGGATGTTTTCCTTGTTCACTTCGAGCCATGAGGTTACAGAGCTCAGACCTACAGCACATTACAAGACAATTAAACATATATTACATGAATATTCACATATCAGTCGTGTTGACTCCAGACTTACTCAGAGTCGCTCAGACGCTCCTGCTTCAGATCATCCAGGTTAAGGATTCCCTTCACAGTTGGTGTTTTTATCCGGACGCCTGAGTTTCTGCTCGGGATGCTGGGGAGGCTCTGTTTGCGGCGCTCCTCGGTCTCGCTAGGGGGCTCTAGTGGGAGGAAGTCCACTTTTGACTTTTTGGTGACAATGCGGTCAGACAGAGACGACACTCTCTTCATGCGGACGTGAGTGCGAGCCCGGGGGGCGGGCGTGGGCGCGGGTGGGGGCAGAGGCAGCGGGGAAGAAGGCGGAGAGGCTGGAGACTCCGGTTCGATCAACAGACCAGGAGGTAAGACGAGGGTAGATGGACTGAGGGACCGCAGACCACTCCATTTGGGGGTGTAATTGCTGGCCATGGCCTGGTTAATTATGGCCTCTGCGCTTTCAGCAGGCGTCATGGAAGGATTCTCAGGAGGTTTGGGAGCTTTGGGCTTTTTGGATGTACTCGTTTCTTTCTTTTTCTTTGGTTTTTTAGATTCTGGAGCACCTTCTTCTTTTTGAGGTTTTGCACTTTTTCTAGATTTCTTTGTGCAAAGAGATGGAGCAGCATCATTGCTGGTGTGCGCAAGCAGTTGAGTGATTGTGGAAGGGTTTTGAACCGTGGGGATGGCGGGTGCTACGTTTGGCGCAGGAACATGGACAGGGGTGGGGACAGACACACCTCCGGCAGCTGCCAACGTTGCAGACAGAGCATTGCTTTGTAAAAGACTGGCTATCTGTGTGACGCAGTTAAAAGACGGAGAGTTTGGAGTTGGAAGCTGAAAAGTGTTGCTCTCTGGATTTTTCACAAATATTTGCCCAAGGCGATTCACAAGAAGCACGTGCGGAGTTGGGTCGACGTTTGCACCTCCTACTTCCTTCACAGTCAGAATGGCGTGTCCTGGTAAAGCTTGGGGCAACACAGTCTGCTGAGGCTCCAGTGCTGGTCGCGGCGCAGAGAAGTTGATGGAGATAGTGTGGCCTGTGGTGGACTCTTTCTGCAGAGACGTGCTGCTGTAGCCGTTCAGAATGACTGGGGCGGTGGTAGTGTGGAGCGACAATGGCGGAGAAGCCATCGTGGCCGAGGAAGACACTATGGTCAGAGCGGTCGAACACATCTGCTGTGCTTGAGCTGATATCACCGGTACAGAGACCGTTGCTGTGGATGCAGTCGACAAAAAGGTTGCAGATTTTGCGAACGCAGGTTCACTTTGAGGGACAACGTTGAGTAAAGACTGCGTTACATCAGCGGGCATAATAGTGGTCAGTTTAGTGGATGTGGCTTCAGGAGGCAGAGAGGTGGCTAACTCTTGAGGAGAGGTTACGGGCTGGATAGAGGACAGTCGAGGCTGGTTGATTGCTGGCAAACAGGAGGAGACCGGGTTGGCGCGCATTGGCATAGATGTAGCGATTGTGGTTGGCGTGATTGATGTTGGAAGAGTAGTTGGAGCATCAGAGGAACTTTCCATTTTATCTTCAACCATATCAGCTGTTAATGGGCGATTTTCTTTAGCCTGCAAAGATTCCTCAGAGGAGACAACGTTTGCCTTCTCCACACTGGGTACTTCTTTTCCTTCACCTGCATGAGCCGTTAGTGAGTGATGTTCTTTACCCTGAAAAGATTGCGTAGAAGAAACGAGTGTTGGCTGCTCTACCTTAGAAACTTTTCTCTCTTCACTTGTATTAGCTGTGAGCAAGTGAGCCCCTGCAGATGATTCCACAGAAGTGACAAGTTTTGGCTGTTCCACTTCAGAAAACCCTTTGTGCTCAGAAACTTTCACACAAGAATCTAGTTTCAGCACCTCTGTCTCACAATTTACTTTCTTTTCCTCAATATTAGTGGTTAGCGAGCGATTATCTTCAGAAGATTCCACAGAGGTGAGCTTTGACTGATCCGTCTCAGAAACCTTCCTCGTACGAGCATCAGACTGTTGATGTGGGGCACTGTCACACTTTTCAAGAATCAATCTAGCTTCAGAGGCTAGTCCGAAGTTTGAACTCGGGTGTAGTCCTTTCAAATTGGACGCATCATGCCCCTTTCTTGTTGCTTTTGCAAGGTCGCTCTTAACAGGAGAACATACTGTGCTGTGAATTTCTAGAGGCGTCTTTGTAGATTGAAGGGAGTTTTGGTCATGCTGTTGCAAAGAAACACTACACCTTGCAAGTGAAATGGAGGACAGTGATGACGTAGCGGCCGACTCAAGCGCATTCTTAGTCCTTTGAACTTTTGTTGCTTTTTGACCAGATTCTTTGTTATTCACAGTGCTGTCATTTGTCGCAATACTCGCATCGCTCTCTGTCCCATCGTCTATTCCATCCAACTGAGCTACTGTTTTTGAGGAAGAAGAGGGAGGCTTGCAGTGCTCTTTAGCTCCTGTGCGGCTTACAATTGTCCGCGAGAAGTCAAAATAGTGCTCCATGTCATCGTCCGAAGAGCTGTTCCCGAAATCTTCTTTCGTCGGAGCTGCCGAGTGAGGAAGCTTGGCCACCAGTGCTTTCCGTTTATGCACGCCTTGAGTTTGCTCCCAAAACTCTTCCGGATCATCACCTTCAACCACTATTTGCCCGCCGCAGTTCATTGCAACACCTTCATTGAGAAGTGTTTCCTCCACTTCGAGCTCCGTCCTCATGTCTTGACTTAAGGTTATGATGGAATCCTTGTGAAACGAATTAAATGGGAAATCGTCTTCATCTTTCGGTTGCTCTGCGTCTGGTTTTAGAGTAGGGGAGAGATCTTCTGGCTCTGGTGAAGCCAAAAAGTTGTGCGGCACCTCTGCGGAGTCCGGTTGACTCAGGTCAAAAGAAAGCCTGGTCCGGGGTAGGTGCGGGATTGTGGGAGAGAAGGAGAGGCTTGGCGAAGGGAAGTTGGGTTCGTTTTCTTGCCACGTGGACTGGGAGAAGAACGGAGTGCCATGCGGCATCGTGTTCGCGTGGTGGGTTTTCCCCGAGCGTAGGGTGATGGGTCCGGGCAGAGGCGGGGAGATGTGGCCGTGAGAATGCGGGCTGTGGCGGCGAGGCTTCCGGGTCTCGTCCAGATCACTGATGGTCAAAATGTGGTGCGGCTTCACTGGAGCTACTCCTTAAACACACAAGTTTTCAAGGGTTTAGTCTTATTATACTTTAGGGCTGGATTACTGCAAATATCAATCAACTATTTACTACTAGTCAATTTATTAAATTGTCAAAATAAACCGTTTCTTTGAATTGACAAAGAAATCAATCCTATGTAATTACTGGTTGTGGGCTATGCAAAATAACTAATTATTTAAATGAAAAAAAAAAAAAAAACTCCTTCAAACATGTTAAAGCTGGGATACCCAACCATAAAACTACATTAAAAATACAATATCCAACTTAATCCAACATGCTCCTGGCACTAAACAGTTTGTATGGTTTGTATTTTGGCCCCATCACCTCTTTAGATAACTTTTATCAGAAAGAATGGTAAAAGAGAGAGGACGCACTTTTCCTTAACCAATCAACTCCCAAAGAGTCAAATAGTGGCTCAAACTCATATGCCAAATGTCTGTTGCCATATGTCTTTTCAGATTTTATTTTATAAAATCACAGACTAGTCGACTACAAAAACATCCTTTACAATTAAAACATGATATACTTCTTATAATTGACGCATGTTTTGTAAGTACCTGGACATGGCAGGGGGCGGAACATGCCTCCGGCTGGCCTCCTGGACATTTTGGGCCTGAGTCCTGGGTCGCCCTTTTGAGTCGGAACAGGCACAGGGACTTCTCTGACGTTAGGCTGATGGTGGGCAACGACTGGAATATTCTCTGGTTCTAAGAAGACATCAAAACAATTTGAATAGCCTTTACTTAATACAAACAAAGGTCTGTTTAATGAAAAATTAAACGAAAAAACTATTGCTATTTTGTTAGAAACAAAAATATTGTCAATAAAGAGAAGACAATAGGAAGCACATAGACTAATCCAGGGGTCGGTAACCCGCGGCTCTTTAGTACCCCTCTAGTGGCTCCTGGAGCACTTTCAAAAATGTCTGAAAATGGAGTGGGAGGGCGATATTTTATTTCTAGTTCAGGGGTTAAAGCAAAAAAAAAAGATTTGACTGAAAATTTTCTCATGGAAATATAATGAATTACAGATCAAACGAATTCTTCAAAGATATACATTTAAACTGGTGTATTTTGATGTGAAATTACAACCAGTGGATCAAGCAACTTGTCAACTCTTTGACAGAATATTAGTGAGAGTAGTTCATCTGCATCATTGGCTTTACTTGAGGCGAGATGAGGCGCTCTCTCTTGTCCTTTGACTCTGTCCTCGTCTCCTCTTGGGTCTCCCTCTATCTGGTCTCTCTATCTCTGGTCTCTATCTCTGGTCTCCCTCTCTCTTGTCATCTCTCTGGTCTATCTCTTGGTCTCTCCTCTTATGGTCTATCTTGCGTCTCTCTCTTGGTATCACTCTCTCTGGCTCTCTCTCTCTATGGTCTCTCTTATCTGGTCTCTATATCTATGGTCTCTATCTGGTCTCTCTCTGGTATCCCTCTTCTGGCCTCTCTCTCTGGTCTCTCTCTGGTCTCTGGTCTCTCTCGCTATTCAAAATATTGCTATTTGTTTATGTTTGATGAATGAAATGGGGGGGAGTGTCACTGGGGGGGCGTGTCATGGGGGGCGTGTCATGGAGGGGGGACGCGCTCATCAGTGAACTGACATCAGGTGAGCAGGGGAAGTGAGGACTGGGGGCTTTTTGTTTTGGGAAACGGTCGAGGTGTCAACGTGAGACTTGAGTTCAGAGATCTGTGGGGGGGGGGGATTAATGTAGCGGACTGTACAGACCCTCGGGACGGACCGCAGGAGAGCCCAGTGTCGACGATTACGCACTATCATATGCGCTCGGCCTCACACTCTGAAAGTTTGGTTTACTTTCCCAGTTGGATTACTTTCCCAGTTGGATTTCTTTCCATTTGGATTACTTTCACCAGTTGTGATTACCTTTAACAGTTGGATTACACATTTCCAATTTGGATTACTTTCACACAGTTGGATTACTTTCCCGGTTCTGTTTGGATTATCTTTACATGGTTTTGTATACTCTTCGGATTTGCCATTTGAAACTTCCAAGGACTATCACCAGGTTTTAGTGGGGTATATACGGTGGGCGCGGGGAGGATAAGTCTGTTATATTCATGGGTTATATGTTGTAAAAATTCATGAGCCCTGTAAACATCTTTATTGAATCTTAGAATGATCACTAATAAGCGTTTTTTATAAGCGCCTTTATACGCTCATACATTTATTTATATCTATTTATTGCCAACAAATGATGTTTTTTTAAACATCAGTTGTTGGCAATGAAATACATCATCTGACTATTGAATTGTTACTTAATGTAAAGCCTCACCTTGCCAAGACACCTTTCTGCAAGTACCCTAGTTTGGATTTGTGTGATAATGTAAAAAAAATAAAAAACCATACCACATCACAGTAAGTGAATATACATATTTTCTTTTTTTTTATTATTATTGATGTTATTACTAACATTTTATGTGTATCAACTGTAAATGATTAAAAATCCCAAACTAGACATCAGATATGACATACAAAAACTAAAAACCCCCCTGGATCAGGCAACAAGAACACTTCCAGATTCAACCTTAATATATATAAATAACCTTAACTTTTAATTTCTACTTATTAAATCATTTAGCTTTCAACACGGAATAAAATGAAACTAAGTGCAAATGAGCTTTGTGATGTGTGTCTTAATAAAGCACCTGTGTTAACTTTCAATAGACTTTGATTTGGTAATAAACATTACAAATCACAACCACAAATGCTAACAGTACTGTTTGAAATATTCATTTCTTTTTCTTTTGTTTAGGGTGTGAATTATCTGTATGCTTTCTTTTTTAAATGTTGGGCGGAGGGTTTAATGAGGAGGACTACTTTGTCTGAACAATTAAATAGAGGGAAAAAACCGCATGGTTCAGAGGAGGAAGCAGCTGGTGCAGAGGAGAGTTGTCTGGCTGGTCCAGAGGAGGAGGCAGCTGGTGCAGAGGAGAGTTGTCTGGATGGTCCAGAGGAGGAGGCAGTGGTGCAGAGGAGAGTTGTGTGGCTGGTGCAGAGGAGGAGGCAGATTGGTGAGAGGAGAGTTGTCTGGATGAGTCAGAGAGGAGTGAGGCAGCTGGTCCAGAGGAGGAGGCAGCTGGTGGAGAGGAGGAGGCAGCTGGTGCAGAGGAGAGTTTGTCTGGCAGTGGTCCAGCAGGTGGAGGACAGTGCTGGTGGTCCAGAGGAGGTGGCTGCATGTTGCTGAGGAGAGTTGTCTGGCTGGTGCGGTGGGGCTGCAGCCTTTTTTTCATTCTCATATGGACCAGCCAGACATCTCTCCTCTGCACCAGCTGCCTCCTCCTCTGGACCAGCCAGACAACTCTCCTCTGCACCAGCTGCCTCCTCCTCTGGACCAGCCAGACACTCTCCTCTGCACCAGCTGCCTCCTCTGGACCAGCCAGACAACTCTCCTCTGCACCAGCTGCCTCCCGCACCTCCTCCTCTGGACCAGCCAGACAACTCTCCTCTGCACCAGCTGCCTCCTCCTCTGGACCAGCCAGACAACTCTCCTCTGCACCAGCTGCCTCCTCCTCTGGACCAGCCAGACAACTCTCCTCTGCACCAGCTGCTTCCTCCTCTGGACCATGCGGTTTTTTCCCTCTATTTAATTGTTCAGACAAAGTAGCCTCCTCATTAAACCCTCCGCCCAACATGTTAAAAAGGACATTCAAAATTCTGTCCACATTTGTTTGTGGACACTCAATGTTTAAGAAAAAGGTTTCCCTATCAACTTGGTGCTAGTGCACAGCGCAGTTTTATCAACTGCAAATGATTAATGATAATTAAATCTACCAGCGGTAGTGATGGTTCTGAACGACAGGTTATTTTCTGCGATAAAGCCACAGACTCTTAGTTTTAGGTCACAGACACAGTCCACCAGAGCAAGCCTAGTCTCAGTTGTCGCTGAATCTGATGCACCAGGTAAAGAAGTGTGGGAAAGTGCACGAGCTGCCAAGTGCGCAGTTTTGAGCTGGTGGTGAATCCAAAGCTGTTTTCTCATTACTCCCATATAAAAAAATAATAATAGCGAAGTACGAACAAGCACCGGACACCTTCATCTTTTTGCACCATGAAGCAACAGAATCCCATCGTCTCCACCTCATCCAGCCATGCCCACCTCCATTTATTTTTCACTGTTATCAACAGCAACTTATACTGCTCCTTCTTCCATAAACAACGATCCATGATTGTGATTGTGCGTGCATGCTAGGCTAGCTTTGATGAATGAATATAAGACCTGCTAACACACACCTTTCTTCAGCGAGTTTCTTCCGTTCGCTCTCGTTGATTGGCTCTTTTTATCACGCAGTTTTGCATGGGGATCGCCACCAAGATATTATCAAAAGCTCACCAAGACATGTTTGTCCCCATTCCCAGTCACAGCAAAGTACATATTGTACATTCCGTTAAATAAAAAAGCATTGCGTTTGGTAAACGTTAATTATGTCCTACCTTTCCTCTGATAACGCGCCCAGTTTACCGGTCCGCGGGCTGCTGGCTGTTATTGCTCCGTTCGGGATTACATTTTCCTTGTCCTCTTCTCCTTTTCAAAAGCTCCGTGCACTTTTCAGAAACTTTCACCTCCGTGTTACCATCGCTAACTTGGCTACGTCCCATTGCCTTGAATCATTTACGGAGCGCTCATGTAGCTAGCCACGGCACGTTCAAGGCCCACTCGTTACTTTTTATTTCTATATACATATAAATACAATTATATTCAAATTATTAATATATATCTAGATATATACAACAGATTCACACGTATTACTATATATTTTGTTATAATTAACCATTTCATTGTGTGTATTATATTATTATTATATATTTTGTTTTTTTTTCAGACCAATTTCATTTGACGGAAATCCGTCACTGAGACGGAACTCTTTAATCCCTGTTCTAGTTTGAATGTGGATTCTGTAGGAAGAAAACATTCTTAAAGTTTTTAAATGCTGTAAAAATGTGCATAAGTAATATTCAATTTCAACATTTCTGTCAACGTAGTGCGTCATATCCACTGATGCGGCCCCGCGCCAGGCGGCCGCTGTTGTAAACAAACCGGCGTGTGCGCATTGGATCCCAAAGCTAAAAAGAGTAAGAGTCCAAGAATCGATTATAAGACTGGACTAAGAATAAGAATGAATTTCCTTTCAGTCAATGAGAAAGGACTGCTTCATGTTTGTGTTGTAATGAGAATTGTTCCTTGTGTTGCATCACAAGGAACAATGAAGCACAAAACACCGTTCACTGAAGGATTCATTCATCAAAAATTCAGAGAACCCATTTTCAGACAAAGACGGTGAAAGAAAGGGCCATTAAGGACATTAATTCAGCTCCAGCAAACTTCAGCCTGTGATGTGATCGATATGAACAGACAGTGCTGTGATGCAGGTTTGTGAACTCTGAGCCAAAAAGCAGATTTATTTACTAAGCTGAGTCGTCACGTGGTGCGTCATTCTCTCCAGGACACGCTGCAGTGAAAATACACATTTGATAATCATGAACGCTTACTATTTATTTGTAGCCTTTACTTTGTCATTTAGATATAAGGCATATATAGCTAATACAGCTTGCAGCTTGTGTTACCTTCATATAAGCCTTATACAAGGCTGTTATTTTTTTGCAGTTCCAGACAGATGTTGATTTTAGTTTTTTTGTCAAATAAGGCTCTTTGAACCTTTTGAGTTGCCGACACCTGGACTAATCAGACTCATTTATTGGTTCATACAATTTACTTAGAAAAAGGGGCGGAGGGATTTGTCCCATATTAGGGTGGATTGAGATAATTTTTGCCCAAAAGTTACACGCAAAGTGAGAAATATCAAATCTTTTTTCCTTATGTTGATAAAAAGCTAAAAGCTTGGAAAACCCCCAATTTAAAAATCTCAGAAAATCTTATTATATCAAATAAAAATGATAACAAACAAAGGCTTTACAATTAAATTGGCGGTAATATGTATAGCGCAGTGAATACACAAACCCAAAGTGCTTTACAAAAACAACCTGTGCTGTAATAGCACAAGTGCAGTAGATGTGGCTGTAGCCTCCTCACCTTGCAGTGGGCAGGGGCTGTGGGCGATGGTCTGATTGTCTGCGTAGTCCGGACTCTCCTCCACAGGCTTCTCGGGGACGATGGGCCTCACCTCTTTCACTGTGCACGTGTATTTGCAACGACGATGAGGGTCAACAGTGCTCCAGTACCAACGGGACGATCTATGAAAGAAACAACACACTTTTAACTACTGTATACACGTGTATAAATCTTTAAGGACCACTGATGCTCATTCAGCCATAGATTTACAGTTAACTTTTGGACTTTATTCATCATTTGATTTTATATATTTTTTCATTTGCTATTGGCCAAACTCTAACCCACTTATTTAAATAAAGTTAAACATTTGACTCTAAATAAGTGGGTTAAACATTTGCATTTTTATTACATTGAAAAAAAAATATATTCTTCATCCTGGATAACACAATCTCTTAACCACATATGCATATATAAAACTTACTGAAATCCAACAGGAAACAGCCTCCCCTTTCGTGCAGAAAGTTCTGTCAGCACCCCAAGTTTGTCTATGTGCAAGGACCCTGAAGAAAAGCAACATTACTTGTTATTACGGAATAATGATATAATACACATATGAATTTATATGTAAGTATTTATACCGCATGGATCTTTCCACAATTTTTCATATTTAGTGCTGGGAATCTCTGGGTCTCTCCCAATATGACATGCGATAAATGGCTCACAATACAACATTACAACAATATGTCGATACTGCAATTAATATACTGTGATTGTCCATATATTGCTCATATAATTGTTTACAATAGTCCTATCCAAAAGGTCTGTTTATTGATCATCTTTTGCAAATGGTTATTCTTGCAAATAATCGTAAGATACCTGAGAGAATAAATCTTTCAAATGAGATAACATGCCATGGAAGCCCATACTAATTTGCCTTTATTGACTTTATTGTGTATTGACTCCCATTAATTTGAGTCCAACGGCACTCCCCTAGGTATGTTACAACCAAAAACAAAGAGCATTTATTGGATTTTCTTGTGGAAGACCATTACAAAGTGGCAGACAATTTGCAGACATCATTGTATGATGAAAGCAAAGCGAGACATGATTTTATTTTAGGCAATTCTTTTAACAAAGTTCAGTACTGCATGCATGAGCAGGGAGGTTAGTGCAACTGTGAGTCAGGAAAAGTGCTTACCAATCATAACATTTATTAGGGTTGGTTCCACTCCAGTGAGAAACTTCCTGCGCAGCATGATGCCCTCAAAATCCACATAGACTCGACGCTTCACCTCAAACTCTTGACCAGTCACCATCTGGACACAAACATCACCAAAAGGAGTATGAGATTATGAGCACAAACAAATGGCTGGGCTCTTTGTGAAGCTCGGGACCTGCAGTTTTAAACTCTTATGACTCACTTACTCTAAATATGGGGGAACCATGTCTGTACAGAGAAAGATCAATCTTCCGCCTAAAATTCCTGTGACAATTATAAAGGAGGTAATAGTTGGTGTATGAGGAAGGGTTCCTTTTGACTGTAAAAATTCCGTATTTTAACAACTCCTTTCAAAGCTAAGGAAAAGGTCACTGAAAAATCATGTTTATTTGGACCTGTGATAAAGAAAAAAAGAATCTAGCCCCTTCCCAGAAAGTTTGATTTGACACATATTATATGGCCATATTCAAAAAAATTGTGGAAAAAAAGATGAACATTTTAAAAACTAGTTCATCTTCAAATGGAATAATGCAGGTAAGTCAAGGCCTAATTTCATGGTTAGAGACCAGTATTAGTCTATGCTACACTTTAGAAAACAAGGAGTCATATTGAGCAATTGTCCGGCCCAGAGAACGTGGCCCGTCAAAAGGTTGAATAGCTCTGGTGTACAGGTTAAGAATATATATATTAGTCCTTATACGGGAGACTCACCTTGCCACTGATGAGATGCCGGTGTTTGTGACAGTAGACCTTCTTGTCGTCCTGAAATACACACTGCCGCGAGCGTGCGCACATGAAGTGATAGTTACTTTGACATGACGTCAGACAGCATCCCACTGTCGCGCCATTCTTGTTGCAACGCTCACATCGCTGTCAGAACAAAAGAAAAGTCAATAAAGCATCACCACTAACATATACAGCTTTCGTTGACATCAATGGAAGCTCTCATCACCATCAGGCGCCCTCTGGTGACAGCACTGTGCACATGCAGGAGAGATCCATCATCTTCTTCAAAAACCTCTGCAGACCAAAGGCAGCAGTTCACATGGGCCCACTCGTTCTGCCCCAGATACAGCAACCTCCCAGCCTCCTGGAAAAACACACAGACACTTGTAGCTCTTCTCAGCATCAACTTATGAACACGTCTACAGGGATGTCAAGATTCAGGGCACAACATTATAGCAAAACAACAATTTGTTATCGCTTTAAAGTTGGGGTACATAACTTTCAAACCACAGAACATGTCACTATGGAAGAAACATAGTGCTTAACAAGTGCTATATAAACTGATGCATAATTATTATTCATTATCAATAGGGGTGCAACGGTTTGAAAAAAATCACGGTTCGGTTCGTACCTCGGTTCAGAGGCCACGGTTCGATTTATTTTTTGGTTCATTTTTCAAAAAAAAAGTTTTGGCTTTTTAATAAACACAGCTCATGTGGACTCGGCATCTGCTCTGACTGCCCCCCCTGACCTAGAAATGGATAAGGGGAAGGAAATGGATGGATGGATGGAAGGCATATTCCATATTCCATATAAGGCGCGGGAGAGTTGACTTTAGCCCGGTTTACACACTGTGACAGTTTTGTCGAATATTAATTATCAGTGTAGTTACAGTGAAGCCAAAATGCTCTCATACAGGGGATTTAAATGACGTGGGGCTTTCAAGCTCCTCCGTTTCTCTGCTCGTAATGTGGACTGAACAACGTGCGCACAACTCTTTTTTCATAAATCAAACCGCGGATCACGTCTGTACCGAACCGAAGACGTTGAACCGAACGGATCACGGATCAGTGATGAACCGTTGCACCTCTAATTATCAATAGTGAAAAGAGAACCACTCTCACTCTTAGCCCAAAAACTCTTCCAAAGTATGGTTTATAATAACATGGTGACAGCATGTTCTTTAAGGACTCTTTCTGGTATTTATTCATAAAGAAAGTTTGGCTCTCCGGCTTTAACTTTATCATGTAATTTACACATTATCATTTTCAGAATCATATTTGTGTTTGTGACCATTTTGACTGTCATGCAAAACAAGATTACTGTAGAAGGTCAATATACGAAGTGTGAAATTTTCTTAAGAAAACCATTGCCAAATCTAATTTTAAAACAATCAAGATGAATATCTCAAACTCTAAATTTGCAATACAGCAAAGTTATTGTAGCATGTTATTAGACAACACCACAAACCTGATTACTAAAAAATGTGTGACAATTATTGAGTTAAGCATTGATTGTGGGTCCCACAATATTTGTGACATTCTTAAGAGTTTCCTTACACATACTTACATTAGGCTTAAGATCTCCATATTTCTGGCACAAAGAGCACTGTCTCTTGTCTTCTGCTGTCCATCCAGTGTCTAAATCCGCTTTAGAGAGACGACCCCTTTTTCCTGAGCACATTCACAACAATGTTCAAGGTTTAGCTCATGATATCTTGAAATAAGCCTCTTCTTGTGCAACAGTGTAAAGTATGTTAACTTAACTAGTGCACACTTTTGATTATAAATCATAAGACATTTTTTTCAATTTATGTAATTACATTTTGTAATTTATTTTCTAAATATTCATAGATTATTATACATATAATAAGAGCTAACATTTTCAATTTCGAGTACTATTTTATTTACAATATGAGGATATGTTCGAGTTCAATTTTGTCGAACCAACAACACAACCCTGCTGAAACAGCTGCAGGCAAAGTGGGGTTAAGTGTAAAATTAAGTGCACAATAAAACATCAATGAAAAAGGATCACTTCTGTCTCTGTATGTGAACAAGCAGACTTTCATTGTATTAAAAAAGAACATGTACCTTTGAGTTTCAGCCTTGCCATTAGTGACATTCTGCTGGATTTGAAGTGGTTAACTGGATCCTCAAGGGCAGTGGCAGTGGGCTCTTCTTTAATCTTAGGGTTTTGACTGTTCTCTTCCTGCAGGCGCCCAAGAGGAACCCTGGACTGGGCCTCTCTCTCGTGCCATTGAGCGTAAACGTGTTCTGTAGTTGGCGGGTGGACGGCGTTGGAGAGCATGCCCCTGCAGAATATAGGGAAAACAATAGTTATAATATTTGCCTTTGAAACTTCGTCAAATTGATGAGATAATCAAGTTGTAATTATAATGACTCACCGCGGCAAGTCTTTGGTAGATGGGTTCCACACCTTTGGATCTTGACCATTAAACCAATTAAAAACTTCCTCGAGGAGCTGAAACAGTAGAACATATCTTATATTATTACTACACAACATACTGTACTTCTGTTTCCAATACAGAATCTATGACATCCAAGGCTCACGGTACATTTGAAATCTCAATATGAATCTACAAAAGACTTTCTTCTTCTGTCCTCTATTTTAGGAAGGAGAGTCAAAGTGGAGCGCTAAACTAAACTAGTTTTTATTACTAATAGTTAGATTAGACGAGCCATCAGATTTTCATACTTAAACAATTCAGCACTTTATAATTTGATGAATAGATTACGTAATGAGAAAAGGTTATACAATAAGGGCTGGGCGTTATAAACGTTATGCGGGTAAAAATTTGGCCAACGATAGAGATTTTTGTTATACCGGCATATTTCTATAGGTCATTAGGTCATTAAATTGCAACACGCTTAGCCTGCTGGGACCGGCAACAACCACGAGGAGTGTGGCTGCTGGATTCTTTCCGAATTTCTGTTTGCGCATGTCAAAAAGTGTAACTAAACATGTAAACAGTTTGTGTTGTTATATACAGATTATATTATTGATTTGTGTTCATATGTATCAAGGTTTATTACGAGAAATGGCGGAAAAAAGCTCCAAGAAAAAAATACTTTTAGTAGCCGCGCAGCTAGCGCCTAGATGTGTTCAAAGGCACATGGAATTGAGGCACAACACAACACAGTTTAATTCTTGATAAGATTCACTGTCCTTTACTTGTTTAACTAATAAACAAATTTGTTCAATGAGACTTGACAAAGTATGTATGTATGAATGTAAGATAACGGAAAAATTATTACAATTGTTTATTGCAACAATGGAACTTACAAATGGGTGGTTTTATGGCACCCTCTCTAGGTCACACACTAAATGTCAAGGAAATGCTAAAAGTAACAAATAAATTAACATTATCCAGCTCTAAAATTGAAATTTTAAATCAACAACAATCTTGACTATTTCATGCAAGAACCTGCTAGTGAAATTCACACACCAAATTATACCGCAATATGAATTTTAGGCCATATCGCCCACGCCTACAGTGCCTTGCGAAAGTATTCGGCCCCCTTGAACCTTTCAACATTTCAATTTTTTGTCAAGAATCAACAACAAGTGGGACACAATCGTGAAGTGGAACGACATTTATTGGATAATTTAAACTTTTTTAACAAATAAAAAACTGAAAAGTGGGGCGTGCAATATTATTCGGCCCCCTTGCGCTAATACTTTGTAGCGCCACCTTTTGCTGCAATTACAGCTGCAAGTCACTTGGGGTATGTCTCTATCCGTTTTGCACATCGAGAGACTGGAATTCTTTCCCATTCTTCCTTGCAAAACAGCTCAAGCTCAGTGTGGTTGGATGGAGAGTGTTTGTGAACAGCAGTCTTCAGCTCTTTCCACAGATTCTCGATTGGAACCAGGTCTGGACTTTGACTTGGCCATTCTAACACCTGGATACGTCTATTTGAGCACCATTCCATTGTAGATTTGGCTTTATGTTTTGGATCATTTGGCCTCATTCACGAATAACTTCGCAAGAAACTTCTTAAATTTCTTCTCAAGTTGTTATTAAGTAGATTTCTAAGAAGAGCCTACGTGGGATTCATCAACGCGCTCGTAAGCCGCAGAATTGTTCGCAGCTGTTCTCTCAGATTGATGAATGCCAACTCCTCGTAAGTAGAGCGCGCGTGCCCGGTGCTTCATTAGCATAGGTACTTAGCATAGGTAACCGCCCATTAATGCCCTAAAAGGAACTGCAGGGCAGTGTGCAGATGCCAGAGGAAACAGCAACAGGCCTAAAGCAAAGAGTTACACGGAGCAAAAGAGTCACCCTTTTTTCTTCTTTTGCCAGACTGAGAATAAAGTTATAAAATGTTGACTTAAAAGTTGAAATATTATGAGAATAAAGTCGAACTAGCAAAATTATGATGACATTAATTTCAAAATGTTATGAGCTTAATTAATAAAATATATTATGTGTTAATTTAAAAATGAATCTCAGTATGTTTTGAGATTAATCTAAAAATATTTTGGACCCTGGGAGGAGATCCAGCGCGGACCAGCGCTGAGACCAATGCAGACCCGAGGAGAGACTGGAGTGATCAGCACACAGAAACCAGGAAAGACCGCATAGACTGGAGAGACCTGACTGGAGAGACCAGTGCGCAGAGACCAGCGCGGACCAAAGAAAGACCGCATAGACCATAGACCATAGCGAGGACCTGTATGGATCCAGGAGCGTGCAGCACGGACCCGTATGGAGAGACCAGTGCAGACCCGTATAGATCCATGGGAGAGACCAGTGCAGACCCGTATAGATCCATTGGAGAGACCAGTGCAGACCCGTATAGATTCATGGGAGAGACCAGTGCAGACCCGTATAGATCCATTGGAGAGACCAGTGCAGACCCGTATAGATCCATGGGGGAGACCAGCGCAAAGACTCAGCGCAGACCCTGCAACCTCCTGCAGCAGCAGTATATATGCCATTGTTCTGTGACCCGTGGATAAAGAAATGCCCCCTATAAATAGGATGGGGTCACTAATACACGGCAAGATTTCCAATGCATTTGATAAAGCGTTGGCACATTTAATTTCAAAATAAATTAAAAAATAGGCTAAATTACCATTAAATATTAAATAAATAGATACATACATCAATATGACGGACATATCACTGTAATGTGTTTTATTGAACTTCATAACACCAGCGTGCGAACGTGTCGGCACTGAATGTGCGTACGAGTGCTCCTGAGCATTCGTAGGATTTGTACTTACCCAAGAGAAATTCTTGGGTAAGTAGGATTTACGCACAAATTTGTTCTTAAGTACGGTTCGTGAATGAGGCCCATTGTCCTGTTGGAAGATAAATCTCCGTCCCAGTCTCAGGTCTTTTGCAGACTCCAACAGGTTTTCTTCCAGAATGGTCCTGTATTTGGCTCCATCCATCTTCCCTGTCCCTGCTGAAGAAAAGCAGGCCCAAACCATGATGCTGCCACCACCATGTTTGACAGTGGGGATGGTGTGTTCAGGGTGATGAGCTGTGTTGCTTTTATGCCAAACATATCGTTTTGCATTGTGGCCAAAAAGTTTGATTTTGGTTTCATCTGACCAGAGCACCTTCTTCCACATGTTTGGTGTGTCTCCCAGGTGGCTTGTGGCAAACTTTAAACAAGACTTTTTATGGATATCTTTGAGAAATGGCTTTCTTCTTGCCACTCTTCGATAAAGGCCAGATTTGTGCAGTGCACGACTGATTGTTGTCCTATGGACAGACTGTCCCACCTCAGCTGTAGTTATCTGCAGTTCATCCAGAGTGATCATGGGCCTGCATCTCTGATCAGTCTTCTCCTTGTTTGAGATGAAAGTTTGGAGGGACGGCCGGGTCTTGGTAGATTTGCAGTGGTCTGAAACTCCTTCCATTTCAATATAATTGCTTGCACAGTGCTCCTTGAGATGTTTAAAGCTTGGGAAATCTTTTTGTATCCAAATCCGGCTTTAAACTTCTCCACAACAGTATCTCGGACCTGCCTGGTGTGTTCCTTTGTCTTCATGGTTCTCTCTGCGCTTTAAACAGAACCCTGAGACTATCAAAGAGCAGGTGCATTTATACGGAGACTTGATTACACACAGGTGCATTCTATTTATCATCATCAGTCATTTAGGACAACATTGGATCATTCAAAGATCCTCACTGAACTTCTGGAGTGAGTTTGCTGCACTGAAAGTAAAGGGGCCGAATAATATTGCACGCCCCACTTTTCAGTTTTTTATTTGTTAAAAAAGTTTGAATTATCCAATAAATTTCGTTCCACATAACGATTGTGTCCCACTTGTTGTTGATTCATAACAAAAAATTAAAAAATTATATCTTTATGTTTGAAGCCTGAAATGTGGCAAAATGTTGAAAAGTTCAAGGGGGCCGAATACTTTCGCAAGGCACTGTATATACAATGCACTACTTGACACTGATTGCAGCAACATAAGCAGAATGTCTGAGGGCCTATTAAAACATTCTCAGTGGAGCATAATTTCATATAGTTTGGATCCATGTTATAAAAGAAAAGACTCTCTGCATTTCTACATTCAGTCCCTCCCTGCCCCTGTCAGCAGAAATGTGGTCTCCTCAAAGCCCCTGCGGGCTCCGCTCAGACCAAGTTAGCAATCAAACAAAAATGCCATTGCGACTCAGCTGAACCATCTTGGTAGAACTGATTCCGAAAATGAAACAAAACGAGTTAAAACAGAGTCTGTGTCGTGTGGCGTTGGACAGAGGATTCCGGGGGAGCAATGGCGGCTCACATGGAACAGACCAAAGTACCCTCTGGACTATGAGCCGCAACACCGTTTAGTAGATAGACGGCTGTTTTAACTGGTCATATGATTTAATGGCCTTTCCACGAGGGTTCCTGCAAACATGCGCTGTAATCCTACTTTCTGCTGCAGAGTCTTGCGACTGGGTCCATACAAGAAGCATGCATCATACTGTAAATAGTTTTTAATTAGCCGAGCACTCCACACATACAAATCTGTCCAGATTAAAGCTATTCTCCAATTACCCTAGTTTGAAAGACCTGATGCTGATCAATTCAATTATTAATTTTATGCACTAATCACACAATTCCTTACATTTCCTGTGTTCAGCGAAAGCAACATAAGCACGATAGCATAACCGAACAATTCTTTTTAATGATGATTCATTACGGGTGCAGTCAACACAGGAAGGTTTTGGTGCGCATCTAGCCACAATTCTTGGCACATGCTCCATTCAGCACGTGGAGCAGCTCCACAGAGCGGAGCACGGATGACTCAAGCATGAATCACTCAAAAAAAAACAAAAAACTGTAAATGACAAGGGACAACAACAACATGGTCAAAAGATGCTAAGCAGCAATTTTGCATCCTCTGTCTCAGTCAAGGTCCTATTGCAATTTTTTTCTCATTGTAAATTAAAATGTCACCTTCAGGTAGTAAGAGCGTGCCAGAGCCGTGGGCCGCTTCTCCTCTGAAAGATCCTCCTCCTGCTGCAGTCGTTTCCTCACCATTTGAACTACGTCTTCGTGAAACATTTTCTAAAGATGAGAAATGTCATTCATAAAACAGGGCAGCACCAGGTGTCAGAAAGCAATAATGCTTTATAGTTTTATTTTTCTAGGTTTCCCAAAGTCATTATTATTGGATGCAAATATTCAAGTTTGAACTAACTTTGTCTATTGTGTTGACACTTTGCCTGAAATTGACATAAATCATGAGGGAGAAAATGTATAAGAATGTAAATAGACTTGTTCAACAGAATAAGTATAGATCCGTTTGAAATTGTCAATGTAGTGGACAATAAGTCACAAATGTAATGCTCTTTTTAATCAAATCTGATAGTTCAATGGTTTACAAGACTTTACAACTTTACAAGAAAGTACAATTATTAAAACAAATTGTAACAAAGGGCAACTATATGTTAAATAAAGGCAATGAATGGCTGCATAGTTACCAGTGTAGTATAAAGGCCTTTGTCAAACTTCTTTCCCACAGCTCGGAGGTCACAGGCGGGATGTCCTTCAACACCACGATCGGGGTCAACCAACTTTTCACACTGTAGTAAACACAAAAGCACAAGTTTGCCGCAAGCACAAATTTTAAATATGGAGACAAACACATTTTCACCATAGACAGTTTACGGAGTGGACAGTAAACCTGCTTGTGCAGTTTTTCCCCTATTGGCTTCATTCACTTTCCTTAAAAAAATCTAACTCGCAACCATTTATGTCAGACTGGGTTTCAGAAAGTAATTTAACACTCAGGAAGATACTGTTTTTTATTTTCTTTTAAATATTGTCTCCAATCCCCAAATTTTACACGTGTTCCCAAATAGTATAGAGACAGACTACAGAGGTCTCACTCCTACATTGACAAAAACTGGCTTCATATTCTGCCAATGGAGGTTGTTGGAGAATGACCTCATTGCTACCACTGCAAGAAGAAATACTTCTGGATAATCCAAACGATACGTCGGAATGAAAAGCGACATGGTGTCACGGACTGTGATAACGTTAGAAATCCATCCCTTCACTTCTCCGGGGATGTTTGGTTCTTTCTAGATACTCCCAGGGGTGTCAATGTGACTTTTGTCAGGGATCAGAGCTTTTTTAGCTACACTTCAATATTAAAGTCTCCATTATTTTCTTTGTGGAAAGTTGCTCTGTGCCCCTTTATCTAGATTTATAGTTTAGGGTTTGGGGGTATTTTGCACAAACGCGTTATTATCATTATAGTTCTATTGGATTTTTAGTCATGGTTGGACTGAACCAAAACTAGACATAAGGGTGACTGACTATTGTAGGTTGATAGGTCATTTGTGTAGTTTTGTTTTACTATATTAATAATATATTAACAATATAATTACTAAAACTAATCATATGAGTTCAAAAGTTTTGAATACATTTTGTGATGTAGTCGTTTTCCTGAGAAAATTGGCTTTAAACTTACGTATATAGCATACCATAGAAGCCATATTAATGTCATGTCAAGGTCGGACATGGCTGCAGCAAATGGCCGTTTAATCAATTTTATGCATAAAAGAAACACATGATTAACACATACACTGATTGCACATCTTTGCAATATCGCTATTGATCTTGCAATCAACAAAAAAAAATGATATATTGTACAGCCCTGTCAAACGCTGTCGACTTCCTAGCGCTCACTGTCCGCTCCTTTCTACGGCCCACGATTGCCACAACAGTGAAAAGCACCTGTGAACATGTGACGAGGTGCTGCGTGAGTGTGGAGGAGAGCAGACACGCCAGGACCTTCTCGATCCCAGACCGCAGCTCAATGTACAGCAGCTCTCTCCAAGCGCTGGGCTGCGTCACGCTGCACGGGCGGCACGAGTACACCACGCTCTCCGGCAGGCTCGACAAGATCTCGTACAACTCGTCTGGAAGCAGTTCAGATGTGAGATTTACCACTGTGTGTTCCACTTGAATATGGAGGACCAAAAATGACTAAAGTATAAATAAATAAATAAATAAATAAATACAGGAGTATATTAATAAATACATTCATTTTGGACAATAAAAACTAAATATATTTACATTGATATGCTAAATATTACTCTGAAATCAAATAAATATACTTTTATTTACGTTATTTATCAAAATCTACATTTTTTCCTTTATCCATTTATTGCATATATTTATTTATGTATTTCTACATTTCTTCATTTATTTATTTATGTATTTCTGTGTCGCTACATTTCTTCATTTATTTATTTATGTATTTCTACATTTCTTCATTTATTTATTTATGTATTTCTACATTTCTTCATTTATTTATTTATGTATTTTTGTGTTCCTGTATGCTAATTAGGTGGGCGGTGCTGAACTCAATCTAGAACAGGATTGGTTAGGATTGCGTGAACTCTGGTCTCGATCATTCCTGCCTCTAGCTAGAGATCCTCTGTGCACTTTTGTGTGGTATGATGGCAGTTTCGAATGTAAGTTTTTTAGGAGCCATTGCTCATCAATTAAGAGCATTAGCAAATGATGTTAATGATGTTGAGCATAATGCACCTGAGGACTATCTACTCTTTCGGCTGGAAAGACTATTAAATGTTTTAGTTCATCACAGTGCTGACCCAGAGGTAGACTTTGATGCAACTGTGCTGGACGCTCTTCAACAAGCAGCAGCTTCACATCCTCTCACAAACCAAGAAGGCTAAAGCCTAGCGTACATCGGACTGGCAACTGATTATATCCGTCGCATATGAGTTGCTGCCCCGCACACATCGACAATCTGACGAAAACAGGCAACTCCCAGTAGCAGACCAGTCTCGGGAATAACAGCGGTACATAGACAGCAACTGGCCTCAACTACAGTGTGTTTTCTGACATAAACTGTTGCGGGCTCGCAACACACGCAATACACACATGTTGTCGGAGCGGCGCATGGAGCGCGCACATCGGGTCATGTCTCAAAAACTGAGGACAACTAGTTGCCGAAAAGTAGAACACAGGCAACTGACTGAAACTGGAGACCGACTGTTCATCTCCAGTTGTAAGAGCGCGCACATCGACCGATTTCAACTGATCATCTCCTCTCAGTTGCCAAAAGCCGCCTTGCAACTTGTCTCCAGTTTCTCTGTCGATGTACGCTAGGCTTAACTTTGCTTCTGTCTGGTTGCCCTGGCTGACCTACTGCCCACCAATCCTGTTCTAGATTGAGTTCAGCACCGCCCGCCTAATTAGCATACGGCAACACAGAAATACATAAATAAATAAATGAAGAAATGTAGAAATACATAAATAAATAAATGAAGAAATGTAGAAATACATAAATAAATAAATGAAGAAATGTAGCGACACAGAAATACATAAATAAATAAATGAAGAAATGTAGCGACACAGAAATACATAAATAAATAAATGAAGAAATGTAGAAATACATAAATAAATATATGCAATAAATGGATAAATAAATAAAGGAAAAAATGTAGATTTTGATAAATAACCTAAATAAAAGTATATTTATTTGATTTCATAGTAATATTTAACACATCAATGTAAATATTTAGTTTTTATTGTCCAAAATGAATGTATTTATTAATATATTCCTGTATTTATTCATTTATTTATTTATACTTTAGTCATTTTTGGTCCTCCATACTTGAATGTATTTGTGTACATGTGTTCAATGGCTTGCCTGTTAGATCTTCACACTTTGCATGGACCCAGTGATTACAAGTGCCGCACTGCATCATCTGACTGTCGTAGTCGTTGTCCTCGTAGCATTTGAAACAGATCGGACAGTAGTTGCCTAATGTGGGATAAATAGACATGAAACAAATAAGATGAAATTTCATATCAGAGAACATGACTTCAGCTGATGGCTTTATTGTATTGTCCCATTTTGGACATATTTCCACTTAGTAATAACTGGAGAATAGGGCCATGCATTGGGCACATTTTAGCTCCTGCGCTGGGAGAGGTACCTAACCACTTAGCAACCACCAACCCGCCGGCGGGTTGTTTTTATGTTTTTAAATGTTCTGCTGGCAATAGCAGATGTATTTTGAACACCAAACCCCAAAAGCTGTATATCATTTTAAAGCTTATTTTCTTATCTACATTTACATACAAGTGTAAACTACATCAGACGTTGCATTCAAAAGATATAACACATAATGTGGGCACAAAATAAATCAATTCGGAAATAGTTTTTTACCTTTGAGCTTGTGCTGTACAAATAAATCAGCTCTCCTCCCAGCTTGCTATGGCTTATTCTCTTCATAACTGTCCATGGAAAACGTAAATCCACTTGTGTTTCCCAAAGTATAATCCATTGTGCAGAAATCATCCAAAAACGAGCATTTATTTTTAGCGAGAAAAAAAAATTGAAACAGCGCGGACGCAGCTTTTCACTGTTTACGGAAATGCAGCTTTGCCTTTCCCACACAAAGAGGGTATGCTTGTGTTCCTCACCTTGTTAGCTACACAATGAGACTATCCCCGAAGAGATAGGTGCTTGATTTCGTTCGCTACGTCTCTGTGAGTAAAACAAGCGACTCCCTTTTACGCACGGGCACGTTCTGTTTGTTGTAAGCTGGGCAGGGAGGGGCACGTGCTAGACCCGAATGAATGACATGGCCGTGTAGCCAATGAGGAAAGCTTTCGAACAAGGGGTGGGACAATGGTGTCCTGTTTTATGTTGGGCCTGGATTATTGAGCGTACTGGAAGATAAAAGACGCTCTCGAATCTGCAATGAATTTACACTCATAAAAAAATAACTTTGACATTTAAAAAAGAAAAACACACATAGATTAGTAACTTATAAGTACCAATAATAAAAAATATTGTTTTTATGATGATTAAATGTAAGTAAAGATATTTGGCACAATTTGGCACACTTGTGCCAAATTGTGCCAAATGTGCACTACTTGATGAAAAGGAGAAACTGCATAAAAACTATAAAACTTAGAAGTCTGAAACTTTAGACAGTTGTTGTCAACAACACAATGAACAGAGGGTTTGAATATTGTGAACTTACAATGAAGTATGCCTTTTTTAGGGCCTTTAGAAATTGAAAATGTTAGGCGAGGCTAAAAAAATTGGGTTTTTTTCCCTAACTTCAAAGGATGCAGAGGAAAATAGGAATGACAAACATTATTTTAGTGTTTTTTTACATAAACTAGAAGGCTCTAGCTTTAAAATGATGCATCACACAAGCATGTGAGATGTAAGATGTGTTTTTAAATAAGCAAAGACATTTGGGTATGCCCAACCATTGTGCACGAGCCAAAATGAGGCGGTTGTTAAGAGGCTAAAACATACCTGCCTAATTGGAGTGAGACGCGTTCATGACCTACTGCGCCTTGTGAAACAAAAGCACATGACGGAGCAGTCACCAATTGCACGCTCCATTGGCTCCACAGGCATCTCTACCCGGAGCATCTGCAGCGCTGTATAGGTTCAATCTAGAGTTTAGTTGAGGAAAATCCAGGTTCAGATGCGCCTTGTTAGCCTGCTCGTACCACAACATAGTACATTTCGTACTAAGGTCTGGAGGTGCTCCATTGAGCTCCGTTAACAGGTGGGAGGGGTTAACTCCTTTTACCGTGACGTATGTCGTGCGCCCGAGTGAGTCGTTAGCATTTAGCATTTAGCCTAGCCATCTCCTTTGCCGCTAACGGAGCCTGTGTGGAGTAGCACCACAACTTTTTCAAGCAATTACATTTGCTAAACATTCCTCTTGCTCCAGCTTCAATTTCTTGAGAGAACCAGACCGGATTACTTTACTATCGCATTTTTCGCCATTGCCAACCTTACCGTTCGACGCAAACTCTTGACGTCACCCACAACTAACTACAACACCCGCCTTCCGTACTCGCTGATTGGTCGGTCGAAATTCAAGCGATTGTAATCGCTAACATGGGGACCAGACCCAGACGTTATATGCAGTGAAATGATGATTGAGTGTACGGATGGCTAAGGCCAGGCTAGCGCCTTACAGGCCGGCAATTATTGTACAAACATGCTACTTTTGTAGGTGCTTTGGGTGCTTTGAACCCAACGGCTCATACAGTGATGATACCAATGTTTAAATTTCTATTGTGTTAGAGCACCCTCCTGAATGCACACAGATGTAAACAGTTAATTTGTCTGATCAGTTTCAGCTTCCCGTTTCCCCATATTCTCCCATACATTTGTCACATGTATGGGATAAAACAGACATTCAAGAGTTTATGGAAGTTTTAGTATCAAATAATTGGATGCATGTTTATAGTCAAAGCAGATAGGATTTACAGCACTGATTTGACCATAGCCCCAACATGGACGCTAGCAGCTAAGGTGAGCATGCTAACAAAAGCTAATGTCTGCCTTCTCAGAGTTTATAGGAGTTACTGTTGCTACAAATGGCGCCATGTGCAAGACCTGTTGTGGCTGTCAAGTGTGGCTAATAAATCTACAGAATGTACGTTATTTTCAAATTTAGCAGGTGCGGAAAATATACAGGGCCGTTTGATATTTCGGAAATTAAGGTACATTTCTGTAATTTGTGAGACTTACCCTGTTCATAGAGAGTGGAACAGTCAGGACACAGGCCTTTGTCGTGGTTCCACTCCGAGTCCAAACTCTTCCCAGGTGTGACTCCGCAGCTTTTACATCTCATACAGGTCATGCACACCTGTAACAGAGTCGTAGTGTTACAACTTTCAATTGCATTTATTTACATAAGGCAAAAGCCAACAGTAAACTCACCCAAGATTTTCGCTTCTTATTTTGTTTTGGATAATTCGGTCCCAAACAGGAAGCATGATAACAGTTCTGGCAACGCTCACATTCCAACAACGGCTGAGTAGAAGAAGAAAAAGCATGAATATCAATCATCTCTTTAAACTACTGCTACATTGGATGAAAAAACAAAAACGCTGACCTTTACGTGCTTATTTTTTCGCCCACACACGTGACAGAACTTGCATCGCCGACAGCACCAGTTCTCCTTGTTATCGCTGGAGGGACGCTCTGACGGGTCAAGGCAAAACTGATGGAATGGCTCGCAGCAGACTTGGCAATACAGCATCTGCACAGGAGGAGCACGCCTTTAAGAGCTGGTCATATCTGTGGCCCCCTCAAAAGTAATAATAAAATGTGCAACCATGTAAAGTTATATATCATTTTAAAGCAAATTTTCTATAGAAAACAACTAAAATCCTACAAATGTTCATGAGTAAGCAGGCTTTTTTGTTGTTTTTATTAACAATGCTATACAATACAGCAAAGCAGGAAAAAACTATGATGTGGCTGTATGCTGCTGGTGTTGCAATCAAGCAAACCTGGGTAAGAAGGTGCTAACCAAGGTTGTGTTAAAAAAGTGACGGCAAACAAAAAAAAATAAAAAATAATAGTAAACCAGATATTTTTTAAATACATAATAGTTTTGGAGCTTGCCTCATGCTGCCCTTTGCTGGCACAGAGGAAACACGCGTATGGAGGCGTTAGGGGGGCAGAGGAGAGGACGCTCAGGCCACCAGTGCTCCACACGTTCTCCAGAGTACAGTCCTCCTAAACACAAAACACACAAGGTTTATTAAAGCTGAAGAACCCAACTTTGAAACTTTAATAAAATAACTATTTATTAAACTCTATGTAATGAGTTCCTCACCTATCATTATATTTCACATGCATGTATTTTTGGTCTCCGACACAAATTTAGATCAAATATTTTCCAGAGTTCAAACATGTTTCTTCTAAGTCAAGTTCAAGTCTTTTTCAGACCTTTTTAAGGCCACCAACCAGCAAAGTAGTTTGGACTTGGGGCAGTGTTGTAAATTTTACTTTTGAGGAGAGTGCAATACAGAGAAGTTACATACTGTGCAATGTTAATACACAAATATAAAAATCATGAATTCAAAACAACCCTATAGGAACCATGTTTTTCAATGAAAATTGAATATTTTCATTGAAAAAGTTTTTTTGTGAATAAAGACAGCGTGATGGGGCAAACAAAATGCATTTGTGAAACCAAAAACACTGAACTGCTTTATAAAGGCCTAATGAGGAAATACACTATTCTTTGTATGTTATACTTGTGAGATGCATGAAAAGGAGCAATACCTTGAAATCCACTCGGATTTTGTGAGTGGGCTTTGTCAACTCCCGATCATTTTGCTCAAAGCCATGAGCCAAAGCAGCAAGAACACTGGGGGGTGTCTCCTCTAACGAACTCTGAACAAGGGAATGACAGTAATTAACGCCCATAAAGTGTTCACACAAACAATAAACATTTAACTTAAACACCGAAGGCTTCATAAGAAATGTTTGTATGCTAAAGACGTACTTTGTCAGGTTTGCGCTTTCCACTGGGAACTCGATGTGAACTAGATTTTCTGTGTCTCACTTCATCATCTGAAATGTCTCCCAAGAATCCATCTAATGAGACAAAATCTTGAAAAAAGACAGATAGAGATTAGACAACAGTTACTGGTGACTTTGTGCTGACGCTGTTAGAATGCTGTGAACCTTCATTGAATCGAGGTCCAGCTCCTCTTCTTCTGGCCGGAGAAACAGAGTTCCCTTTGCTGTCGTCTCCATCAGACTCGTAGTCGACCAGGTCAAAGTAAACCTTGGGCTTCACAACACGTTTTGGCTGCTTCCGAACAGATGGACTGTTGCCATCAGCCTGACCTGAGGGTGAGTCTGCGGTTCCCTCGCCTCCTTCATCGTTACTTGAACAAGCTCCGCTAAAGGAGGCACGTCGACGCTTGGAGGCACCTGAAATGCACACGTGACACTGTTCACACAGGCTCTTGATACAGAGATTCAAGCACCAGAGCAGAAATACCTTTGGGGACTGTTCTTCCGGTTCCTCTACGGGCTTTTCTTTCTTCTATTTGATCACACCTCTTGAACCTTTGTCAACAAAACATGTAACCGATTCACATATTGTAAAACCAATTTCATACTGCACCAATTAAAATGCACACTTACACACAACATTGTCGCTTGGTATTGGGACCCCCAAACTTGGGTTTATCAAGGCAGTTAATACATCCCCCACAATCGTCTTCGTGGTTGCAGCCTTTGCAAACTCCACATCTCCGAGAACGATATCCAAATGGTCCAAGCCCTTTGCGTTTGATCAAAGCAGACCCTTTCTTTACTTTTGTGACCTTCTGATCGGAGGCCCCAGGGCTGTCGGATTCTGAAGGAGACCCGTTATCTGCAAATCAAGAAAGATTATGCATTATTTTTTTTCCATTCAAAGTGATAATGAGACTATTTTTTTTACCCATGGTTTTGAATGTGAGATATACACTAGGGCTGGGCGATATGGCTGAAAACTATATCACAATTTAAGTAATCCATATATCGGTCGAAAACAATATATATTGAGATTGTTTTTTTAAACCTAAATAAATACATTTGTCGGGTCGGCTAACACACGTTAGCAGCCCTGTTTACAGTCACGGGGGCATGAGGCTAGAGGAATATGTTCACAAGCACAGTGTCCCCCATTGTTAATCCTGGTTTAGTCCTGGTTTAGCTCCTGTTTCGGCTGTTTTCGAGTGTCTTCTTTCCCCTTGATGGCTCCGTGCAGCTATCAGAGAGCCGCACGTGCTTCCAGAGGAAAAAGTTAATCTCTTGCTTTTGCCAAATGCTTTGGGTCTCTGTGTCCACTGCCTCTGCCATGCTGCACATGCTATTCCTCGCACCGCCGTGCATAACTATTGACACGACTTTGAAACACGATCTATAGATCCATGGACGCTACGCATGGTGCGGTTGTTGTTTTTGCATTTCCCAGAATGTTTTGCGGTTCATACTCGGCTGTGATAGGTCGAGAAGCCTTTGCCTATATCCCCCAGAATGCTGCCCACTTCTGACTGGGCTTTACTTCCTGTGTTTTCTTTCTGTTTTTTCTAACGGAGTGAAGTTGAACTATTGAACATTCTATCAACCCTGTTTTCTATTGATATTGAACATGTGTCTATCGTGATATATATCGTTATCGTTTTATCGCCCAGCCCTAATATATACTCTTAACAAGACTGAGAAATGAGCTTTAAGACAGAAGGGGCGGAGTAAGAGGTTTGTGCCAAAAGTTCCTGATATAAGTGTGAAGTAATCTAAAAGCAGGTCTGTGACGGATGAAGGAAGAATTTTGTAAGCATAATATATCTCCTTTAAAGTCCATTTCTATTTATATAGAGGAATCCTTTTTAAATGATAGGAACCTTTAATGTCTGTGGAAGGAGAAATGCCAGTTCTTTCGTGGAGAGGCAGAGCGCTAAGTCGGGGAATGTCATCAGGCACCAGGGCCCGAGGCTGTCCAAGGACCACAGAGGCTGCACGGCAAACGTGTTTGATCCGGGGACCTCCGGCGTGACGGAACTCCTGGCAAAGAGGCGACGTGACCTGAGAAAGATCCGCGAGATACAGTCAGCGAAGAGCAAACGTATCAATATCAATATCAATAGGCATTTCACAGTGTAACAACCATATTATGATCCTGGTACTTTGCTAGTTAATTTTGGGCAAAATCATACATAATAGGAACTAAATATAAGGTGACAGACTTGACATTTTTTAGCTCCTGCTCTGGGGCAAGTAATCTCAAGGAAACTAGGAAACACTGGAAAAAAAAGGCTTACAGGTTATTGAGTGAAACTATATGATTTCCCCCACTGTGGCCCTTTAACACAAGATGTAAAATATAAAAAGCGCTTCATCACGGGTAAGATGGGAGAATGCCACAATAAAGTAAAAACAAACTTCTGAATTGTAAGATGGATCTTTAGAAGATCCATCAAACCAGAAGGAACCATATAATGTAGTACAAGTTTATCAACCCCATGGAGAAACAAACCATAAGACAATTATTAAGGAAACATGGGACCTTCACTCTTGATACACGGCTTGATAAGCTATAATTATGCATAGAATTGTCCCTTGTGGGCAATAAAACCATTTTATTTTTTTGTCAAAGGGCGCCCCAGTGTTTTCATACAGTGTGACTGCAGCTATACGTTCAGTTGTTGTTACTTGGAGATCCTAATCAGACTTTTTATCTAAAACACACCATGAAAATGTGACTTATTAAAAGCATTTTTTTAATAAGTCACATTTTCATGGTGTGAAGATAACTTTTGCAACTTTGAAGACTATTTGCCATTTCAATTTGTCCTACAGTGTCCTACAGTAATTTCCCTTGTGAATCAATTAAATTGGTTTCCGCCTGATCTTAACAGCCCTATTTGAGTACTGACCACAAGTTATTTTTTGCATACTTGTAAAAAAATAAAAATCCCTGTGAGTCACTAATTGATATTAGGCTGAAAACCTCATTTAAAAAGATAAGACAGTCCTCCCTCACTGCCTTCAAAAGGTGATTTAAAGCCCAAAATACATACATTTGAAAACTAGTTAGAGAACCGAACTGTTGAGAAAATGAAGAACTAGCTGTACAGCCAATCAGTGCCACTCCCTTCACTAAGGATGTCACATCCTGCCCTACATACACAACCGTACAAGCCCGCTGTATGGCTCCTTCTCTCTGCTGCCATCAGGCAGGAGATACAGAACCCTGCGATGGCCCGAAAAAACATCTACAAGAGATCGTTTGTCCCGTCTGCAGTCACCGTTTTAAACAACCGGTAGCACTGCCAAAATTATGTTGTGTCTTATGTATTTTAAGTGTGCTTTAATTAATGATTTTTAAATGTGCCGTGTAGAAAGACAAATCTCTGCTCAATTTGAACAGACAATAAAGTTCTATTCTATTCTAGTTTGAAGCATTTTATTATAACATACTTGCTCCATTTTAGCGTGAAAATTAGCTTTCCATAGCAGTTTTAGGCTTTAGCCATAATAGGCTTCATCAGTGTTGTTTACACATCTCCCAGACTAGGATCTAAAAAAGTGTCTGCTGTCTGACCCAATTCCCATGTTCCAATTACAATAAGTGAAAACTGTTTGTACAGTGTGAAAATGCCTTCACTAAAATGTTGAGTTGATGGGATGTCATTGTGAGACTTGCCTGGACTTGTGGTGGTTCGGTCTTGATTGGAACCTCAGGGACAGGCTGAACCTTCTGCCTCCTCCTTTGCCTTTTAGCTGTCCCATCCCGGGGTCTGGAGGCAGATGGAGTAGATAGAAGCTGTAGGGCAGAATAAAAGCAAGTTAAGTCATCAATAAGTCATATTTAATGTTTGGGGGCCTAAGTTTGAAACCACAGACATTTATTGTAATCAGATTTTTATACTCAAAGGCCTCTATTGCATTTTTAAAATCAACTTTTTCAGACAGAAAAAGAGAAAAAAAAGAGAGGACCACCCTTGCACAGCCAACCAGAGCACTCATTAGTGATATCACTGTTGGTGGAACAAACCAAATCTAATATTTATGCAAATATTTTAAGGTTGGGGTTCCTAACTTTAAAACATTTGCATAAATATTAGATATGCTACAACATGCTGCCTTTGCTATATTTTGTACTTTACATACTGAAAGCTGATTGGCTGAGAGGAGGCTAAAAAAAAGCTGATAAAAAGATGTGACAGAAGTTAGATATACATGCATGTGAAAACTAGTGATAGAACCAAAACTGTTTTGAGGGCTAGGAATTAGTTACAACACTATTACATAGTTAAATTATATATTGGGTTTCAAAGTTTGGTACTGCTGTCATTTCAAAAGGTTCGTAATATAATTGCGAATCTTACTGTAGTGGTTTTGAGTTGCTTTTGCTGGTCAATTTTGAATAGCTGAACTTTCGCTTTCTTCAGGAGATTGAACATCCTTTTATTGGCTCCGGTGAGACGTGATTTTTGCGTAGTGCCCTTTTCCGTGGCTGCCGGCTCATCGGCAGCAGGTTGAGACTGCTTCTTCTCATCTGCACATTTTTGTAATATGTTATAAATCACATATCACATTCAAACCAGGGATCATCAAATCAATGGGATGCATGTGCTTACCTTGATAACTTTTGACTGGCTGTTTTTCTAGAGTAATAGTCTTCAAGTTCAAATTTTTTATACAGACTTTTCTCACAACCCCGGGACTATTGAGATCTTCTATTTTGAGTTTTGGTTTTTCCTTCTCCACCTCCGTATGCCGCTGTCTTAAGCTAATACTCATCACCTCATCGTCCAAGCCTTCCGCCAGATCGACAGGAGCAGCTTTGATAGCACTGTCTACTTCTTTGGACTTGGGATGACCCGTGTTAAGCTTTTTGAATTTCTGGAAAAAGGGATCTGCTTGCTTGCTTCCTTTGTTGAACAAACTTAGACTTTTCTGAGTTTCGGGAAGCTCAGGCGGTGCTTCTGGAGAAACGGGGGGGAACAACAGCAGCTCGTCACACTTGTTCTCTTGCGCTTTGTCAAGTGTGTAGATATTGTCGAACTCGTCTGGCCATTTGAAGCTAGAATTCTTCAAGAAGCTTTCCTTTTCGTTCTTGCCGCTTTTCTTCTCAGAGAAAAGGCTGTCGGAAATGCAGGAGGCGTCTTCAAGTTCCTGTGCTGAAAACAGGTCGACATCCAGCTGTGCTTCGCTTAAGAAGTCTTCGTCGTCGAGGGGAAGGATTGGGGATATCGCTCTCAGAATATCCTCGTCTTTCCTCTTCATCGGCCGGACTGGCGTCGGTAAGCCCAGCTGTAGCCCTTTCTTCGGAGAGTGTCTTCGCGGCAGCACGGACATCCCAGCGTCGTCCATGAATCTCTGCGGGGTCTTGATCACACGTGAAGATCTGGCACTCACCACAGGCATAATGAAATGTTTGATGTTCTTCACAAACTTGGATTTCCCAGGCTGCGCTTCGGCTTCGGCCCCGTCCCCACGCGAAGAGTCCACCAAAGTGTCGCTCTCCTCCTGCTTCAAACTGGCTTCTTCCATCGCCATGATCTTAGAAATTATTTTCGCAGCTTTAGATCGTTTGGATTGGGAAATGTGAAGGTTTTGCGGCCTTTTCTTGAACGTTTTATTCACCCCAATGAGCTTGTTGTTTGTGGAGGACGCACGTATTGAAAGCTTTTTGGGAAATGTACTCTTTTTCTCGTGAACTGCATTGATGGAGGGCTCGCCTATGAACTTCCCGTTTCGGTTTCTTTGCCTGGGCTTCTGTCGCTGTCCAATCAAACTCTTGCGCCGCTTTTTAAATTTTTTCAAGGATTTCTTTTTAGAGTTCACCTTTTTCTTTTCTTGATTTGCGACTATAGGCGGCTGCATATCAATTAACTGGATTTCATTTTCTTCTTTGACAGACATCATTGCTTGTGTGGGGCTTGTGGGGCTTTTTTCTAATGCTGGACTAGGCAGTATTGCTTCGGCAGGTGTACATTCCTTCATTTCAACGGAAGAGCTCTCTGTTAGCAGGGGAAGACTGTCTTTTTGCATCGCTTCAGAGATGACGCTTTCCACTATGGCCGATACAGTGTCTATAAACACTTCTGGGGCAGCCTCTGCAGTCACCACGCTACTTGTCTTTTTTTGCACAGACCTCCTTTTCCGTGTAACCGTATTTTTCCGGCATCGTCTCGGTTTCGTTTTAGAAGGCGCAGGCGCTGGTTTGGCCTCTTTGGAAAGCGATTCGACGTCTTTCTCCGCATCGGGCTGAGAGTTGTTATCTGGCACTTGTTCTGCAGCAGGACTGCATATTTCTAAGGAATTCTTTTCAGCATTTTCAGAAGCATCGACAGTGGTCACCTCCTCAGTTACTGGAGTTTTTGGAGTCAAATCTTCACAAGGCTTTTCCGGAATGACAACTTCTGTACTTGAATCCTCCACTGCACTCTCCTTGGTTGGTTTTTGGGTGATTTCCTTTTCCTTTGCATTTGCCCTACCTCTTCTTTTTGGAGCTGTCACCGGCTTTTGGTTAACAGGTTTTTGGGGAACCTCCGTGTTTGATGTTGTTCTTCTCCTCAGCAGTCTTGTGGGCTCCTCCTTTTCTCCTACTGATGTTTTCTTCTCCTCTACAAATGTCACCGGTTCTGTAGTGCCAGGTGTCACGTGTTCTGTGCTGGCAGGTTTCACGTGTTCTGACGTGGCAGGTTTCACGTTTTCTGTTGTGGCAGGTTTTACGTGTTCTGACGTGGCAGGTTTCACGTTTTCTGTCGTGGCAGGTTTCACGTGTTCTGTCGTGGCAGGTTTCACGTGTTCTGACGTGGCAGGTTTCACGTTTTCTGTCGTGGCAGGTTTCACGTGTTCTGTCGTGGCAGGTTTCACGTCATCTACAGTGGCTGGTTTCACGTTTTCTCCAGTGGCAGGTTTTACGTCTTCTACAGCGGCTTCTTTCGCGTCTTTATGAAGCTCTTCTTTCTTTTCAAGCGCAGCACAAACTTGTTGTATTAGAAATGATGGTTTTGAGCTTTTACTTTTACCAGGGGATGACACCTTCTTAATCTGCAGAGGGGGAATTTTCTCACAGTCGGATTTGAGAGGTTCTGGATTTAATGATTTCTCTTCCTTTTCTACAACATCCTCCTCAACTTGAAGCTTTGGAGCGGGGGTACTTTCAGGGACTTCAGTTATATTTGGGGAACCTTGCTCATCAGTATCTTTATCCTTCTTACTCTTTTGAGAGTTTGATTTATTCAGTGACGCTTTTTTCCTTCTTGGTTTGACATTCTTTTTTACCCGAATGACATCAGCAACCTCACTTTCCTCAGTTACTTTGACAGAGATCTCCCTTGTCGGTGTTGGACATAATGTTTTCACTAAGGCCAGACTCCAAATATGCTTCTTCCTTTTTTTCTTTTTTCGAGTTAAATTCTTTTCACTGTACTGTGCCTCATATTTTGGATTTTTAATACGTACCAATTTCAATTTAAGAAGTGCACTTTCAGATCCCGTCTGACAGTCAGTAGGCTGCAGAGTGATGTCACTCTTTGCTGATAATGAATCCTTGCTATCTTGATTTTGAACATCTTTATTGAGCCGTTTACTTTGCCTCCTCTTATTATTATTTTTATTATTCAGTGTTGTAGGTTTTACCTCTTCATTCGACTTTGTATCAGCTGAAACAGCCTCTGTACTGGCCAGACTCAGCTCAGCTGCATTGTCTGGAGCACTGCTTGGAAGTGGGTTTTTGACCCTTGAGCTTCTACGAGTACCAGGCGTATGACCATCTGAACTGGACGCCCTGACTTTATCCTGTTTGACGGTTGCTTTTGGATCTGTGGCTCCACAGTCACTTGTAGATTCAATCTGATTTACGGATAGTGTTTTTTGTTCCACAGCTTTGGTGATATGATTTGCAGTCTGTGCTGGCTTGGCAGCCGATCGGCCACGCCTCCTCACTTGTGTGCTCTCTTCAGCATTCTCCACAGTGTCATTCTTTTCATCAAGTGGTTCTGTTTTTAATTTCACATGAGCACTTGAAATCTGCTCATCCAGAAGATCCTTTGTTTCAGGTTGATCCTCAAGTTCTTTTTCTTTTGACTTCTTCATACCGTGTTTGTGAAGACATCTTGCAGTTCTTGTTTTCTTTTTGGCAACTAATTTAATAGTAATCCTTGGTGCTGATTCAGTATTTTTTGTGAACTGGTGATCTTTAGTGTTCTTTTGTTTAGATCCTTTTTTACAGTCTTTAGTGGGATCTGTTTGAGAGGATGGATTTTCTATTTGGACCATGTCTTTGTCATCTTCGGAAACATAAGACGAAACCTCTGTATCCACCGAGGCTGAAACAGGTACCCTCTCCATTCGACTTCTCAATTTGACGCTGTCACCTGGGGGAAATGTGTATTTTATTATTACATCATCAAATATTTCTTATAAAATAATATCGAAAAATATAATTCGTACCTTTAAGAAGGTTTTGTCGGAATGCTTTGGAACCCTTTTTCTCAGAGCCAAAGCCTTTGAAATCATCCACCTGAAAAAAAAGTGAAATAGGATTATATCAATGTAATGTGCATGTTGTGTAAAATAGCCATTCTCACTCACACATGCTCTTGCATACATTGTTGCAAGCCAGGGTGTGTATTGTACTGGTGTTACGTTTAGAAAATCATAGCAACAATAAAAAGAACCTTGAAGAAATATAAACTACAAGACGGAGTGCCCTTTACTGGGTGAGTGAGCAGCACACTGGCGGACAAGCAGATACAGGGAAACTGTAATTACACACTTATAACCCACCAACATCGTAACACGTGTGATGGGGCTTAAACGTTAACGTTATAAAATAAGAAAGCACATTTAACATATATTATATATACACCCGGATCCTTGATGCAACGCTAATATTTAGCAGAGATTTTACGGGAAACTATTACTGCTTTCAATACATTAAAGTGTCACACTTCTAAACACCACAGTCCATAGATGTTTATGTGTGAAACTGTGTATTCCTGTACAATCTGTCTGTCCAGTTTTCCTCATTTCAACAGTAAATACCATATGTTAGCATTAGCCGTTCTGTGCTACGGTAGCGCTGCCTTCTTTGTGTTCGCACTAGCGTTAGCTGCTACTCCCACAGAGAAGCAGAGCAGATAAATGCTGTGTTCTGATTTTAAAAGTATGTCCACAGTTTGTACAATTGTCAATTAGCATAGCTTAAAATGTGACAAGCAAAGAGCAAGTCTTTTAATATAGTATAAAGTTAAACACAACCGAAACGTGTGTGTCTTGTTATGGTTGATCATTAAATGTCACGAAATGTTGTACTTGGCTAACATTAGCCAACAGCTAGCATGGTAATAGGATGTTGACATTTCTCCATGACACTAACCAGCAGGCTCTAGTGCAGAACATTCATTCAGAAACATTTCAACACACACTCCAAATATAAAAATAAAGTAAAGATACTGACTCCTGGGTGGGTTTGGGACCTCACCTCTTCGCTCCCACTTGAGCTGTATCCAGCCTGGAGGCTCTGGTGGCTCTGCTCTATCCCCAGTAAGCGCAAGTGGGACTGCTCTTCGTTTAACGACAGGACGAGGTTTGGGGGCCTTTGGCCTCCATTTGTCACATCATCAGCCTCTAAGCCTGATCGCCCTAGCTGCCACCGTTTCTCTGAGCGCAAACGAGTGCGAGAAGACCACGGCCGCCCGGGAAAGCGTCCTCTGGCTGGAACAGAGCCGCCCTGGCCTCCTACGGCAGCCGCGGTAGCAGATCCGCATCCCGCTGCCGCCATCATCGCTTCATCAACAACACACACAGACCAGCGATACACGCTGCACTACACACGCACAACACTACACACTGCACACTGCAGGCGGTGGGAGGGTGCGCCGCAAAGCCACAAGGGAAACAGAGTTTTTGTCGTAACTCGGAGTTTTTCATGATCTTGTGAAACTTTCGTTTATTGTGAATGAATTAGAAACCAACTGTAACTAATATGATACATTCATGGTTATAATAAGACATTTCTACGCCTCTGTAACACTGTAGCTGGCGTTCCATATGTATAATGTAGCAACATGTTCAATGACGCAACTGGACATTTTAACGCTAGCTATGATATAAAGTTGGCTCGTCTCGTACTAAAGTGATTTTATGATCACGTCAGTAACGCTGCGCTCCCTCAGGCGATAGGGGGCGGTAAAGAGACAGTGCTACTCATGTGACAGATGCGGTAGAGGCCAGACCAGGAAGAACAACAAGCTAAAGCCGAGCCGCTCTTTCGTCGTCGGGAAACTCTAAACACTCTGGTAAATATTCGCCTTAATAATAAGTAATAACCACATCTTAGATAACAAGGGTGTTTTACATAAATTACTCGCGTTAGTTTCAAATATTTTGTATAACAGTCCCCCCAGTCTAAGTTAACGAAAGCGGATGCACGTTTTTAGCCTGTTTTAGCTTTAACGCTAAAATAACTGTGTAATTCAAACGCAATACTACGTACCACCGTTATTCTTTACAGGCACAAGCACAATGAATCTGGAACGGGTTCCGAATGAAGAGAAACTCAATCTGTGCAGAAAGTATTATTTGGGTAAGTTACATTTACAGATTAGCAAAAAAGAACTGGCATAAACATACGTATTCTGTTGCAAGACAGAACAGAAGAACGTCTCATTGTAAAATGCGAACAAATCTGCCCACTACACGCAAAATGTCATGTATTAGGCTCATGCTGGCGTTATGTTCACATGTTTGTGGGTCATAGTTCTCAAATGTTTCTACTGTGGAAATGATGTCGTCTTGACCCACTTCATTAACTGTTAAAATAGTCTTCTTGCCAGAAACGATGTGTTTTGCCTCATCTTGCTTTGTTTTTTCAGTGCTGTCCCAAAGGGTAGTCAGGCAAAATCCGTATTCTCTCCTTTTTGTAATATAATTAAAACCACTATAATTGCAGCTTTTGTCTCTTCTCAACTCTTATCATTCTCACCTAATTTTACCACAATACAGCAGGGCAGCCAGTTTTTTAAATCCTTTTTATCTTTTAGGACAATTTCCACAAGAATGGCTCCAGGATATTTATAGTCCCAATTATCTCCCATCTTTCCCTCCTATTTAGTCCAACCCGTTGGTTGGAGTTCCCGTTGGTTTGTGTTGAGTTCATTCTGGAAAAAAATCTAAGTTTAAATCTGCAACACCTAACTGATACCACAAAAAATTATGAAATAAAGTCGCTGTCAGTTCTGCATGTATTTTTAGCTTCACATCTTTGGGTTAACTTTTTCCTACAGAAAAGTGAAAAAGAGAGATCCATCCTCACACAGCCAATCAGCTCTCAGTATGTAAAAGATAACAAGTTTTCTAATAAAATACATTTCTAATATGAAGACATTATTTCTGAATTGTTCTATCCAACTGTGTATAGGCATTATACATCTTTATGTTTATGAGTTCAGATACTGTGCAATTTAAAGAAATATACAAAAAACTCAGTGTGATTGTCCCCAAAAAGTTCCTAGTTCCTGGGAGAGTTCCAGTCGCAGAGCAGGAGTGAGACAAGTCCCCAAAGTCTGGTTCCCATTCTACACGAAGTGCCCACTGTTGAAAAACTAACTAGAATAGCACCTGGATAAAATGACAACGTAACTTGTTTATTTCTTTTCCCCATAGGTGGATTTGCCCTTCTGCCCTTTTTATGGCTTGTCAATGTAATCTGGTTTTTCAGAGAAGCTTTTCTGAAACCATCCTACTCAGAGCAAACGCAAATCAAAACATGTAAGTAACACATCACCCATAGTAAACAATATGGGAGCATTATAATTGTCATACATCATGACCTGTTCTTTTGTGTAGTGGCCTCCTGTCGCTGACCTGAATGATAAGTCTTTAAATCATACAGACAGGCATTCCAATGGATTTAGCCAAATTGAAGGCCTTAAAAGTTTTCAATTGAACAGAATTAGTTTGGTAGATGATGGCATCAAATGTTGGGCGTTCCAAGATCCAATTGTAATATTGAATACATTCTACCATAGTTGTTTTTAAAAGTATAAGAAGAACAATGGGAAAACCATGTAATTTCTACCTCTTGGATTTGTTTGTCCATTTTGGTGCACAAACGGAAAATAGTTTTTCATAAAAATGCAACAAATCCCCTTTCATCCAAAGATCAGAGATTTAGATTTTTGTATGAAAAAACGTCTTATTACCAACCTGGACAGCCCTTTCTCAGCTGTTATTGTGAATATTGTGAATTGTGTGTCTCTATAATTGTGGTACAGCTACAGCTGCTGTAGGATTAGGGGTGGGAACCTAAGGGTACCTCACGATACAATACACGATACAAAGCTCACGATAACGATAATATCACGATAATGATTTTATCACGATATGACGATTATTGATATATTGGTCAGAAATATACAATATGCCAATTTATGGCATAAATAAAAGAAAAATTACTCTTTATTTCATGATAAATAGAATGGAGATGCGTAATGTAGCCATATATTAAGTATTGATACCAATTTTTTTTTTTATTGTAAAAAAAAAAAAAATTCAAATTTTTATTTTTTTCAACATCGATATCGATACTTGGCAAATGCATATCGATAATCGAATCGCGGGAGAAAGTATCGCGATACTCGCGATAATGTCACACCCCTATGTAGGATAGTGCACACATTCTCTGGTGGTGGCTTTACTATACCCTTAAACATCAGTCTTGGAACTAGGGCCGTAATTAACAATATTTTGTATAATCTATTAGTTATTTAAATCAGTCAAATAAAGGATTTTTACAATACATTTTACTAAAACAAAGCTAATAGAATGCCACTTGACAATATGGACTAAATGTTTTGTTGTTGTTTATAAACAAGAGCTATTTATTAATTTTATATTTTTTTATACCCTAAGTATTAGATATATAACTCTTGTATTTGGATTCATCTTATGGATGCTAACTTGACCAGCCCTGGGTCATTTTTAGACCCTAATTCACGGTCTTCTACTTTTAATCATTGTGGCTGGGCCCAAGTGGCTAGAGGATAGCACAAGGGTTGATATGGAGAATGTAGTTTTAGCTGTTTAATGACATGTATTGTAACAAACCTTGTTGAGCTTGATATGGGAAAATGGGATTTAACATAAATCAAGACATAAAAATTGTGAATTACATGGCCTTTAATATAATAACAGGCAAAAGGGGAAATGAAACATACAGGACAAAGGGAGTCTTACTCAACTAAATTAAATTACAAACACTCGGAATCACATTCAGAATCACTTCAACTTGAGAACACAGAAACAACTTAGTGTTGCACCAGTGGCAGGCAAGACAGTTTGAGCCGCCTGTCGCTTTTCTGGGATGGAAGGGGAGTAGCAGCTTCGCCTCAGATTCAGATTTGCTGGACGGGAAGACGGCAACCTAATCCCATAGCAGAGGTGTGGAAACCAGCGCACCAGGAATAGTGTGGCCCTGTGCCAGCAGCTGTAACAATTACTTTACTGGATTCTATTGTGTTTAGAGGTTGACATGAACATTAACCATACATGGCTAAATGGGTTGTCTTGTCTCATTTAGCAGTTATGGTTGTGAAGAAGATGACATAGTCTGGGATCGCGTCTTTAATTCAGACAGAAGACATGTTTTATTGTCAATGGTAGAGACAGCACGAACAACAGAATGCAAGTGTATTATACAGAGCGGAGGCATGGAGACCTCCAATCAGCAGCTGCCACAGTGCCATGGCTTCTGCACATTGATAGAATGATGAGTTTAACTATAACAAAAGTTGCTTAAAAGTGTTATGAAATCTCACAGTTGTAAAAAGAAAATATATATATATAAGTGATAAAATAAACCCAAAAATCTCCCACCTAGAATTTATTGAACCAGAAAGTTTTTTAAGACAAATCTTTGTATTTCTACAGTAATTACAGCAAGTCCTGTTTTGGTCCAGGTGTGGTTCAAAAACAGATTTATTGTTTACTAAATTGGTTTACTGGCTGATTGGCTGCTTGGATTTATTAACTTGCTATAGCCCTAAACCTGGAGCTGCTCTCTGTGAACGCGATACAATTCAATGTTGTGTTTGGATGGAATACTTGGCCCAATTCAGCTGCAGCTGGAAGTGTGTCATTGGTTGTTTGAACAGGGTGCTATAATCAAATACAGTTGAACACAATTGTAATAAATGATGGTTGTGTATGTTTGCAGATGTGAAGAGGTCGGCTCTGGGCGTGCTTCTCTGGGCGGTGGTTCTCTCGGTCTGGATCACAGTTTTCCAACATTTCAGGGCTGAGTGGGGAGAAGTGGGAGACTATCTGTCGTTCACAATCCCACTGGGAACACCCTAACTTTGATTTAGTAGTATTCATTTATGCAGTACTTTATTTTAACATGTGTCTAAATTGTGTTGGTGTCATTAATCATTCACAGCATTCATAACAGTAAACAGTTGATAATGTTTGACATTGTTGATACATTCATTGCTACTGTGCATTTTTCTTGACTAATTTCTTTTCAAAGTTGTTCCTTGTTTTTGTATTTTATTTTATTAATTGCTTTCGACATCTATGTTAATAAATTTAGATGAATTAAATGTATGGCATTCTTCCTCAACTTCAAAACAAAAGCAAGTCTATTCAAGAACAGTTTTATTTTACATGGAGACAAAATGAAACAATTACAGCTTGAGTCCTGAAACATGTGTTGGTCCATGGTTAAAAGAGAATTGATGTGATTAATAGATAGAGGTTTACCCATTAGAAAATATAAATGATTGTTTATAATCTGATATTATCAATAATACTGGATGCTAACTGGATACTCAATATTCCGTATCAATAACAAAATCATACATTTCCGAATCAACCTCTCAGTATATTTGTTTTCATTCCAAGTAAGAATTTGCTATAATTAGTGAATCTTGTTTGTGACGATCTTCATCATACTCTACTTTGCCATAGAGCGACTGTCACAAAATTCCATCTGGGCCAAAAGCAGAGGCTTTGTGCCACTAAATATAACAAATCAATCTACTTCGAAGACTAGCTACATATCACGAAATGAAAACCTCATTCTGCTCTCTTACTGGATAATCTACTTGAAATTTGTAAACTTACATATCATGATGGGAAGAATTTGCTGTCTACAGAATGAGTCTTGCTCATCATAGGTACAAAAACAAACATCACATATACAGACGAATACAGGGCAACACTCCACTTTGAACTTTGATTCAGAAAAGGTCAAGTATGTGTTTCACACTTTGACCTATTTGTATGGTGACACATACATATATGTAAATTATAATCCAAATATTGCAGACATATCACTTTGTCTTTATTTAGTCTTTCATCTTGAGTTCACTCTGCTTTGTCTGTACCTACTGTTCATCATTTTGCATTGTATTATGACTGTTTTGCTATATAAAAAGATTAATCATTACATACGGTCACTTTAAGCAGCTCAAATGTGAGCACTGTTCAAGTCACAACAGTCACTTTGATGTTAGTCTTGTTGGTGACAGTCAATTGTACACTTTATTCTTAGCCCCACGTGTTGTGACATGTGCATGTGTGTGTGTGTGTGTGTGCCTGCTGTTCCTGTCCGTCCTCACAGACCACAACATTCAGACCTGAGCCAGACTATATCTGGGACATTCCTCCTTGACGAGCTCGCTCGATCAATAAGAGAGAGCTTGCTGCAAATTGAATGAAACACATTCTCCGGCCTCAGTCCTCCGCTCACAGCCAGTAAGTTAATGTCTAGAACAGCTGCTTCATCCTCCAACAATGCTCTCATCCGGATTTACTCTGGATGGAGACTGAGGGGAGGCACCCCTGAGTCATGGGACAAAACACGAGCCATGACACCCCCTTCTCTGAATACCAAGCTCATTATGCAACAGATAATCAAACTCAAACACCGGGCAGGAACATTTATTTCTGGCACTATTTGAGCAGCAGAGATTTTGCGAAGCCACACAAGCCCTGGACCACGGAGACTTCAGCATCTCGCTCTCAAATCGTCTATATCTTCTCACTCAAAACACATACATGGATTTTATTCTGCCACACGCAACCACTGTCCAAGATATCCAGTGGGAGAAAGTTCTGCCTCCTCTCATCCCACGACTGAATGGAATCTATGGACAATACAACTGGTCACCAAAACTGCTCATGGCCGAGACGGAAAACGGCAGCTGTACGGAGGTAAGTGATGGAGAGCTCCAACACGGCAACCCATGATCAAATATGAGGTCATCAATGTTTGAAAACAAGTGTTTTTTTGTCTTAATTTGAGTACATTCTGACCACCTTAAAACAAGATTTTCCAATCACACACGCCATTTAGTCTTATTTCAAGAACTGTTGCTTTATTTTGTCATTCCCAAAGGAGACATTTATTTTCAAAACCAGATCATTTTGCCTGTCCTATTGACAAATCTTGTTTCAAGGCAGTCAAAATGTGCTCAAATGAAGATACATTTAGCAGAGTTTGAAAAATGTTTGGCTTGATTTTCATCACTTTTTGCAGTGAACTAGGAGCCAGAATATTCTATATTGTTTTGAAGCAGTTCGATGTGGGATCTCTCTTGTTGCAGGTGAACTGCGATGACTCCGGCTTCACGATTCAGGTGGATGTGAAGCATTTTCGACCAGAGGACCTCCTGGTGAAGGTCATCGGGGAATTTGTGGAAGTGCAAGGAAAGCACGAGGAAAAAAAGGTGGGTATTTTATTTTAAAGACTATAGTGTTGTGATTAACTCTTTTTTCGCATATCCCTAATGGTGGGGAATATATGGATATCTGTTTATTTTGTTTTTGACTAAATAACGAGTGATTTTCAATAAATAAAATATGCAAGAATTGTGTTGTATTTTTGTATAAATAGAGCAGACTATTGGATACTGAACCCTTGTGTATCGTTAGAAATACATGGTATTTAATTGTATTGAATTGAAAGTCCCCTGTATTTATAAAGGTACTGTATCAGCCGCCTCAGAAACATACCCAGCCCTAATCATGATATTACTTGATTTATTAATCATTGTTATACCACATTTGAACAAATACATAAAATTGGGCAGTGTTTATTTTTACTTGAAAACATGAATTAATTCTGTCTTCAAAGTTTTTTTTTTAATGAAAAAAGTTGAAAAATTCCTTCATTAGGATCAGCTCTCCTTTCAAGATAACGTAGTCTGGTGAAGTCCCTCCTTTTTCTCCTGTTCATAGCTTTTTCAATATAAATATAGCTCTTGTGGTCGTCATTCACCAGATATCATTCGCCTAGAAATGTTAAACTTCTCTGAATTCTTGATTTTTTGTGTGGATTGTCAAATCTTCATCATAAAACCTGTTCTCCTGGTTGATTACAGACGGACGGCAGTGGACTGACCACGCGGCAGTTCAACCGCAGATTCAGAGTTCCAAAAGAAGTGGACGTCATGGCTTTAGAATCAGCCGTTTCTCCCAGTGGGATTCTCATCATCTCTGCCCCCATCCTACAGCCTGACAAAAGCCACACTTTGGCCTAGTTACTCTACACAACATTAAAGATAAATACACAAATACATATACAAATAAATGCAGTTAAGAATTCTGCATTAGAGGAATAATCCTCTGCCTTCAGACTCGGGCTGTACCTGATTCATCACAAAACTAATTGAGTGTTGAGAATGTCGGAATGCATTTCTAGATAAGCTTTTATAGCCCCCAACTCAAGTCACTATTTCGGTAATAGAATAACAATTAACTGGGAAACAGCTGTAGTACATCAAAAACATGAATGTGCTGACGAGTGATTTAAAGGAGACATTATTTCAAAAGCAACCTTTTTGGGTTTTTTACCATGTCACATTGTTCCTCATCAGTCACTGACGAAGAGTTGTTTTCAGAGCCACCCATGCTAATATCAGGAACCCCTGGCACTTACATCTAACCCTGCCCCTTCTGTCCCACCAACCTGAACAGCTGACCGTGAAAGCGTAATGGAAATTCCTTTCCTTCTCCATGATCCAGGGACCGGTGTTCTAGACAGCATGACAACAAGGATCCAAATTGGCAAACAACATCGGGGAACTAAGGAAAGGAACCCAGGCTTCTTTTATTAGCTCTTTGGCTACGGGAACAGGAGCAGGTAGGAAATCCCAGCATGCAGCTGGGATCTCAGCCCCAACAGCCCACATCTATATATTCAAAAAAGCTGCTCTGATGAATCACCAGTATTTATGTTTCACTTTTACATTTACCTTTGTGTAAAAATAACTTTATGAACATGAGAGCAGAAGTGTTTGGACCCTCTGTAGTCTGTCTGATGTCATTATGATGTGTTTAATGCTGCTTGGCGTTCTTTGTTTACATTATTAGAAGTTACCGCTGATATAATTCTACAGTGTTTTGTGTACAGTATATCTCACGCTCAGTCTGGTCACATTAGTACTGCTCTTTCTTCATCTGCATCATCACAATCATGTTAGTGTGAGTTTCTGTTGCATTTTACGTCTGGAATATAATACTTATTACATTTTCATCGTGTTTCGTGATCACCAGCCCTAGTTCTGCTTGATTAGGAAAGTCAGAAGTCCTTTAGGCAGGGGTGTCCTCAAAGGCTCCCTTTCCAACCAAGCAGGAGCACACCAGACTCCACCCATTTCCTCAAGTGAGTCCAGTCTTGACCTAGAGACTTGAGGAATTGGGTGGAGTCTGTTGTGCTCCTGTTTGTCCACACCTGTCCACACCTGTCCACAGGGATAGGGCAGGGAGATTTATTATCGCTTTTATTTATCCTTCATACTTGTTTCACCATATACTTTGTGAAGATATTATTTCACTTTCTAAAACAAAATAATAGTAAACAGTGTTATTATTATTTTTAATGGCCAAACATAACGCATATTTCTTATTTAAGAGTAGAAGAGGAGTAGATATATAATTAATCTAAATGTGTTGATGTTTAATTTCAAAGATAAAACAGTTTTGTAGCTGTCAAGAATGCAGACGATATGGTATTGTTACTTGCAGCCATACTTGAGGGGAGGATGGTTCATATTCACTGAACATTTTCTGATTGGAATTGTTCCATATAAAGCTTGGGTACGTAACTTTCAAACCAACCAAAAAATTTTAAAATGTAATAAAACCCATCCGACTTTCAAAACAACAAGAGCGGACCACCCTTGAAGAAAGGAGAAAACAGCAGGTTATAGTCTGATAAACATGCTTTATCAGACTATATTATTTATGAAATAAGAGTGAGGTACCCCAGCTTTAAGTCATGTTCCATTTACTGTAATATATGTTAAAATTATCAAGTGCCAAAACTTTAGAAATTAACATGAAAATAATTGTTTCATTCGCCAATACGGGTAAAGGGGACTGTACATTCTGGTAATATTAAACATTGTTGATTTTATGCACGGAATGATGAGGTCAGTTCTATGTAATGTTATTTAAGCTCGGTCAAAACCAGCAGCTTTCAGATGTTGTGTTGTTGTTGGACCTCTTTGAGCAACGCATCGACTTCACTGTGGAAAACATGTGTACGATTATTATTTATTTGGACTTGATTTTTGATATGAATAAAAAAAAGAAGAAAGAACCTCACGTGATTTGTTCTTTCACCCACTTCCTCTGTTTACGAAGCACTTGGAGCAAAGGATCGTCTTCAAACTCACTTTCATCAGAATCTAAACATTTTCAAAATATAATGTAAATACCAATATTACATTTTTGTATAAATTTTTATCAAGATTCAGATTAGTTCAATATTCTATTCATGTTATTTCCACTATATTGTTACATTATGAGCAGCGCTATTGAAAATGGCTATAACTTTTCTAGTCTGTTTTGTAAATATATAACTACACATGTTTTTTTTTTTTCATGTCATTAAAATTTCAACTTTATCAAAAAAATGTATTAAGTGAAGGGATTTTTTTTTTTTTTTTTTGACCAAAATAGGAGAAAATAAAGTAGAAAAGATTTTTCTTTAGCCAAAAAAAAAATAAGGTTAATCATGGAATCTTCAAAATTACAAATTATGTTTTCATAAAGGGGTGATATATGGCAGAATTTTTGAAAGTGTAATAATTTAAATGGCTGCAGTGTTGCATTGAAAGAAAAAGTTCTCTAGAATCTCTTCCTGGGCCATAAGTGCAGGTTTGTCTTAATGTATTGCGGAGAAAGTGGAGATTCGTACTATATAAATAAATTATATTGATTTATGACCTCACCCTGAGCCTCTTGAAGAAACTGAGACACGACTTCTGCAGAGTCTGTGTGTTCTGAGGGAACGACGTCTGAAGCGGTCGAGTCCACAGACTGAAACAGTATTTCAGAAACCGCCTGCCAAACACAAATATGGCATTATTCAAATGTAAAACTTGGAAAATAAGAATATTATTCAAGTTCATTTACTTCAACCAGCAAACTTAATTGATGCTTACAAGATTTTTAATAAACATTGTGTTTTAGAAATACAACTTTTAATAATGCATTGTTTTAATGCATCCAGTGCAGGTTTAGGCTCAGGGCCGCCTCAATGAGCCGATAGGCTGTTTTTTACAGAAAAACATCTGGAGTTAATCAGTCTAATCTGGAAAATCTAATTCTTGTTCCGTGTAAGAATCAGCCGACCGCAACCGCTGATACTGAAACTTTGAAACTTGCTACGCTTAATGTCAGATCTCTTTGTAACAAGTCTTTTTTAATCAATAATTTTATTTGTTCTCATAATCTTGATCTTATGTTCATGGCTGAAACTTGGCTTGACCAAAATTCAGAAAATGCAGTTTTAATAGAAGCATCACCACCAAATTTCAAGTTTGAATCTGAAATACGGGAAAACAAAAAAGGAGGAGGCTTAGCTGCCATTTTTAGAGACCACTTTGTCTCCCATAGAATGTCTCTTGGGAAGTTTTCGTCATTTGAATATGTGTCTTTTAAAATACAACAAAAACAATCTCCTCCAATACTCTTCATTGTCCTATACAAGCCACCGCAGTCATGTCACAGTTTTATTGATAATTTTACCGAGTTGCTTTCAGTTGTATGCACAGATTTTGATAGTTTGGTTATTACAGGTGATTTTAATATTCATGACAGAAATGCAAATGAGCTGAGTTCTGTACTTGAATCCTTTGATCTCACTCAGCACGTAAGTGGCCCCACCCACAGCAAAGGGCACACTCTAGATCTGTTGGTTACAAAGGGGGTGAATATTTCAAATGTAAACGTGGTCGATGTTGCTCTTTCGGATCATTTCTGTGTTTTTTTTGACATGTGTTTCACTAACAAACCACCAGTGGACTCTGCAACTGTTCGAAGAAGGCGCATAAATGAAAATACGAGTGAACTATTTATGGAAATGATAAACTTTGAGAATGCATCGTATTCTACTGTAGATGAACTGTTTAACTCTGTCACCTCTAGTGTTTTGAATGTTCTGGATACCGTTGCCCCTGTGAAGGTTAAAATAGTGAAAAATAAGCAGAAGGCGCCGTGGGCTAAAGCAGACTCGGTCAGGGCACAAAAGAGAAAGTGCCGGAGGGCCGAGCGGAAGTGGCGCAAGTCCAACCTCCAGGTTGATTACGAGATCTTCAAAGATAAGTTGTGCGAGTTTAACCGGGTGCTACGTAGTACGAGAGAAAGGTATTTTTCTGAAATGATTGAAGGCTGCAGCAACAATCTGCGTGTTCTGTTCTCAACAGTTAATAGATTAACAAACCCCCCTGTTCAAATGCCATTAGAGCTTACTTCCAAACGTAAATGCAATGAGTTTGCTCATTTTTTCAATGACAAGGTTCAAGGCATCAAAAACGCCATTGTCTCCAATCCACAGATAACCATCCAACAGCCAGAAAGGCTCTCTGAGCTAACTCACTTTGCACCTGTAAATGATAAAACTGTCCAAGAGATAATCTCCAGTTTGAGCTCCTCCACATGCAGCTTGGATGTACTACCCACTAGATTTCTAAAGTCTGTTCTGAGCAGTCTGTTACATTCACTCACACAGATAGTAAACATGTCCCTTCATTCTGGAATATTCCCAAAGGCCCTGAAAATTGCAGTCATCAGGCCCCTGCTAAAAAAGAGCAGTCTCGATGCTACGGTACTTAACAACTATCGTCCCATCTCAAATCTGCCATTTATGGGGAAAGTCCTTGAGAAAGTTGTCTACCTACAGCTTACTAGATTTCTTATAATCAACAACTCATTTGATATGTTTCAGTCCGGCTTTAGACCCCACCACAGCACTGAGACTGCTCTCGTTAAGGTTACAAACGATATCCGGCTGAACACTGACGCAGGCAAAGTCTCAATCTTAATCTTGTTAGATCTAAGTGCTGCCTTTGACCCCGTCGACCATGAGATCCTCTTACAGAGACTAGAGGACTGGGTTGGCGTCACTGGCACCGCCCTAAGTTGGTTTAGGTCTTACCTTGAAGACAGGAAGTACTTTGTGGAGATTGGAAACTGTGTCTCAGATCATATGGCCCTGACCTGTGGAGTCCCACAGGGGTCGATCCTGGGACCTCTTCTGTTCAATCTCTACATGCTGCCGTTAGGTCAGTTAATACGCAGAAACGAAGTTTCCTATCATAACTATGCAGACGACACTCAGATCTATGTCTCACTGACTGCAGGAGAACATGGACCAGTGGACTCACTCCTTCACTGTATCCAACAGATCAGTGAGTGGATGCAAAACAACTTCCTTCAGCTAAACGCAGACAAAACTGAAATGATTGTCTTTGGTCCCCAGAAACAAAGAGAGAGCGTCATCTGTCACCTACAGTCTCTCTCCCTAAAACCTTCAAACAAGGTCAGAAATCTAGGGGTAATACTGGACTCAGACTTAAATTTTAACAGCCACATCAAATCAGTAACATCAGCAGCTTTTTACCATCTAAAAAACATTGCCAGGATCAAAAACATAGTGTCTAAAGCAGACCTGGAGATTCTTATCCATGCATTTGTCTCCAGTAGGTTAGACTACTGCAATGGCCTGCTCACAGGTCTGTCCAAACAGGCTGTAAAACAGCTGCAGTACATTCAAAATGCAGCAGCTCGAGTCCTGACTAGAACCAGGAAGTACGACCACATTAGTCCAGTTCTCAGGTCTCTGCACTGGCTTCCTGTGGCTCAGAGAATAGACTTTAAAACAGCTCTGCTTGTGTACAAGTCTCTCCATAGCCTCGCACCAAAATATATTAGTGACATGTTAGTCCCATATGAACCAGCCCGGACTCTGAGGAGCACAGGGACTGGACTCCTGTTAGTGCCCAGAGTCAGAACTAAACATGGGGAGGCTGCTTTTCAGATTCATGCTGCTAAAATCTGGAACAGTCTTCCTGAAGATGTGAGACAGGCCTCCTCTCTGACAATGTTTAAAACCAGGTTAAAGACAGTTCTGTTTAACTGTGCATACAACTGAGGGATTTTATATTTCTATCTTTCTTTTTAATGTTCTGTGATAATTTATGATTTTAATGCTTTCTTGTTTTGTTCAGCACTTTGAATTGCCTTGTGTATGAATTGTGCTATATAAATAAACTTGCCTTGCCTTGCCTATAGTAACAAAAACTTTAAAAAAGTGTCCTCGATGCGAAAAATCTTGTATTGCATTGTACAGAGTTAAAAGTTTAAAAAAAAGTCAATTTTGGCTTCTGAAGCTTGATAAATATTAGAATACAAAAAGGACAGTCCACAAACCTGTCCCAGAGCTCTGTGGATGGGAGAAGCTGGAGCCTCCTCCTCTCTGCTCCTCACGTTCAAATCTGTGCGTTTGTGCAGCTTCTGCGGCGTGCTCGTCTTCGTGGGAACTTTCTGTCGCCTGTGAATCCTGTTTGGAAACAAAACAAGGTTCAAATGAGGATTACACACAAAAGAAAAACAAACAGCAGAAAAACGATGAAAGATTAGAAGATGCTTGAATTGAGTCGTATAGTGGTCGCAAATTGTATAAATGTTTTTCGAGCTTTTTTTTTTTTATACGCAATAGTAGTTTCCCTCATTTCATTGGTCATCCCACTCCCTATGGACCAATGACTACTGTACGTTTCTTATAATATTTCCTGTGTTCAAATCGACAACTGTAAAGTCCTCCGAGACGACTGCAGTTGGGATACAGGGCAATACAAAAATAAATCGAATTGCATAATTGTATATAATAATACATTTTAAATTAATAAATCATCAATCTATCTATGAATAAAACTAATGTGTATATCATAACAAACAATGTAAAATAATGTATGTTTACAATGTAATTATCAAACGTTTGTACTGGACCTGGCTGAGGACTTGTTCAGCTCCTGGGACGAACGTGAACATTTCTTCTCCCTGTTTTCGACTTGTGTCGTTGCTTCCTTCGTTATTTTAGCGTTAGATAAAGCCACGTCCTTCTCAGCACGTCCGCTTATGGGTGTGTTCTGAGGTAGAGTTTGCGTATGAGGTCTTTGTGGAACCGTCGCCTCTTCGCAAGTAGAAAGCAGTCGATTGGGACAAGGCAAAATATCACAAAGTAAATGCGTGTGTGAGGGGACGTGGGCTGGAGCGTGTAGTGAGGCTGCCGCAGAGCCAGAGGGCAGCATAGCAGGAGGACTAGTCTGTTGATCCAAACTGTTCAAATGACGTCCACCGGTCGACGTTTGAGGCTCTCCCTGAGGAAAATCTGGGCTGTACATTGATTGGGGCTCCTGAAAACAGAAATATTACAGCATAAATCATCCAAAAGTAATATAATGCATTATTGGTGTCCCTTAACAATGATAATGAGGCTATATTACACATAGAATGTGAAATATATTCAGCAAAAAATATATGTAAGTATGAGGGTAAATAATTATATCTGCATGTAACTCCCTCTGCGACCACCAGAGGGAGGGATAACATTTGTTTATGGATTTTTTTTCAAGTTTGAAAATTACCAGATGCAAACATAGATTGCGATTGATATTTCACCAGAGAATTTCTCTTTTGTTATAAATTCCCCATCCTGATTCAGAACCTGTTTCAGAGAAGGGAAAGTGTAGTGTACACATAAAAAAGAAAAACAAGTTGTAAAAATGCATTGTATTTCTGTGGTTGGAGAAAACGTCTGGAATGAGTTGGCTATAGATTTAAAAACAGTGAACATATGTTTGGATAATATTCCTCTCAAGCAAAGTATTGTGAAGTTCTGCTCTCAACTTCACAACACTTCGCTTGAGAGGAATATTATCCAAACATATGTTGACTGAGTGCTGAAAACTGATAATGATCAACATGGAGTTAATGTCATACTTCCTATTGTATGTAGATGATTTAGTTTAAAATGCCTTTAGACCTTAAGAATATAGATTTTGCCTATTCCTTTTTCTGACCTTATGTACTTTTGCATGTTGTTGTCAGGTGCCTGAAATTGTCAGAATTGTCAGTAAGTAGTAAGTACCGGTAAGTAATCTATTTATATAACGCTTTTACAGACCAGAGTCACAAAGCGCTTTACAATTGTTGTGGGAATTTGTCTTTCACTCCACTCAGAGATGGGAGCAGGGTCACCGTACAGGAGGCACATGCCAGACCTATTGTACATAGTTAGTGGTAGGAGAAACCAAATTAAATAAATAAGTTGAAACTACAGTAAATGGCAGAAAGCTGTTCTGAGTATGATGTCATAGTTGTACCATGACATCACACTTTTACAAGACTGAGACAGGAGATTTTAGGCAGAATTGTGGAGTTACATGTTTGTGCCTGCATTTCCTGAGGTTAGCGTGAATAGATCTAAAAATAATCTAGGATCTGTGACTGACGAGGGACAATGTTGGACTTGACTTTACAAACCGTTGTTTTGTGCTGAAGAGGGTTTTCATTGCGTCCTCTCCAGCTGTAAGGGTCAAAGTGCTGTTGTGCCTGAGTCCACTCTCTGGCCTTCTCCATCTTTCTTCTTAATCGCCATTGGAACAAAATGTCTTCCTCCGGGCGCAAAGGAGTCGCTGATGATGGCAGAATATAAGGTGGGTCTTTAGCTGCAAACATCACATTCATTTATGCAGGAAAAAGGAATATTTGGTCTTCGCTCCATCCATGCTAAAATCAGAAACGTCTCATACAGCACTATTGTTGTTCTTTGATGAAAATTGCATGTATTTACATGTATTTCTACTGAAAAAATATGATCACCGAATTTATCAAATAACTATCGATAGTTATTGTAGGAACAAATAGGGAAAGGATTTGAGATGGGCCTCATGGGGGTGGGCAAACAATGTCTTTGTTTTTGTCTTTGCTATTTTGTTTTGTGTACGGTATGTGCTTATGGTCTTGTCAGTTCCTTGTCTGTGGCTATGTAGCTACAGTAACTATTGTTTTGCAGCCGTATGGCAGAGCAAAACAGCAGAAATGAATCTAAAGGGGAAATCCATAATACTGTGGATTGTTAAAACATTAAATGCAAAAGCCAATATTCTCCATGGCCATCAAAATGAATACAGATAATGAATCATATTCCTTCTTTGAGGCCCCCAACCCACCGACAGAGTCTCGGTTTACGCGCGTAAGCTCCTGCGAGCCGTGCGTTAACGGGAGGGAGGCCACATCGCCAGCCGAATTCATCTCTGAGGAAGTCATTCAAACATGAGTGCGTTTGTTTAGCTGTTTATGACAGTGGAAATAATGTCATCACTGGGCTTGTACAGCTGTTTAGCTGATCAGACAACAGCACAATAAGCAGTATTTAAGAGCCTTGGATCATTACACAAACATTTAAAGCAGCTAACGTCAAAGCTGCTTTGAATGTCTGTATTTTCTAAGGAAAACGGATCCTACACTCGTTGATGTGCGTTAAAAATAGGATTGATTCTATTTTGTGCATCTGCATGTGTCTGTATGCCTCTCTCTCTGTGGACGGACTGCCCCCGATGCAAACAGACGCATAACACGCACAGTTTCTATCCACATGGTGATAACGGAAACAGACATTAAACAGTGACGTTTAGACATATGCTGTATGTAGTCAATTTTACGCAACCAGTTTGTTTGGGGCCTTAAGTCCAAATCTGTGCATCCCTGCATCATGGAATCAGATCTCACCAGTATTGTACTTGGGCAAACTTGAAATGATAGGTTTTCTCACAGGCTCATCTGCACTGACTGGAGAAGAAAACTCAGAGCTGCCGATGCCCTCTGAGCTCACGGGGAGAGAATCATCCTCCAGAGGAAATTCACTGGAAACACATTTTATTTAAACACTTACAAAAACATTCCATCTGTTTCGTTCTCATTACCCCCTGTGCAATAGTCGGCTGGCTCTCTCTTGCAGCTGCAAAATCTCAGACTCGTAAGGTTCACATTGAGAGTTGTCGGACAAAATCTATAACCCAAAAGATAATCAACGTTAGTCTCCTCATTATGCCCAAATGCACAAGTTTCAGATAGAGATGGGATTTTTTAAGCATAGACGTGTTTATGTGGAGAGTTCTGCTTCTTAACGTGCAGATGAGAAGAACTGGGAAAAATAGAAGCTGATGGATCCATTCCATAGAGAAAACTATTCCAACCTGGTTGATGACATTATTTGTGGTGTGACAGACAATAGTATGATCATAATAGTACTGTTAAAACCATAATTTGATATATCCTAATCCTCGTTTGCAGATATAAAATCAATAGCGAAACATTTAAGGACACATAGTACACCAAATATTCTCTTTTTTTTCTCTTCTTTAGGCAGAAAGTGGCATTAACAAGTCACACTGTCCTTTCTGTCCAATATGCTCACATCTAGAACTCGAGATGTTAGCGGTGTATAGGCTCTCAGTATACATCAATGTACATTATCGTTCATAAAATTCTACTTAAAGCTTTGGGTTGAGAGCTGATTTGCTGACTAAGGGTGGTCTACTCTTTCTCTCGTTTCTGCCTAAACTAGCTAATCCAAAGATGAGAAAGAGGGAAATAATACATCTGTGTGAAAACTAGAACCAAACCAGGATTTAATTAAATATTCTTTTTTTGTGTATCATATTTAGCAAATAATATATCAACTCACACTTAAGGACCCCCTACTTGGTGAAATGATTTTGTTATGATGAAGCCGCCTCTGTTCTGTCAAACATAAATAATTATATAAGTTGATGTTTAACTAAGCTTAAAGCCATGAGAAAATGCACATCCACCTGCGTTGTCTGCTGTTGCACCGGGAGGAAGTGATGGAGCAGACGCCCACCAGGATGGCAGCTGCTCTTTGGACTCTTTCTGTCGTTCTTCTCGACTTTGTGGCTCACCATGACGAAAGCGATCCAAATATCTGATCACAATAAGTAGGATTTTTTTTTTATTAATGCATTTACAAATCTGCAGTATTACTATTTGTAGGAAGGAAATGAAAGCACACTTTGACAGGGCTGAACTCTCCTCCATGTGGACTTCAGAAGACTCGAGTATAGATGTTTTTGGCACATGTTTGTGAGAAGTGGGCGATTCACAAGGAGAAGAAGGCTCTGAGTTTGGCCAGATCTCTGTGAAGACCGGACTCCGCTCCAAATTTGGACTGGTACCATATTCTTGTCTTCCATTCTTCTGCAAAGTTTTAGTATTCCTTACAATGTTCTGTATTTTCAATTGATGATCATAATGAAGGAACATTATATTTGAACATTATACTTGGAAACAGCAAACTGCAAATAATAGCCTAAATTGAATACAACATGTTGATAAGAGTACATCCCATTACAAGAGAATACAAATATCACTACTGAATCTAGTTCCAAACGAACCTTTTGCTTATAGTTGGGCTGAGCTGAATGTATGTTTCCCCTCACCATGGGCTTTGTTTGGGTTAGTTTCTGCTTTGCACTGGAAACAAAATAACAACTCACTAATACTGCATGAAATTGCACATTTGAAGACAGAGCAAAGGACTCATCTTACCTTGCTTTCATAATCATACCAACAAATTGAAACCATATGCTTTAGAATTATTACAAGATTCGGTTGTGAATATGACAACTTTTAAAGCGTTTTGTGGCGAGAGCATCAGTCGCGTGTCTTTGACGAGAGAAAACCATCAAAGTGGCCTAGAAGTAAATAAATAATTCACGTTCAATACATCTAAGTAAAAGACAAACAGAACAAGCTGCCATGGTTTCTTTTTAAAACAATAACTTTGACCAATAAAGACTCGTGTCTTTTGACATGAACGGACCAATCAGCGCGGAAGTGGAAATGAAAACAGGATACGGCTGCGTCAGAAACTATAACCGAGAGTCCTAATCTTCCTTGTCATTCTTTGTTTACCTTGGTGACAAATGTCACCATGGTGGAAATAAACCCAATTTTTTAGGTCTAAAATTTTACTTTATGAAAGTTGATGCTGCCTGTTCTCAAAGGAAGGCAATTTTTAACACAAAAGGAATGAAATTGGTTGTGAACGAAGCCCTGAATTCTCAGTTGCCAAGTCCGTTTCTTTAACAGCGACTTTGAGCTTTTTAATTTTGGATAGTTGGCTAGGTGCGCAATAATATATCTATGGTACGCAACCATAGACTAAATACGCAACACATCACATTCACATCATGGATGTATTGGTGTGCATTGGGCAAATAAATAAATACAACACAGCATATTTTTGTTTAACTTTCCCATGAATAGATCTAGGCAAGAGATGTCATGCAAGCTGACAATGTATGAAGTGATATGTCGTTCAATAGTTACATAATACGTGTTTTAAGTGGTTAGATTTCTTGAAATGTGTATGCATTTAATGTATCCATTTTTCAAAGCCTTCGTCACTTGTTGTTCTCCATTAACTAAATTATCTGGCAACCCTGGCTACCTTAGCACCCGTATATTTTGTTAGCGTTGAATGAACGTTATGGCTCTATTTCAGTGTTAAAACCAAAACTAAGAAGTTAGCTCCGATTACAGTATTACAGCGTTAACGTTTGAGCGCACTGGTGACGACACTAAGCAAAGGTTATTAATTTATGTTCGCAACGCTCATAGAAATGTGTTAACGCTAAGTAGCTGCTAATGCTAACTGACAACAACAAATGATACGCGGTCCTGTTTTTTCTGTTTAAATCAAACATCTCTGCACGTTTTCTTTTTTCCATAAAGCCTAATCATCAACATGCATCATATCAAGATAAAGATTGAAAAACCAGGTAACTGTCCTGTTTGTAGCTGCCACATAATGCAAATGTGGTGTATGTCATAGTTGAAAAGGATTTTAATTATAATGTTGCTGTTATAACTTTACAGACGCGGAGGGCTCTGGGGCGCGCTGCAAACTGGATTCTGTGTTGCAAGGACTTGTGGACAAGTCGGAAACGGAATTGTGGGTCAAAAGTTATAATATCTTAGTAGATTTCAGACTTGTTTTGTGTCACTTAAAACACTTAAAATGTTTACCCTTTTATTTTACAATACTTTTAGTTTTACAGCTACACTCGGTGTGTATCTTTTTGCAGACTTAAATAGAAGGATATAGTTTTTATTGTATTGGAAAAAGTGTTAAAACATGTGCTATTGAGCTGAGAACTTACTTGCGTCTTCACAAACCTGACATGCAGAACTGCAGCGCCTGTTTCTGAGGAAATATGATCCTGTCTCAATGTAGTAAGTTTAAGATTCTAATATGTTAGGGCTGCAAATTAAATCGCAATCAAATCGAAATGAATGTGGCCATATTTAGCAAATCACAGATGGTAATTTTTAACCAAAAGTATACAAATCATTTGTTGCTTATTTAAAAATGGTCAATCTCTTTGTGTTTTGAGCTCTAAACCATTTAGAATTTTAAGGATCACTGCAAATGTAAAAAAAAAGCTGTTAATAGTTTGAATGTAGTGTATCTTCGAGAGAATGTTGTAATTTGAAAAATTATATCTGTTAATGCAAAGGAAGGTTTCTCACCCATCATCTGTACTTCTTAGCAAGTTTTCCCAACGTTTCGTCCTCAATCCAAAGGACTTCTTCAGGGAATGACCGCGCGTTAGAGATTTATAACCTATGGGTGTGGTTAGCCACACCCTAATCCTGATACTAACTCATAAACAATCTAAGGTCTGTTTGATGTAGAACATCTGTTAATGGAAAAGTTGTACTTATTTACTTTTTTAAATCCCAATGGAATTATGTTCAAATTTTAAGTGAACATTTTCTTCTTGTTTGATATTACCACAGAAAGTATTGTCAAAAACATATAAATATACAACTTTTTTTTCATCTTTCAGTTTTTCCTTGAATTGGAATGCTCCAAGTATAGTGCACTAAAATATTATGCGACAGTCGCAGAAATATAATCGCAATATTTATCTGAATATCTCTTTTATGTTGATTATGTTTTAAAGAATATCTAGTTGTGAATTGCAACTACATATTCTTTAAAACGTAATCAACATCAAAGTAATTTCTCATTACATAAATTTAATGAAATATGAAATGTCAAACTGTTTATCCTCCTTTAATTTTTTCAGGGATCAAAATGAAAGCGAAACAGGAAAAACTGCGGAGACATTGAATAAGTATGTCATTTTTAGTTAAACTTTTAAATGTAGGTGTTTTGTTAATCAACCACAATGTGTTTCCATAGGGACTCGTCTCCATTGTCTGGCAAAAGGTACGCATCGTTATTAAATCTTGTCACTAACCAAATGTGTGTGACTTTTTAAAAAACTTGTTCCCACATTTATTCAATATTTTTAGGCCACCGTCAAGACTTCCACAACACAGAAGGAAGAAGCGAAAAGAAATGGACGAAAGCATTACAGACACGCACCAAAACAAGCAAAGTAAATACAAAAGCCTTTTTCTTAGATTACTTTGCAGAACCACACAACACAGAGCAGGTAAACTCCAACATATCTTATTTGTCTCCCCAGATGCTTATATCATCAAGCTGTTTGACCGCAGCGTGGACTTGGCCCAGTTTCAACAGTGAAACTCCTCTGTATCCCATCTGTCGTTCCTGGATGAGGAATAACCCTTCGTTTCGCGAACAGGCTGACCCCACACCACTCTCCCCACACAGCGCAGATGAAGAGGTGCACACACACCGCATTACAAATTGTTGTGGGAAAATAGTCTTCAACTCCACTCATAATGGGAGCAGGGTCCACCGTACAGGAGGCATCATGCCAGACCTATGGTACAAGTGTAGGTGTAGGAGAAACCAATTAAATAAATAAGTTAGAAACTACAGTAAATGGCAGAAAGCTGTTCAGAGTATGATGTCTTAGTTGTACAATGACAATCACACTTTTACAGACTGAGAGACAGGAGATTTTAGGCAGAATTGTGGAGTTACATGTTTGTGCCTGCTTTTACCCTGAGTTAGCGGGAATAGATCTAAAAATAATCTAGGATCTTGGACTGACGAGGTACAATGTATGGACTTGTGACTTTACAAACCTTGTTTTAGTGCTGAAGAGGTTTTTCATTGCGTCCACTCCAGCGTAAGGTCAAAGTGCTGTTGTGCCTGAGTCCCCTCTCTGGCCTTCTCCATCATTCTTCTAATCGCCATTGGAACAAAATGTCTTCCTCCGGGCGCAAAGGAGTCGCTGAGGAAGGCAGAATATAAAAATAATGAAAAAAAAATAAAAGCAAAGTAAGTATATAAAAAAAAAAGGGATATACTAAAAAACAAGAAAAAAAAAAAAAATGAAAACGTAAAAAAAACGACTAAATGACACTAACAGAGGAAAGGAGTACTCCGGCCTGCCCCCTGACACTCCAGCGCCCCCTCTCGAGCCCTCCCCCAGGCCTCTCGAATGTGACCCTCCTACGCCACCCCCCGAACGCCGTCTCCAACGCCCCCCCCGGTACCACAACCGTCGAGCCTATGCCCCCCCCCCATCCCCCCCCCTCACGCTCCCCCCCCTTACCCCACATTATGCCCGGCCCATGCCATCCCCTCCCCCGAGGTGGGGGTCCTTTCGCTGCACAACCATCAATCACAATCATTTGACTGAGTAAATTTAGCCGTCTGTATCAGCTAAATACATTTCCTACTCAATGAGTGTTCACGCAGAGGACTTGCTTCCTGAAAACTTTAATCGGTTCTGGAATAGGCACGAGCTTTTTGAAGAAAAAGGCCCACATCTAACAACTACGGAGTAAAAGTGCTGATGGATAACTTTGCATCTGCCCTAAGACCTCAGCCTGCGCAGCGCGTGCAGCCGTTGAAAGGGAGAAAGAAGAAGCAAAGGGCACAGACATCACTACCATCTCCACCGACTCCCGAGGTCTCTGCACCCCCACCGCCTCAAAAGAACTCCACACCTCCACGATTCAAGAAGAACTCAACACCTCCAAGGTTCCAAAAGAACTCAACACCTCCACGGCTTCGAAAGAGCTCAACGCCTCCACCCCCAGCATCATCAGCAGCTGCCACATCTTCATCAGCGCCATCAGCATATACAGCACCACCAGCAGCAGTGGATACAGCCGCAGCAGTGGCTGCTCCATCATCTTCAGCAGCAGCAGTGGATACAGCAGCAGCAGTGGCTGCTCCATCATCTTCAGCAGCAGCAGTGGATACAGCCGCAGCAGTGTGCTGCTCCATCATCTTCAGCAGCAGCAGTGGCTGCTCCATCATCTTCAGCAGCAGCAGTGGATACAGCAGCAGCAGTGGCTGCTCCATCATCTTCAGCAGCACCTTCCCCACCTACAGCTCCGTGAAGCTTCCCCCATTACTCCAGGCTACAGTCAGGCCTGTACTGGGGTTCCTCAACCACCTCTGTCTCCACCAAAGACTCCCTCATCACCTTCCATGGACCCGGCTTGGGTCCCCCCCGCTACATCCACTCCATCTAGGGAAAATGAGGACGACCTTTCCCTTTGTTTTCTATCCCCGCCTTCACTACTGGATTTACCGGAACACTCTGCAGGCATGATAAGATCGGCGATGAAGACTATTCCTCTCACACCCACTGTAGCCAGATCAAGAGTCCTATCTAACATTCAAAACTACTCCCCGTACCTCCAAAGTACCTAGGGCGTCCAACTCAAATTCTCCCACAAAATCCCCCGTCCCTCCTCTAACCCCATAAGTATTCCACCCCCCCCCTCCTGCTCATTTAGCCCCCCTCCCCCCCCCTAACTCAGCACCAAGAAACCCTCCACCTCCACTCCCCCCTCGTCCACCACCCAACTCAGCCTGCCCCTCCCCTAACCCATCACCAAAAACCCATCCACCTTCAACCCCTCCCCGTCCAACTCCCAAGAACCACCCGCCTCTCCATCCTCCTCCCCCGCCTTCCCCTACCCCTCTTTTCTCTAAACACTAGGATGCACAGGGTCTCTGCTTCGCAGCCACTGGCAGTCTAGTTAGAGGAGAGACCCGGCTGGGGCCCTGTCGTGAAGCCACCTGTGCCATTCCCTTAGTGATAACACAAAGAATACATAACAGAAAAACATCTGGAGTTAATCAGTCTAATCAGGAAAATCTAATTCTTGTTCCGTGTAAGAATCAGCCGACCACAACCGCTGATCCTGAAACTTTGAAACTTGCTATGCTAAATGTCAGATCTCTTTGTAACAAGTCTTTTTTAATCAATAATTTTTATTTGTTCTTATAATCTAGATCTTATGTTCATGGCTGAAACATGGCTTGACCAAAATACAGAAAATGCAGTTTTAATAGAAGCATCACCACCAAATTTCAAATTTGAATCTGAAATACGGGAAAACAAAAAAGGAGGAGGCTTAGCTGCCATTTTCAGAGACCACTTTGTCTCCCATAGAATGTCTCTTGGGAAGTTTCCGTCTTTTGAATATGTGTCTTTTAAAATACAACAAAAACAATCTCCTCCAATACTTTTCGTTGTCCTATACAAGCCACCGCAGTCATGTCACAGTTTTATTGATAATTTTACAGAGTTGCTTTCAGTTGTATGCACAGATTTTGATAGTTTAGTTATTACAGGTGATTTTAATATTCATGTGGATAATGTTGATGACAGAAATGCTAAAGAGCTGAGTTCTCTTCTTGAATCTTTTGGTCTCACTCAGCATGTGAGTGGCCCCACCCACAGCAAAGGGCACACTCTAGACCTGTTAGTTACAAAGGGGGCGAACATATATAATGTAAACGTGGTCGATGTTGCGCTTTCGGATCATTTTTGTATATTTTTTGACATGTGTTTCACTAACAAACCACCAGTGGACTCTGCAACTGTACGAAGAAGACACATAAATGAAAATACGGGTGAACTATTTATGGGAATGATAAACTTTGAGAATGCATCGTATTCTACTGTAGATGAACTGTTTAACTCTGTCACCTCTAGTGTTTTGAAAGTTCTGGACACCATCGCTCCTGTGAAGGTTAAAATAGTGAAAAATAAGCAGAAGGCGCCGTGGGCTAAAGCAGACTCGGTCAGAGCACAAAAGAGAGAGTGCCGGAGGGCCGAGCGGAAGTGGCGCAAGTCCAACCTCCAGGTTGATTACAAGATCTTCAAAGATAAGTTGTGCGAGTTTAACCAGGTGCTACGTAGTACAAGAGAAAGGTATTTTTCTGAAATGATTGAAGGCTGCAGCAACAATCTGCGTGTTCTGTTTTCAACAGTTAATAGATTAACAAACCCCCCTGTTCAAATGCCATTAGAGCTAACTTCCAAACGTAAATGTAATGAGTTTGCACATTTTTTCAATGACAAGGTTCAAGGCATCAAAAACGCCATTGTCTCCAATCCACAGATAACAATCCAACAGCCAGAAAGGCTCTTTGAGCTAACTTACTTTGCACCTGTAAATGATCAAACTGTCCAAGAGATAATCTCCAGTTTGAGCTCCTCCACATGCAGCCTGGATGTACTACCCACTAGATTTCTAAAGTCTGTTCTGAGCAGTCTGTTACCTTCACTCACACAGATAGTAAACATGTCCCTTGATTCTGGAATATTCCCAAAGGCCCTGAAAACTGCAGTCATCAGGCCCCTGCTAAAAAAGAGCAGTCTGGATGCTACGGTACTTAACAACTATCGTCCCATCTCAAATCTGCCATTTATGGGGAAAGTCCTTGAGAAAGTTGTCTACCTACAGCTTACTAGATTTCTTATAATCAACAACTCATTTGATATGTTTCAGTCCGGCTTTAGACCCCACCACAGCACTGAGACTGCTCTCGTTAAGGTTACAAACGATATCCGGCTGAACACTGACGCAGGCAAAGTCTCAATCCTAATCCTGTTAGATCTAAGTGCTGCCTTTGATACTGTCGACCATGAGATCCTCTTACAGAGACTAGAGGACTGGGTTGGCGTCGCTGGCACCGCCCTAAGTTGGTTTAGGTCTTACCTTGAAGACAGGAAGTACTTTGTGGAGATTGGAAACTGTGTCTCAGATCATATGGCCCTGACCTGTGGAGTACCACAGGGGTCGATCCTGGGACCTCTTCTGTTCAATCTCTACATGCTGCCGTTAGGTCAGTTAATACGCAGAAACAAAGTTTCCTATCATAACTATGCAGACGACACTCAGATCTATGTCTCACTAACTGCAGGAGAACATGGACCAGTGGACTCACTCCTTCACTGTATCCAACAGATCAGTGAGTGGATGCAAAACAACTTCCTTCAGCTAAACGCAGACAAAACTGAAATGATTGTCTTTGGTCCCCAGAAACAAAGAGAGAGCGTCATCTGTAACCTACAGTCTCTCTCCCTAAAACCTTCTAACAAGGTCAGAAATCTAGGGGTAATACTGGACTCAGACTTAAAATTTTAATAGCCACATCAAATCAGTAACATCAGCAGCTTTTTACCATCTAAAAAACATTGCCAGGATCAAAAACATAGTGTCTAAAGCAGACTTGGAGATTCTTATCCATGCATTTGTCTCCAGTAGGTTAGACTACTGCAATGGCCTGCTCACAGGTCTGTCCAAACAGGCTGTAAAACAGCTGCAGTACATTCAAAATGCAGCAGCTCGAGTCCTGACTAGAACCAGGAAGTACGACCACATTAGTCCGGTCCTCAGGTCTCTGCACTGGCTTCCTGTGGCTCAGAGAATAGACTTTAAAACAGCTCTGCTTGTGTACAAATCTCTCCATGGCCTCGCACCAAAATATATTAGTGACATGTTAGTCCCATATGAACCAGCCCGGACTCTGAGGAGCACAGGGACTGGACTCCTGTTAGTGCCCAGAGTCAGAACTAAACATGGGGAGGCTGCTTTTCAGATTCATGCTGCTAAAATCTGGAACAATCTTCCTGAAGATGTGAGACAGGCCTCCTCTCTGACAATGTTTAAAACCAGGTTAAAAACGGTGCTGTTTAGCTGTGCATACAACTGAGGGATTTTATATTTTTATCTTTCGTTTTAATGTTCTGTAATTATTTATGATTTTAATGCTATCTTGTTCAGCACTTTGAGTTGCCTTGTGTATGAATTGTGCTATACAAATAAACTTGCCTTGCCTTGCCTTGCCTTGTATTGGAAAAAGTGTTAAAACATGTGCTATTGAGCAGAGAACTTACTTGCGTCTTCACAAACCTGACATGCAGAACTGCAGCGCCTGTTTCTGAGGAAATATGATCCTGTCTCAATGTAGTAAGTTTAAGATTCTAATATGTTAGGGCTGCAAATTAAATCGCAATCAAATCTAAATGAATGTGGCCATATTTAGCAAATCACAGATGGTAATTTTTAACCAAAAGTATACAAATCATTTGTTGCTTATTTAAAAATGGTCAATCTCTGTGTGTTTTGAGCTCTAAACCATTTAGAATTTTAAGGATCACTGCAAATGTAAAAAAAAGCTGTTAATAGTTTGAATGTAGTGTATCTTTGAAAGAATGTTGTAATTTGAAAAATTATATCTGTTAATGCAAAGGAAGGTTTCTCACCCATCATCTGTACTTCTTAGCAAGTTTTCCCGACGTTTCGTCCTCAATCCAAAGGACTTCTTCAGGGAATGACCGCGCGTTGGAGATTTATAACCTATGGGCGTGGTTAGCCACACCCTAATCCTGATACTAACTCATAAACAATCTAAGGTCTGTTTGATGTAGAACATCTGTTAATGGAAAAGTTGTACTTATTTACTTTTTTAAATCCCAATGGACTTATGTTCAAATTTTAAGTGAACATTTTCTTGTTTGATATTACCACAGAAAGTATTGTCAAAAACATACAAATATACCACTTTTTTTTCATCTTTCAGTTTTTCCTTGAATTGGAATGCTCCAAGTATAGTGCACTAAAATATTATGCGACAGTCGCAGAAATATAATCGCAATATTTATCTGAATATCTCTTTTATGTTGATTATGTTTTAAAGAATATCTAGTTGTGAATTGCAACTACATATTCTTTAAAACGTAATCAACATCAAAGTAATTTCTCATTACATAAATTTAATGAAATATGAAATGTCAAACTGTTTATCCTCCTTTAATTTTTTCAGGGATCAAAATGAAAGCGAAACAGGAAAAACTGCGGAGACATTGAATAAGTATGTCATTTTTAGTTAAACTTTTTAATGTAGGTGTTTTGTTAATCAACCACAATGTGTTTCCATAGGGACTCGTCTCCATTGTCTGGCAAAAGGTACGCATCGTTATTAAATCTTGTCACTAACCTAATGTGTGTGACTTTTTAAAAAAACTTGTTGCCACATTTATTCAATATTTTTAGGCCACCGTCAAGACTTCCACAACACAGAAGGAAGAAGCGAAAAGAAATGGACGAAAGCATTACAGACACGCACCAAAACAAGCAAAGTAAATACAAACATACAATACAACACAGAGCAGGTAAACTCCAACATATCTTATTTGTCTCCCCAGATGCTTATATCATCAAGCTGTTTGACCGCAGCGTGGACTTGGCCCAGTTCAACAGTGAAACTCCTCTGTATCCCATCTGTCGTTCCTGGATGAGGAATAACCCTTCGTTTCGCGAACAGGCTGACCCCACACCACTCTCCCCACACAACGCAGATGAAGAGGTGCACACACTGTTAGATTTATGGTGTTATTGTACTATTAGACTAGGGTAAAAGAAGGGAATAAGAGCACTCAGAATGCACAGATCAAACAGAATCTATTATATTATATTAGATAATATATAATGAATAAAATGGTAAATAAAAACTGGCGCTATAATTGCACTTGGTTCAAGGATAGTACACTCATGGAGTATACACTGTAGACAGAAGGAGGTATTTTATATTGTACTTTAGTAATAATAGCAGCAGGTAAATTAACCAGTGATTTATCAGAACAGGTGAGTGGCACGTGTATAGACTCAGCAGTTCTCATTGTACAGTCTGACAGCAGCAAGAAGGAAAGAATTACGAAACATCTCTTTCACACAGTGAGGAGGAATAAGTATTAGATATGACTAGTTCTGACGAGTAAAAAGAAACATTAGCTTGAATTAAAGGTGCTTTAACTGTTTCATCAAGAGTACTACCGTGAGTTGACGGTATATTCAGCTGAAAACAAGGGACACTGCTGCTTGTGATTGATTTATGATTCACGACACGAAAGATCCTGAAGTTTAGGTACAGTCCATACACACTTACACATGGAGAAGTGAGAGTGCTCATTATTTACAAACAATAGCGTATTTTAATAGTATTGAGATACTTCATGTTTTACTTTTATGAGACTTTAATTTAAAAAAAATAAAACGCGTCTGTTTCATCTTGTATGTTCGCAGCTTTCGGACAACGTGAACGGTAAAGAGCAGGACGTGCACAGACTGCCTCCTCCCACTCCGTGTCCAGTGACCTCCTCTGGGGATCCGGTGAACCTGCGCATCCCACTGACTGAAAAACCAGTCGCCAACAAGGTCCTAAAACCAATACATGGAATTACAATGTGACTGAATGCATTTCCCTCATTTCCCATCACACTCATGTTTACGTGTTCGGTTTACATGCACTCTTCACAGCCGACGGAGAAACTGCCTGCATTGGGAACTCACGTCTCGGACCACATGATGCGCTGGAAAAAGATAAGACAAAAGTACGGAGGCAGGGTTCGTTCAAGAGCTTTAGAAGTTCTTTTGCTGAAATTAAGGCCCTGGAAATATTCAAAAATCTTATTCTTTGGAGGAATAAAGATTATCTCATTTTATGGTTTGTCTCAAAAGAAAGTGTCCTGTAAAAGATGCTGTCTTCATCTTATTATAGAACATGTTGTGTTTTGCATGAATTTAAGAAAGATTGTCATGTGACTCTGGGCTGAGAGCTGAGGGTGGTCCTTTCAGATGTGACTGAGGCCAAAAGCTCATGCAAGTGGGAACTAACATGGATTTCAATGCATTGCTGATGTGAAAGTTCAGTCCTCCAGCCTTAAGCACACATGTCCTGTTTGGGAGAAGTTCTTATCACAATCTACTACATTTTTCTTAAGTCTCCCTGCATACCTGCATATACCAAACTATACTATAATGTATATTTACAATATTCCAGTGCACAAAACACACACTACAGAAAGTTCTCATTATTTAAACAAATGTGTGTATGTTTGTTTTGTTTTCCTTTAGGTGGAAGGAGTGCTCGAACAGGAACCAGCTGCGATACAGCGAGAGCATCAAGATCCTGAAGGAGATGAAGGAGCTGTACGACCGCTGACCTCATGGCTCTGGGTTTTTATATGGACTGAACCTTTCACAGTTTTATGATCGACAACGCTTTCGGTTTGACTGTATACGATTTTCAGGATTTTTATTTCCCCAAAATTATATTAAAATAAATGATTGATTTGTACTCATTTTTGTGTTTTCCATTTCATTCTCCATTCGACACAAAACAATGGTAGGAAGGCACTAAGTATTTGGAAGAATTAGAAGGCAGGATTTTAAAATTAGTTTTACAGCCCCTCAATCTTGTTATTGCTTTCATTTCGATGTCAGGCCCTCCACCGTTTTACCAATCAGACAGTCTGTAATCCGGGTTATCGTGCAACATGTGGCCGGAGTACTAAAAAAGGTTATGATTCTCAAATCATTAATGACAAAACAAGGATTTTTGTGAAAAAGGTGTTGGTTATAGATTTATTGTTGACGAAACTCTTTATTCAGATAATATGGTCCCAGCTGGATTCATCTGCATATCTGGCAACCTGAGTCAGCGAGAGTGCAGTACCACTTTTGGCCAGATTTTTTCATACTGGTTCTTTAATTTTGATTTATCTGAAAACCAAAACAGAACAAGGCTCTGTCCACAACATCACCTACAAGTGCCCTTTTTCCACAAGTAACACATGTAACAAGTTTGAAAAGTAGAAATAAAGTATATTTTATTGCCCTGTAGGTAAAAATTTCCTATGTTCTGTCAGCAGCAGTCCCTGGATCCTCTCGCTCTCTTACCTGTAGTGCATGTTTTGGGTGGTGGGGAAACCAGAGCAACCTACTGGTTTCTATGGTATTGTAATGGTTTTATGTGGTTTGGTTAGTTTTTCTTTTGGAATTCTAGTACCTCCCATTCAAATATACAGGATCGCTCAGTTTTCTAATGGTTCCTATGGGGTTTACTGGATCCTACAGGAGTCTAATGGCTCCTATACAGGATTCTAATGGGCCCTGATGGATCGTAATGGCGTGTAGCGGTTACAATTTTTTCCTACTGGTTAGTTAGTTTTTTCATACACAAATCTGCTGGATCACACAGGACACTTATAGATCCTACAGGAGTATATTAGCTCTGGTGTCTTAACCATATAGTGTTATGGCTCCTATTGGAAATCAATAGTTGGTTAATAAGTCTTTAAAGTTTTATTTAAGAAATTGCCAAAACAGGTCCAGTGAAATATCCATACAAATGTGCTTGGAAGACTGCGCCAGGTATTGACACAAAATCTAGAGCATTAATTAAAGTTGACGGTGAGTTGACCTACTTCCCACTTGGCCACTGTCCCACAAATAAAGCATTTAGATTTTAGACAGTAAAAGGGGACAGGAAAGAAGTTCCTGATAATGGAGTGGATAGAAGTTCTCCGAGTCTGTTAATGATGAAGGAACAATGTTATACCACGGTTAAAAACTCATGAAGAACAATTTGGTTATGTGTCTTTAAATGAACTGGAAACAACACTGATTATTACATAAACTTTAATATTTCTCTATGAACTCCAGACGGTCTGTTTCCCCTTGAGCTGAGACGGTAGTTTGTCCTTAGTTGGAGGCGATGGTCTGGTCGATCCAGCGCCGCAGGTAGGACACACGAGCATACACAGCGGGAGTGCGCACGTTACAGTTGGAGGTTCCCCAGGACACGATGCCCACCAGAGACCACACCCCACTGCTCTCACAGACCAGGGGGCCGCCAGAGTCGCCCTGAAACAAGCACACCATGAACACTGGCTCATCCACAGGGAAAAAGTACTGAGACTGCAGCACTCAGACTCAGAGGGCTCTGACCTTGTTCCCCAGAGAGATACTTTTTCAGAACAAAAATTAGAGAAACCTTCAACTTTGAACAGCCAGAGTGAATATAATGGCGAGCCTGCCCTAGACAGTTTGATCTGAATCATTTGGATTATTTGTCATTTTGAAATACACTGCTGTGGTTAAAGTACAATGATGTCCGCAACTTCAATTTCATTTTGAAAAGAAGATAATACATTAATACATTTTCAATTTAAATACATTTAAAACAAGTAAGTTGAAATTTGAAGTGTGGATGCACTTAAAATACAGCAGATCCTTTTTTCAACAACTGTGAATCAATCAAACTCTTGTTATATATTAAGAACTTGTTATACAAACATATGCAACACAAAGAAACACACATTAGAATATGGTAGCTTGGTGTGGAGTGTTCTTTTGTTGCTTGTACATGACAAGTGATGCTGCATAGCAAACATTGCAAAGATACATGTTATGCTGGGTTTTTCATACTATACCATAATTTGTATTGAACTTTGAGGTTAATCCAAATACACATATAAATATAGTTTGCCAACTTTGCTGCCGGTGACTATGTTGACTACAGCAAATCCTTTTTTCAACAGCAGTGCAATCAATCAAACTCATGTTATATGTTAAGCACTTACAAACAATGTAACACGAAGAAACACACATTAGAATACGTGGCTTAGTGTGGAGTTCTTTTGGTGCTTGTACCTGACAGGACGAGACTCCGGAGGCTCCAGCGCAGATCATGGCGTCAGTGATTCTGTTCTGTCCCCAGTAGTTCTTACACTGAGCAGGGGTCAGCAGGGGCAGAGCCGTCTGCTGCAGGTACCGAGGGCTGGCTGACAACACAGACACACAGCTTTAGGAGACACTCACATTTGCTTTACTTTGTGCTTTATTCCCAAAGCTTGTACAAATCCATTATTCATCCTGCTGCTGTCAGACTGTACAACAAACAATTAGGACTAACAAACACTGTCGACCTGACCTGATTTATCGTGCACAGTGCACCAGTGCAATAAATGTGCAATATGGAACCACATGTGTCACTGTCACTTTACTGACTATGCTCCAGACCCTCATGTATACACACAACTATTTTCACTATACACTATCTTACATTTGCTTCTTCATCATGCTAGTTGGAGATTTTAGACTTTTTTCCTTATTATGCTAACAATACAGATTTTGGGCTGCTTTTCAGTGAAATATTTAGTGGAAGATGTTATTTTATTTTATTTTAGTATTGAGGTATTTTATTTATAATTTATCGTGCTATGTGCTCCTAATTCCTAATGCCTGTAACTTATGATGAAACACTGAAATTTCTCCACTGTGGGACGAATAAAGGATCTCTTAATATTAATTTTAATTCACGTAACAAACCCAGTTAAAGAAGTGTCTTGCCTAAGGACACAATTATGCGCGTTTGACAGGCCTGTACATTATTGGCTACAGTTATTATGATGTAACTTATTTTTGAAGTAGTAAACTACCGATAAGTATCTATTAAAACTGTTGACAGGTGATTAAAAAGATCATACGTGATCCCTTTGCCTGTGATGGGAGACCTCTGAGAACAATGGGGCAGCTACTGCTGTAAAGTGTCAATCTGTTGTTGTGTCCTTAGGCAAGACACGTCACCGATAAGACTAAGTAAAAAGTCTGGTGTGTGCATGAATGACTTGTGGTGGTCAAAGAAGCCAATGGCACTGACTGGTTGCCTCGTCTCTGTCAGTTTTCCTCTTGGGCAGCTGTGGCAACAATAACACTGACCTGATTACTGTAGTTCACCACTTTTACGGAGTGAATGAATGACTAACAGATGACCTTTTATGGACATTAGTCATCTGCGCCTCATGGACCTATGGCTCTCTGTGTTTTCACATGATTGCATTTTTGAGTTTGAACTGTTTGATTCTCAGATCTGTGTTAGCAAGTGCAACGGTTTTGTTAAGTCTTCCGAGATAACTACTGTTGTGATTTAGGACTATAAAAGAATACATTAATTTGAATGATATATGCCAGCTTGAGTCTTTGATCGTCCAGAGAAAATATATAACTACAGTAGTGTATTATTTACTGCAGTCGTCATGGTGACAGTACTCACAGGTAGAGCCGGTGCGGCCCCATCCCGTGGTGACACACTTGGTTCCGGAGGGGATGCTGGTGGAGGAGGAGGCCAGGCAGACGGGTGACACACGGTTGTTCATCTGGACCGGAGAGGACAGCTTCAGCAGCGTGATGTCATTGTTGAACGTGTTGCCGTTGTAGTAGGGGTGAGAGATGGCCTGAGCAGGGAGGAGGAGTGATGAATGACGAGAATCCACAAACATTCAAAGGAGACATATTATGCCAATCGACTTTTTCTGTTACAATATTCTCCCGCAATAATGCTAATATCAGGAACTTTTGGCACAAACATGTAGCTCCGCCCCTTCTGGCTAAAAGCTCCGACCTAATCATGTAATAATTTGATGTTTGGCTATTTCTGAAATTAAATTACATTCTCTATAATGTCTCATGTCTGTATTTTCGGTCGGTAATTTGATTAATTTGGATAATAAAAACAAGTTCCACTCCGCTCTCTGGTGGTATCAAAGGGAGTTACAAGTGGGAAGTGTTTTTTTTTTACAGTTTATACTTGTTTCACCAATATTTTTTTCTACTGAAGATATTATTCCACATTTTAAAACATGAAATGAAGTGAATAGATCTCATTAAAATTGAATGAAATTTGATGCAAAATACATCTCTTTAAAGCTCCAATAGTTAACTTTTTATATAATAAACTGACAGTGTGGCCATATTTGTATTTACAAGTATTTCAATAGAATCACCTCCAGAAAGTTATGTTCTGTTGCTGTTTGCTGTGATAAAATCTAAAATAAAACTAATTCCTCCTCTAAAAACAGTTTGGTTCTATCACTAGTTCTGACATTAAAAAAATAAATAAGGTGAAGGTAAACTTTATTAATCCCAGTAGGGCAATTCTGCCCTACTGGGATGAAAGATCAAGGCTATGCTCACGCTCAGAGAGCAGCCGTCCTCCTGTGGACTCACCACCTGCAGAGGGTCAGTGAGGGGCTGGTGCTATGAGACTTGGGTGGCATCTCTGACTGCCACCCCCCTGACCCAGAAATGGATTAAAGGGTAGAAAATGGATGGATGGATGGATGGAGGGCAATTCTGCATTTGACCCATCCTGATGCCGCGAAGGCTTACGTCATGAGCATGTTGATGCTTGGCTTGGTCAGGACTACCAGAGCTGGAGGCTTTAACCTGGTGTGCATGTTTTTAGTGGTAGGGGAAACTTGAGTACTCGGATTAAACCTACACAGGCACAGGTAGAACATGCCAACTCCACTCAGAAAGACCCTGTTCCAACCGGGATTTGAACCAAGGACCTTCTTACTGAGAGGCAAGAGTGCTACCCACTCAGCCACCGTGCTGCCCAGCTGTGACAGAAACCAGTTATGGGTTTTGTCATAGCTGAAGACCTGCCATTTCTAACAGAATAATGAAAAAGAGAGCTCCACCCTCACTCCGCGTTCAGCCTAAAGCATCAAATTGTAAGCAAATGTTCATTTGTTTTCTAACAAGATGAAGACAGCATGTTGTGATCTGAAAAAATATCTTATTTACTCACAACATTTTGAGCTAGGTACCCGAGCTTTAGTGAACACTCCCCTTCCTTCCTTAGGGGGACTGCCATTTGGACGAACTCATGGAGGAATACACATCATCTTGAGGACAACATTGTTTGGGTATTTTAATGACCAATCATGGGAAAGCAAAAGATGTTTTATTTATGCCACAATGTTAAGTAAGTAGTAGTAAGTAATCTTTATTTATATACCGCCTTTTCACTGCACATCAGAGTCTCAAAGCGGTTTACAATTGTTATTTTTTTTGGGAGTGGGGGTCCCAGTACAGGAGGCACATGTCAGACCTATTGTACATATTTTTAGTGGTAGGGGAAACCGGAGCACCCGGAGGAAACCTACGCAGACACGGGGAGAACATGCAAACTCCACTCAGAAAGGCCCTGGTCCAACCGGGATTCGAACCCAGGACCTTCTTGCTGAGAGGCGAGAGTGCTATCCACTCAGCCACCGTTCCTTTTTATTGAACGTCGTGACATAAAAAATGGCAGTAAAACATCTTTCACACTGTGTTCAATGTGAGCTTCGCAGCCTCAACAAAGGTCATTATTTAAGAACAGACCCTCACCAATTTGGAAATGAAAGTTGTAAAATGGTGTTGTTCTGGCCATCACTCACCCTGGAGATGGTTTTGACCTGGATGGGTTCACTGTTGTAGTTACGGTCGTGCTCTCCCAGGATCACACGGTGGCTTCTAGGGCTGCACAGGACACAAGCCACTTATTATTATTATTACTATTATTGTTTTTATTTTTTCTATGACAAAAGAGGAAATAATGTTGAATCTGTGAGCCAACTTACGACACGCGGCAGTGAGCAGCGGTGACGACCCAGTTCTGGTTGATCAGGGAACCTCCGCAGAAGTGAAATCCTCTGTCGTCCTTTTACAGGGAACAAGACTCATTATAGAGAAAACTGTGTTGAAAGGTTAACAGTAAAATTCCCAAAGCAATCAATTTGATGTTTTGGTCTTCATAACTTTGTGACTTGTTCTGTTTCTACAGTATATGTACTGTAGTTTATTTCTGTGATGTTTTACCTGTGTTTGTAACCTGCTGTGGCCCGAGTTATTTGTTGTAGTTAAATGAAATTAAGTGAAGTTATTTCTTTCAGCACTTAGTAAATACTTTTTAAAAAAATTATAATAACTTATTTTTGATAAATCTATTTGAAAACTAAAACATTTTGGGCAGAATTTCTTAAAATTGTATTGGTTTGAATAGAAGTCGTCTAAATGACAGCTCCCGGAGTTCCAGTTGTAATCAAAGACGTGAGAGAATTTTTTACCTGCAGAGAAACCTGCCAGGGCCAAGATCCAGACACAGCAGTCTCACCATTCACAATCTTGTTGTATCCACTCACTTGGGGTTTTATGGAAGGGGATCCACACCCTGTCTCAATAGAAAGAGTCTTATAAACAACACAACATGCTTCATTTAATTAGAACATATGTTGTCTTTTGCATTTAAAAAAACCCTGTGATAGAACCAAAATAATTAATTGAGACCCAGTAATGAGTTACATTGACTTCTTGAAACTAAGAACCCCAGCTTTTATATCTAATTTTGGACATTATTTTATTGATTTACTTCAAACCTGTGTATATACATTCAACAAAAAATAAAATTAAAATTAAAAAAGATTGACCAAATGGATGTTTTTTTGTTTCTGGGAGAAAGAGATTTAAGCCAATTTGTCAAGCTAAATAATGAGTGTCTTACCCAGAGTGGAGGCTACAAGCGCCAAACAGCTGACGAGGAACAACATGGCTGCGCTTCAGGTCGTGCAGATGTCACTTTGCAGCTTTGCCTTTTTATACGATGTAACATTCATCCAAACTAAGGCTTTCCCATGTGATAAGAATGGGAGAAAAGACTTGATAAGCAGCTGGATGACCACCTCCACCCTGCTATTTATGAACCATATTATATAAGAGATGGCACACAACATAAGTTTCCCACAGAGTCTAAACACTTCAACAGAATTGGAAACGTCAAGTTGTAAATAAAAAGTTTCTGCAGATTTCTAAATTCAAATGTTATAGGTTGATAACTCCACGCATGGCCTTTCTGTGTGGAGATTGCGTGTGTAGGTCTCCTCAAGTGCTATGGTTTCTCCTGCTAAAATACAGTAGGTCCGATGAGCCTCCTCCCATTACTGTGTGGAACAATCGTAATGTGCTATTTGAAAGAAACATCACCTAATTGCTTATTCACATGTTTTTTTTAAAAAGAAAAACATGACCCGGCCTCTCCAGTGGCCAAGCACTTCATTCTGCTTTTGTGGGAACAAGAAAGTACTGGTCCCACTAAAGTCAGGCAGCCACAATCTATTGGTAGTTTTTCTTTGGGAATTAGTTTCATCTATGTTTAATCTTTAATTTCATAGCCTGGACATAATGCTAAAGCCTCATTTGTCACTCAATACTCCAAACCAAACACTCAAACCAGCAGAAGGCAACTCAAGATTTGCTTTCCCATAAATCAACTTTATTAAAACAAATGTGCTTGAGTCTTGATGTAGTTAGTTGGTACAAACATGCACATGATGATAATATGGGATTTGTAGTCTAGTCGACCTCTTCAATGGTCGGGCCAGAGGAGGAACCAGCACCTCCAGCTCCACCAGGGAAACCTCCAGGCATACCCCCTGGCATTCCTCCAGGCATCCCCCCGGGCATGCCTGCTCCCTGGTAGAGGTTAGTGATGATGGGGTTGCACACTTTCTCCAGTTCCTTCTGCTGGTGCTCATACTCTTCCTTTTCAGCCGTCTGGACACAACACACAATTATACAATTAGTCATGGCCAAGTTGTCAACATCTTATAGACACTAACTGAGATTTGGCACAATTGCCAGCGTGTCTACAGAAAGTCTGTGAGAGTTTCATAGAGTTTATTTCAGTCCACCTCCAGAACCGTCCATGTTAAAGTTAAAGTTGCACGTTTTTTATCCGTGTAGGAAAATTCATCCTCTACATTTCACCCATTCTAATGCCACCAAGGCTTCCGTCAGGAGCAGTGGTCGCCGTAGTAACAGAGCCGCACCATTTTCACAGGAATCACTAAGAAACAGTGTTAGCTGGCATTAAAATGAGCATGTGCAGCTGGCTGTGCATTCGCTGTTGTATTTACAAAGATTTGTAAATACTACCTCGATATGTAAAAAAATCTCTAACATCTTAGTAATACATTTTCCACGCATAGTAATTTTTCATTGTGAATTATGAAATCAACCGTTTTTATTTGATTAAGTAATCAGCACGTTGATACAAAAAGAAAGAAAGATTCTCTGCACTGAAATTGTATTTAGTTTAATTATATTTTCAATACACTTAAGTTCAGGTGTTTTTATTCAGAATCCTATAATATTCCCTGTGCTAAAGTAATATTTGGTTCATTATTGGATTGTAACTAACTAGTGTATTAATGACTACTATAAGCTTGGTGGTTACCCACAGACCTGGTTCTTGTCGAGCCAGGAGATGACCTCGTTGCACTTGTCCACAATAGTCTTCTTGTCCTCAGGGCTGATCTTGTCCTGCAGCTTGTCGTCCTCCACGGTGCTCTTCATGTTGAAGGCCAGAGACTCCAGAGAGTTCTTGGCCGTCACCTTCTCTCTCTGGACGTCGTCTTCAGCCTTGAACTGCTCCGCCTCCTGCACCATGCGCTCGATGTCCTCCTTACTCAGACGTCCTGAGAGACAGGTCAAGATCATTGTACTGAAACGTGTGAACACTGTGATTGTCATGTTTACCTTTATCGTTGGTGATAGTGATCTTGTTCTCTTTGCCGGTGCTCTTGTCCACTGCCGACACGTTCAGAATGCCGTTAGCGTCAATGTCAAAGGTCACTTCGATCTGAGGGACCCCCCTGGGAGCTGGCGGGATGCCGGTGAGCTCAAACTTTCCCAGGATGTTGTTGTCTTTAGTCATGGCCCTCTCGCCTTCGTACACCTGGGGTAGAGCCAGAGTCTTAGTGTTCAGTGTCACAACATATATAGACCCTGCTTTATTTTTGGGGAATTTCCCCAAGGTTCATGTATTGTATACTTTAAAGATTTCAAATGATAATTAAACTAACCACAAAGTGCAATTTTAACTATATACAGTATGCATTTGTGATTATTGTCACGGTGTGGATTTTGTTATTTTGGACTTTAGTTTTATTTGATATTCTGTTCTCTGCTTTGGTTTTAGTTTGCCTTTGACGCCCTGTTTCCCCTGTCTTGATTGTCTGCCCCGGCCTAATGTGTTTCACCTGTATTACCATGTGCTCCTCTCCTCTTGTTGCTGGTCCATTGTATTGTCAACCTCCGTCCTCTCTTGTCATGTCTGTTCCTGTTTCGTTGCTGTTTGTGCCTTTTGGATTTTTGAGTTTTAACCTGGACTTTTATTTTGTTATCATTAAATAATTATTTTTTGGGATTCCTGCTTTTTGAGTCCTCATCCTTCTCAGCACGTGACAATTATAGTTGTGTCTGTGTGCATCATGTATTGGCGAGGGTGGCTGGGGTTGCATAAGGCCATTTATGTTTTATTTTTTCTGCTCACAGTGATTAACAAACACAATTAACTCAACTATACTTTACAATTTTTTTCACTTTTGTATCTTTTTTCCCACCTCTATAGTTGCTGCTCAATGTAACAAAGCCGTGGTACCTGAATTAGCACTCCAGGCTGGTTGTCGGAGTAGGTAGTGAAAGTCTGCGTTTGTTTTGTGGGAATGGTGGTGTTTCTCTTGATAAGCACGGTCATGACTCCTCCAGCCGTCTCGATTCCCAGGGACAGAGGTGTGACGTCCAGCAAGAGCAGGTCCTGGACATTTTCCGACTTATCTCCTGCCAAGATAGCCGCCTGCACAGCTGCAATGAGGCGAGTGAGTTTTTAAAATGACACATTCTGCGTCTTAAAGGTATATGGGTGGATCATCTTCCACTTGGTGGATCATCTAGACTATATTGGTCCTCCAAATTGTGAATCATTCTGGTAATATGCTAGAAACGTTTTAATAGCCGTTCCCTCTGAGGAGGGAAGTTCTTTCCAAAATTTTTGGATAATCCTCTTGTATACCTTTAATGGACAAAGCATACAGACATACACTACACAACTGGATTCAATTTGTCTATATTTCCGACAATCTTTGTTAGTATACGTGCAGGCTCAGACCTCTCTTGTCTCAGTATACATGTAGAGAAAGATTTTTAGCCCAAATTTGTTTGTTTAAATTAAGCTTGTGGAGATGTGGAACATTAATCAATTGATTTAATAACCATTTTCCCTTCTTTTTTTATTTTAAATGTCATGTTTGCAGTTGAATTAGCTCCTGAAGTGAACATGTCCTAGAGGATCAATGTGAAGCTGCCCTTACATGCACCTGCGTAACTTAGTAAAATTTGGTATAGATGGTTAAAGGACCTAAACTTAATCTGCAACTCCTATGTTCCTGGATTCACATGCTCAGTTGTATCAAATTTTACTAGGCCAGTTTTCCGACTTGTGAATGCACCAACAGAAAAACAGAAAAGCATAGACTACCTGCACCATAGGCCACAGCTTCATCAGGATTAATGCTCTTATTCAGTTCTCTCCCGTTGAAGAAGTCTTGGAGCAGCTTTTGGATTTTTGGAATACGTGTGGAGCCACCAACCAGGACGATGTCATGGATTTGTCCTTTATCCATTTTGGCGTCCCTCAAAGACTTCTCCACAGGCTCCAGTGTGCCGCGGAACAGGTCGGCATTGAGCTCTTCAAAGCGGGCTCTGGTGATGGAGGTGTAGAAGTCCACTCCTTCGTAGAGGGAGTCGATCTCGATGCTGGCCTGGGTGCTGCTGGAGAGAGTGCGCTTAGCCCGCTCACAGGCTGTACGCAGGCGACGCACCGCGCGCTTGTTGTTGGTGATTTCTTTCTTGAACTTGCGTTTGAATTCAGCAATGAAATGGTTGACCATGCGATTGTCAAAGTCTTCTCCTCCCAAGTGAGTGTCTCCAGCGGTGGATTTCACCTCAAAAATGCCATCTTCAATGGTCAAGATTGACACATCAAAAGTGCCACCTCCAAGGTCAAAGATGAGGACATTCCTTTCAGCGCCAACCTAAACAAATATTTTACATGTAATTATCGGAATAAAATCTTGTCAAAAGCTTTTTTGACATATGTGACAGGCCGAGGGGAAAGGGCCGCAGGTTGCACAGGAAGATTTTGTGCAGATCCACCAATGATTTTTTTTTTTTTTTTCGAATGTGTGGGAAAAGATTAAGAGGTACCTTATTATTTGGGCTGGTGCCTTTCAGAGTCTGCCTATATCTACGATTTTTCAGCCTAACTATTAATGCATTCATATTTAATTCATTGAATTAAAATATCAAAACAAAATCTATATATAAAGTAACAAATAATTGGTAAACACACATTTTTTATTCATGTATACATAATTATCTTTTTGTTATCAGTGGCTCTGAGAATATTATTCATTAGACTTATCTGTGACATAAGGAGTAGCATTTAACCCTAACCCTGAACTGGGATGAAAAAGGTTTTTTCTCATCTTTGTTATTTAAGGCGACCTCACTTCAAATGAACACCATTCTCGGGCTGGGTATCTACCAGAGCCTGCGGATGATACGGATCTCCATATACATGACATGTACAGACGACTTTCAATTCAATACCATATACTTATAAACAGTTCGATGCGGTTTAGCAAATAATAAAGGCTCTAATAAACAGAGCACTTTAAAATGATCTTGCACTTGTTTTGATATTGTTTTGGTCGATCGATTTCACAGTGACAATTGTTTACTGTTTTATTTGTTTTATTTCTGTCTTTTAATGTTGTTTTATGTCTGTACTTGTCTTGTGCACACTGGGGACTTTTGCAAATGTATTCCAATGTGGTTTTACTGCAAATGGCAAATAAATGAATCTGAATCTGTTGGCCTCATGTGTAAAGTAGTGTGCCACAAATACTAAACTTTGTAATTATATTTCATCTACTAAAGATGAAAAATGTTGAATCTAACTGTGAATCTGTGAATGCCTCTGGGTAAAGTTGTTCCCTCTGTTCCCATGACCATTCATTTATTATTCATGTCTAACACTAGTACCTTTTTGTCCAAGCCGTAGGCAATGGCTGCTGCCGTTGGTTCGTTGATGATACGCAGCACATTGAGCCCAGAAATAGCCCCAGCATCTTTGGTCGCCTGACGCTGGGAGTCATTGAAGTAAGCGGGGACCGTTACAACTGCATTGTGCACAGGCTGTATCAATAAACAAAACAATATTCATGACAACAAACAAAGACTTCTTCATATTGTGGGTGACAATCTGCTGACACGACTTGTTTCTTACCTTTCCAAGATAGGCCTCTGAGATCTCCTTCATCTTAGTGAGAACCATGGAGGAAATCTCTTCAGCAAAGAACGTCTTGACCTCACCCTTGTATTCCACCTCCACCTTGGGTTTGGTCGAGTCATTCACAACCTTAAAAGGCCAGTGCTTCATGTCTGCCTGCACCACGGCGTCGTCAAACTTACGCCCAATGAGCCGCTTGGCATCTGACAAAACAGAAATGAACAAACTGTTACTTTCATGGCTCAAAGTTTTGTGTCCTGTGTGGTGTCTGTCCAGGTCAGTTTGTTTCATCCTTTATTGAATTTAGATGTATTACCATGATGAAGTACCCTGCTAATTGGTCCTAAATGTAGGAATGTTCTTGTTTGCTTGTAATTAACAGCTTGTGTCCTCCAAACTGGGACATGCTGGAGACCTATCACCAAACCAACGCTGATATCATTTCAAACAAAGCCAAATCCGTCTCTGCCCCAATCCCCATTGAAGCACACCTGGGTGTTAAATCTCTCCATCCATGGGAGAATGGTATGGTTCTTATTCTCATTTTGTATTGTATAGTGTGTCTTGTGTTTGAATGTGTAAGAGGGGGTTAGAATAATTCTTGCTCTATCACAGAATGTTCGTTTGCGTTTGTGAATTTCGATGTTCCAAAACCAAATATATCTGCTTTGAAAATTTATCCAAAGGTTAAATAACTACAATCTTGAACATGTTTAGTTATTGGCAGTACATTTGAAAGGATTTTCCCGAGGAGGTTTGAAACTATACTAGCCTGGCTTTAGCCATCTGTACACTCGGCTTGTACGATGGTGTGGTACTACCAGGCTAAATCTACATTAATTGTATGGCATTAAAATAAGTCTGGATTTTCAAAAAAAACTAATTGGTGAAGCCTTTCAAATATTTTTGGATTCTTGTAATCTTTTTACCATATTATTCTGGCTCTAGACAGGAATACAGGAGATGTTTGCATTGTACTTTTGTTTAATGTTTAATGTTTTTATTATTATTATTTATTTATTTATATTTTGCTGCTTTTGGACACCTAAATTTCTTCGACGATCAAAAAAGTATCTATCTATCTATCTATTATCTTGGACCCTAGCAAGAAGTCTTCATAAGTGTAATACCTTATGAGGATCCAATGAATTTATAATAAAAAATACATCTTTACCAAACACAGTGTTGGTGGGGTTCATGGCCACTTGGTTCTTGGCAGCGTCTCCGATCAGTCTCTCGCTGTCGGTGAAGGCCACGTAGCTCGGGGTGGTCCGGTTGCCCTGGTCGTTGGCGATGATCTCCACTTTGCCATGCTGGAAGATGCCCACACAGGAGTATGTGGTGCCAAGATCAATGCCCACGGCTGGTCCTTTAGACATCTGGGGAACACACACACACACACACACACACACACATGACAGGGCGTGGTCAGTGCATGGAGCCTGTCGTAGGGACGCAGTGGGACGATGGAAGTGTGGATGTGTCCTTGGCACACTTTACACACGTTGCTTAAGAATCTGGAGGCTGCGTATATTGGTGGTGTTTATAAACTCTGATTGGCAGCCATGTTTCTGTCAGTCTACCCTAGGGCAGCTGTGGCAGTAGCTTACACTCACTGTGACACATGAAATTGTAAAGAAACCATGTGACTCTCTGCCTGTGAAAAGTGTCTTGCCGTTGCAGGAGGATAATTACAAAGGATGTTCTGGGATATTTATGGACATTGGTTGTTCATTATTTGCACCAATGACACATAGGTGCTGTACTGTTTTCTGATTGTTTTATTTTCTAATGTTTCTAATGTTCACAATTCAGTGACCTAGAAGACTGCTGTGGGGATTTTGGGCAACAAAAAAATGTATACATTGATAAATTGCAGTTTAAGAAGTAGAAAATCTGAAAACGTCTTAAAAAAGGAAGCACTGAAGAAATACATGGAAGAGAGAGAGTGATCCAGCGCCGAGCACATAGTGGGAGAGAGATACAGGGTCAGAGAGTGTTTGGGCCTGTGTCTTTTCTGCATGTGTGTGTGTTTGTGTGGTTTGGGTTGTGTTGAATGAGCGAGAGGGGTTTGAGACAAATAAACAGTTGCTTCGTCCAAACACCCAAACCACTTGTATTTTAACTATAAGTGTACTTTTTTGTGATGTAAAGTTAAGTATCTAGAAAGCTGCCTTAGAAACAAAATCTATTATCGTTTTGATTTATTTCAGTTTTTTTTGTATACGGTTTGCGTTTTCTTTCATGTGCGTCTGAAATAAAAACAAATTAACTAAATATGTACTATTAGACGCTAGTAGAGCTTTTATCTTTATATAACAAGATCTACATCTGAATACTTTGTGTTTAAGAGTACGCACCCTTTTTGAGTCCTAACGTCATGAAGAGCTAAATTCTAAATAGCGAGACTGCGGTTTGTCCTAGAGCGTTCTGATCTTATTTCAACAGCTCTGAGAGGCGCTCCAGCATCAGGATAGTGTAACATGATGTTCTGGTCTATTTTCCAACAGCTGCCTCCAAATAGCCTGAACGCCCTATTATTAGCTCTGCTGTGGCCGGGTAGCAATGAATGCAAGCTACAGCCGGGTTTCACTGTTTCTAGACAAGACATAGACTATACGTGGGATTAAAATACTTCTCGTGTCTCGCAAAGCCGTATATAACATCAATGCCATTGTAATAGATAGATACTGTATGTATATATAGCTGCAAGCTGTATGTATGTGTAAGAGTAGCTTGGTGAACATGATTTAGCAGCCCATAGCTTTCTGAGCTTTTCTGTATTCTCAAAACAGCACAAGCAACAACATCTTATTAGATTATCACTTGTGATCATGTTACGTAAGTCTGAACAGTGTTGCTTCACTTCTTTCCACAATCTGCCACATGCAAAACTGTTCCAGGAGTCCTGACAGTTGGTGACATTGAAGGCCGAGTCAAAAAGCAAAAGGCAGGCATACATTTACTGTTAAAAAAACTTTGGATACTTTAGGAAATGGATACAGTTAGTTGATTTATTTATCTAATATTTCATTCAGTTTTATATATATTTGACATAGTTTGATAACAATTTGCAGTATAGCAGATGGGGTGAGCCTTTCAACAGTACCACACTATACTAAGACACATGTACAGTGGGTGGGAGTTTATACGTTTGAGACATAGTTAAAGAATTTTTTATAAGATTCTTATTTTTATTATAATTCAAATTAAATATGTATGTGTGTTTTTGTGTCTCTGTATATGTGTGTATGAGCATGATGTCTTAGAATGTGATTATGTGTAATGGTTGACAAATAATGAGTTTTTTTCGCATTTCATCTGAAAGAATATAAATATTGTGTATGTGCTATGAGCTCATTATCCTTAAATAAGTACTTTTTATCTTACTATGTTATTTTCAAAGCAATAATTACCAATGGAACAATAAGCATAACATGTCAATTCACTTGGAATAAGAAGGAAAAATGTTCTATGCTTGAAATAATAGCAAAACTCAGCTCAGATTTTCACCAATTCCACCTTTTTTGGTAATTTCTTGCTGTGAAAAGGATTAAAACATTTGAAATAATCCATGTAACATTTGTATTGATATTTTTTTCTTACTGTCCATGTGATTACCATGCAAACTTATAAATTGGCTTTTCAGCGAGAAGCAACAAGGCGTAGAGTATTTGAAGCCAGGCTGTCTATAGACGTGCTTTTTACCTTGAGTTGTGAGATGGTCAGACTTTAGTGAGTGTAAGCACAGAGGGTCAGTGGCTCCACACCGGCTCTGCTCGCTCCCCTGGCGGATGGACTAAAGAGGCCGAGTCCTGGGCCCACGGGAGGATATATACACGGGTGTGGAAGGACTGGTGTCAAGTGACTGAAGGAAAGGTCCATGTGCTGCTGCTGCTGCTGGAGACTTTTTTTGGAATTAAATAACTCACAGTAAATATTTAAAATAGTTTTACAGCAGGCAAGTCTCAGTTTGTGGCAAAATGATGCTGGAAATAAAAAGAAAAACGCAAAAGAATCCAGTGATGTCATTACGTTTAAAGACATTTACTACGAAAGAAAGATGAGAGAATATCAATTCATAAAAGATAAATGTGTATTTGCTCCTTAACTATTGTGTATATGAGAGTGAGGTGTGTAACATGTCATTAGGACTATTATACTTTGTATGTGCCATTCGTCCCATAATCATTATGGGTGTGCTAAAAAAGATTTGTTTTAGGTAAATGTCATAATTTTGTAAAATATCAATTACCCATGTTTTTTTCAAAAGATTTTTTCTTTATTAAATGTTATGACTTTTATGGCAACTAATCTTCCATAAATCAATAGTGTTAAACGGGGCGTATAAGTCCCCTGTATCTAGTAGGTATTGTATCGTGATATTTGTAGCGTATCGTCAGGTTCTGAAGGACAACCAGCCCTAATAGTCATATCCAAGCTGAGCATAGACACCACAAAAGTTTTGACACCCCACTTTTAAACAAAAGTTCTGTTTAATTCAACCCAGATCCTCCCTTCTTAAAGATCTAAATTTCAAAACATCTAAGGAGATACTATGCAAAATCAACTTTTTTGAGCATTTAACCATGTTTTTAGATCCATCCATGCTAACATCAGGAACATCTGGCCCAAACATGTAACTCCGCCCCTTCTGTCTTAGTCATGTAAAAGTATGATGTCATTGTACCTCTATGACATCACACTCAAAGCAGTTTTGTGCCTTGGCACTTGCATAATTTTCACCACTCTTCCCTCTGGTGGTAGCACAGGGGTTTTTTGCCCTTTGTACAGGATGTGTTTCACCTTTTTCTTTCCACCCAAGATACTTCAAATTCTAAAATATAAAATGTAACTATTATCAATAGAATGTCAATGGTCCAGTATCTTCATCAATTTAAAACACCTAAATTAATGTAAGTTATTTACTATTTTTTCTTACTGTTTAACTGTTTTAAATTAAGACGCCTTAAGTTTAGGTCAGTGGTTCTCAAACTTTTTACACCACCTCAGAAAAAAGTACCACCACAAATGACCAACACTACACAGTAGCGTAGTAAGCCTAAGGGTTAGGGTTAGTATTAATCCTAACCTAAGTTAGGATTAATACTAAGTATTCATCAAAAACCAGGCAGAGGTTTCATTCCAAAGAAATATATTTACTATTGTCAGCCATTGTACCATTTTACACAGTTTCAACAGTAAGACTTAAATATAGGAAGAAAAAAAAAAACTGTACTTAAATAATTATTCAATTAAAATGTTCAATTCATTATGAACTACCAAGCCTTGACTCACTGTGAATGATATTCTGGAGTGGGATCTTTGTCCACAGAAGGTTTGGACACTGGTGCACTTTTGTTTCTAAGGCTTGGTCTGCTGCCCTCTACATCTGCCATTTACTCACAAAGACATGTTCATATGGTTTGGATCAAATGATCTTTTGTTCTCTGTTCCTTTTGCACAGAACTGGGAAAAAAAGCTTTGTACATGCTGCTCCTTCTACATGGAACGTGTTGCAAAAAGACTGGAAAGTATCTGCACTTATTTCATTGAATGCTTCTAGATCCAGATTGAGAGACTGAGACATCCTCATTGAATTGTAACTGTTTTTATAATCCGTAATTTTATGAAATTGTATGTAACTGTTTTAAAATCTGTAATTATATGTACAGTAATTTTGTCCAGGACTCCCTTGAAAAACAGGTTCTTAATCTCAATGGGACTTTTCTGGTAAAAAAATGTTTTTTAATTTCTTTTAGTGATTCATTAGCGTACCACTAGACAGAGCTCTGCGTACGACTAGTGGTACACGTACCACACTTTGAGAACCACTGGTATAGGTCAAAGAGAAATACAGGGTCATCATTTTCAAATTATAAGCCATCAAGACATCTGCTGTGGGAATGCTTTCTTTATTGCACACCATTTGGACGTGATTTGAAACAATCTATAACCACATGACAATGATTTGGGACCAGTATAAATTTAGAAACATTTTCACTGCAAAAAAATAAATAAAAATCCAAACATACTGTACATAATGCAGTCTTACAGCAGCATATAGTGTGTCCCTGATTTTACAAAGTGCAATGAGTCATTTCAATACAAATAAGTGGCGTAGAATGTAAAGGAGGTCTCCGCGGTCCGTGGCCTGCTGTCCGCGCCTCAGGTCCCAGGAGTGACGCTTGCAGTAGTCGAAAAACAGCAGCTCAGCTTTCTTCAGAACGCTGTTTAAGTGCAGAGTTCCCTGGAGGCTGCGGGAGATAAGAACCAGTGACAAAATGCACAGCTCACTCTGCAAATATATGAGCCTACAAACAACTCAAACAAGCCTGAAAAAGGTTTGGAATATGTAAATGACAAGAGAAAACAACTATAGCATGACCAAAAGCTGAGAAAAACCCATGTTTAATCTGTTACTTGGTTTAAATTGAGGGTTAGTTTTGGCGCAGCGGATAGAGCTTGTGTTTTACAAGTTTTGGGTTTGATTCCACCTCCAGGCCTTTCTGAGTGGAGTCTGCGTGTTCTTCCAGTGTCTGCGTAGATTCCTCCAGGTGCTCTCGGTTTTCCCTACCACTAAAAATCAGATCATGAGCAGTGTTGGGCACGTTACTTTGAAAAAGTAATTCTTTATAGTTACTGGTTACTTCTCCCATAAAGTAACTAGTGTAACTTAGTTACTTTTTCCAAAAAGTAACTGAGTTACTAACTGAGTTATTCAACTATAAAAGTAACTAGTTACCAGTAAAAGTAACTCTCCATCTCTCTTTGTGTGCCGTAAGCACTAAACACCAGCCACTATGAATGCAGAAACACCCACCTACCCAATTTCTCTGATTGGCTGAAGACGTAATCTTACTAAACATCAGTCACTCGTTACTGAAGAAAGTAACGGCGTTAGTAGCACCGTTCATTTCAGCACCGTTATTCCCGTCACTGATCATGAGTACCTATTAGCCCTGCACTTGAGCCCCAGGCCCGAAGGCCCGAGGGCCCCGACAGCCCGAGGGCCGGGCTTCGGGCCGATGACCGTATAATGACCTCGGACACCGGCCGGGCTCGGGCTCGCGCACTTTCAGAGCGGCAGAATACATTTACGAACGCACCCACTGAATATAGCGTTCTATCACGCTGTGGTGTTTGTTGTTCTGTGTAGTGTTGTCATTGACGACACATAGCGTTACTTGCAAGTGTGTTGCGGCATCTGTGTATCATACAGCTGTGTATCATACAGCTGTGTATCATACAGCTGTGTATCATACAGCTGCGGCCGTTCACTCCGCACACACAGATCTCACTGCAACACATCACTACCATGTATAACTCCGCCCTCTAGCCGGGCCTGTGTTCATATCAGTGCGCGGCACTATATACTATACGCTAAAAGATTGTTATGGGAGGTTAAAAAAATAAAAAAAATAAAGTCGGGCTTGATTTGGGTTTCGGGCCTGAAAATTCAGAAACCATATCGGGCCGGGCCGGGCTGGGGCGCCACCCCCTCGGGCCAGGGCTGGGCTCGGGCCCAGATAATAGGCCCGTGCAGGGCTCTAGTACCTATATCCAGATTATTCTAGTCTCACAATATTATCTTATTATTATTCTTATTTTCAGATTGTTACTTACATTTTATTTTTATTTTAGGAAATACTACACAAGCTACTGTGAGACCGCAATTTCCCTTGTGGATCAATAAAGTCTGTCTAAGTCTGTCTAGGTCTAAAACATGTACTGTACAATAGGTCTGAATGTAATGAGTGAGTGAATGGATGGTGTTGGTTGGGGCTTTGATGCACCAGTGTGTTCGGCATCTCACTTCTGTAATCACTGTGTGGAGAGAATGGAACAATATCTGAACCTTGAACAAGTAACGTTTGGGTGACCTTGGTCTGTAAAATGCGCTATATAAATAAAAAATTACCTCCTTCCTTACTTACTTAGTTCTGTTAATTTATAAATGGACATTTCTTGCTTATTTGCATTTTTGCCCCGATACATGCTCATTACTTTTTTTTTTCTTAAAGCATTTTTTGTGTATCTCGATAAGACGATGGAGAAGGAATCGTACCTGTTTGCAAACTGTATGATCTGCACGTCGTCTCGAGAGCCCAACAGGAAACCTCTATTTTCCAACAAGATGGCGGCGCAGATGAAGAGCTCAAACGTGAATTCTGGGTTTACGCTTTCCACCGGACTCTCACAGCTGCTCTCTGAATAATGGAACAAAGCAAGTTAGATAAATGAGTTATTCCAGACTATAAGAGGATAAACCTTTTACCTTTTACAAATCCCAAAAACTGCAATTATAATCATTAAGTCCTTTGTGGACCAAAAAAAAGCCTAAATTATTTTCTTGTATGTATCTTAAAGCTGGTGTCCCTAACTATGAAAAGACAAATTTCACAATGTATTACAAAACAAGTTTGTAGTTCTCAAATTTTGTATTTCTGGCCTTTGTCACGTCCTGAGATCGGCTTTTCAGACTGAAGGTGAAAAAAAGGACCACCCTCACTCAGCCAATCAGCTCTAATAGTGTCTAATAGTGACTCACAGGGCTCTCTCAAACTATAACATATATACTAATAAGAAGAAGACTGCAGTTTGTGGTCTGATGTGTCCACAAAATATTACAGGACTCTTTATGTTGGGACAAACAAAAGTATACTATCAAACTTTTGCAGTGTTGCAGCAGCAAAAACAAATAATTAATTTATTTATATATTGAAAATAAAATTTCAATTATTATGTTTTTAAGATAGATTGGGATTCGATATTTTACCAGATTTATGCACTTGTGAACTCCATATGGTGTGTGTCACCTGATGGCCTCTTCTGCCTCAGTCTCTCTTGGTGGCGGACACGCTCCACTTGTTGAGAAACCAGCTCCAGATGATCACAGCTCAGGATCTCGAACAAACGCAGGGCCTCGCTGTGTTCAAACTCCCTCTGGAAGCCCAGCAGCAGCCACCTTCACAGCCACACAATCATCTCAGTCTCATTGTTCCCACTGACAACAACAAACTTCTCTCATTAATATTAAAGTTGTGAAGAGACTGAAAATATTGAAGTAATCGAAAATGAATGTGTACATTATGTATTACATAAACTAATAAACATTGATTAATAATAGGAAATTAAATAGTATTCAATTTATGTAGAACAAGCGCCTCTTTTGTAAATTGAACTTAATTAATGGATTGTCCCAAAGGGACAATAAATAAACAAATACAAACCCCAGGTGCCACACTGAGGCGGCTGCGGCTGCAAAGTACCACACTGCTCAGCATGAGTCTGGTATGTGTTCATGAATAATTGGGATGGCTAACTATACTGGTCAGAATAATGTGGCGCTATGACCAATATAGATTAGTTTAAAACCCAACCTTGTAGATATAGATCAGTCGGACACCTAATTACAAACTAGATTAGTTAAAACAACCAAAAAACAAAAGTCTAGAAACCCTGCACTCTTAAAACAGACATTTTAAACTTTATGAATAAAACAAACATTTAAAAATAGGGAAAACTGGGCAAGTCCAATCTGAAATATATCCATGTTAACTATGTTTCAGTGACTAGTCTGTGATCATATGGGCTGGAAGGACCTGTGGCAGAAGGTGAAGCTCTCCATGTTGTCAGTGATGAGGTGGTCGTAGAGATGTGGGTCCAGCTCCTTGAGCAGCGCAGCCTCCAATTCTAACACAAACAACAAACACAAGTGATAAAGGTTTCTGCTTTAGTCTTTACAGAATAGTTCAAATATACAGTATATCTGAGCGATACGGTGGGACTGAACACAAGTGCGTAAGGAATCTAGGATCACAAAAATGCGCAATAAGTTATAGTGCATTTCAAGGTCACACAAAGAACTTTACAATTTCGAGTAATTATTGGTTTTTGATTAATATTTATTTAGATTTGAGCCATGAGTGTGAGAGTTCTCACCATTATAGACCAGGCAGTTATGTCTTCTTTAAAGTTGTGTGAGTGTGTGATAAACATAATAATGCATCAGTTTTATAGAGTGCTTCTCCGGACACTCAAATGGCAATATTCATTCACACGGTGGAGATGAACAACTACTGCAGCACTCATCAGATTTATACTGACCATGTGGGTCAGCATAAATCCACATGGTCAGTTGTGGATGACAGTGACAGTTTGGCGCTCTACAGCTGCAGCCGCCTCACTGTGGCACCTGGTGTTCCCTGAGGAATTGCTTAGCTTCGGAAGGATTATGTTGTCTTCCAGGGTATGTAAACTTATGAGAAAAGCTTTATCTTGGGACTGTACAGTTTCACTGTAAGTGTTTAACCACTAGAGGTCACAAATAAATGCATAAATGTCATAAATAAATACTTCAAACTTAAAGCCTGGCCCTAAAATAGCTTGGTTCTATCATTAGTTTCACGTGTATTTTTGGCCTCTGTCAAATCTTTTCTGACAGAAAAGTGAAAAAGAGAGCTCTCAGCCCAACACGTCAAATAGTGACTCTCAGAGATTCTTACAAAATATATTTTTCAAACTACCTGTAGATGAAGACCCTGCTCCCATCTCTGTGTGGAGCGAGAGGACAAATGCCCAAAATAACAATTGTAAACCGCTTTGTGACTCTGGTCTGTGAAAGGCGGTATATAAATAAAGCTTACTTACTTACATGTTCAGGTCTGACCTTGTTCACAACATTTTACTGACTTTCTGTCTGACTTCTGTTTGACTTTCTGAACAAACAACAGGTATTATATAAGTAGGATATCCCAGCTTTAATGTATTGTATTTTTTACCTATTTTCCTGTGAAGGCCGTCTGCTCTGAAGTCCTTAGAAAACTTGTCCATGTAACATGAGAAACTCCAGAAAGTGTCCACCTCTGAGTCCAGCACCTCCAGGAAGCGGCTGCACAGGTCGTTCATCCCCTGAGCATAGGTGACCTCTGTCGGACACAAGTAAGTAATATTCATTTATATTTATTATATTGCGCACATGCATTTTTATGATGTTATTAAGAATATTTCACTGAATGTTTACAACAGAAGTTATAGACAACTGTGAAGTGAAAACAGCTGTGATCATTGTTGCTTTAGTCTTAGTAAATTTACAGTTGTGCCATACTCTTTCCATTTCAGTGGTAAACAGTGTTCTGTGAGATGTTTAAAGCTTTTGAAATATTCACACAACTTTATCTCTCTGACCTCTCTTGTGTGCTCCTTGGCCTCCATGATGCTGTTTAGTGACCAAAACATTCTGACCATGGTTCTGAGGCCCTCAGAGAACATCTGCTTTTATACAAAGAATGATTACACACATGTGGCCTCTATTTCATCAACAGGGAACGGTGTGAACATTCAGCAGTCGTTGCACTCAATCTTATATGAATACACTGAATAATAACCCCACTTTTCTGTATCCTTTTGTTTTCACTTGACTGTTGTGTGTAAAAAATGTTCATTTTATGGTTGTAATATGTGCTAAATTTCAGTGTGTATTAGTACTTTTGAGATGTACTGTATCTTTTATATTTGATGTTTACCTGGATGAAACGCAGCGTAAGTGATGAGGATGTCTCTTAAGACCAGGAGGTTTCCTGAGCCCTCACCTCTGCACAGAACAAATAGCGTCAGTGCTAAAGCATCGTCCGCCTCCTCTAACGCCTCCTGAGGCCTTCACACAAAAAAACCATACTTTCTGTTTTCCGATCATTTCTATACAAGTGAAACTCAAAACAAAGAATATCATTCAAAAGTTAATTTATTTCTGTTCTTAATTCATAATGTATTATATGGACTCATCAGGTGCAAAGTAACATATGCCATGGTGATGATGATATAGGATTTTGGCTTACTCCATTGAATAATGTGTATACATTTTGAAAGTGATTGAGATGCTTCATTTGGGTTTTTTCAAGCTGAGACGTGCAGCGGTTGGCCCTTGTGTTCCACTACAAAAAGGTTTTGGGTTCCATTCCACCTTCAGACGAGGCCTTTATGAGTAGAGTTTGCATGTTCTCCCTGTGTCTGCGTCGGTATCCCCCATCACTAAAAACATCTGATGTCATTTTTTTGGTGTGGAAAAATCGGGAAACCAACAGTTGTAAATGACATGAAGACTTGATTCTTTCTGAGTTTCACCTGTATATTAATATCATAACCATGCATTGTAAAATGGGCCACTTTAAGAGCCATAACTGTTTTCCCATTGCACAATTGTGATATTTCCTTAACGTGCCCGATTCCACCTGCAAGTGGATCACTGACTTCCTGACGGACAGGAAGCAGCGAGTGCGTCTGGAGAAGAATGTCTTGGACTCTCGGATTATAAATACAGGAGCCCCACAGGGCTGTGTTCTTTCTCCCCTGCTCTTCTCCCTGTACACCAACCACTGCACCTCCAGCCACGACTCCGTGAAGCTGATCAAGTTCGCGGGCGACACCACCCTCATTGGACTCATCTCCAACAACGATGAGTCCTCCTACAGGAGGGAGGTGGACCGGCTGGTGTCCTGGTGCAGTGGTAACAACCTGGAGCTGAACGCCCAGTAGACAGTGGAGACGATTGTGGACTTCAGGAAGAGCACTGTCCCCCCGCCCCCACCCTCCGTGATGGACTCCCCCATCACCTCTGTGGAGTCCTTCCGTTTCCTGGGCACCACCATCACCCAGGACCTCAAGTGGGAGCCGACCATCAGCTCCCTCATCAAGAAGGCCCAGCAGAGGATGTACTTCCTGCGGCAGCTCAGGAAAGCCAAGCTGCCTGCACAGATGTTAGTGCAGTTCTACACGGCCATCATCGAGTCCATCCTCACCTCCTCCATCACCGTGTGGTTCGCTGGAGCCACAGTCGGGAACAAACAGAGACTACAGCGCATTGTGCGCTCTGCAGAGGAAGTGATTGGCCGCAGCCTTCCATCGCTGCAGGACCTATACGTCGCCCGAGCTCGAGGCCGGGCTGGTCGTATCACAGCCGACCCCTCTCACCCTGCACATGGACTATTCCAACCACTCCCCTCAGGCAGGAGGCTGCGGTCCATCAGGACTAGAACATCCCGCCACAAGAATAGTTTCTTCCCCTCTGCTGTTGGACTCTTGAACACTTCTTAACCTGTCCCCCCGCCCTTTATAAAGTCACTTTACTGCCCATCATACGTCACTTTACTTCACTGTACTGCTGTCACCTTACATTGTGTGCACCATGTGCACTTGTATATTGTAAATAGTAACTGTAACTCTATTTTAAATTTAAATTTATTCCTTATAAGTGTTTTTTATTCTTTATTTCTATTATCTCGTTCTGACTGTTGCACTGAGCCAAAGCAATTTCCAAGTCTGTGACTTCCTGTTACTTACGTGACAATAAAAATGATTCTCATTCTGATTCTGATTCTGATAAACAAATACATTTTCGGAAAAAGTGTTAACATCCCAACAGAAGCCATAGGCAATAAAAAAATCTCTAAACAGTAAAATGTGAAGCAATTCAGCAGCCATACAATTGGCCAAGAGAAACTCGTCTGTGTTTGGACATCCCTGTGTGAAAGCAGCTGTACATACAGTACATTTCTGGATTTTAAAAGAAGAAAAAGGTTTAAACCACTATTCTTAATTAGATAAAAATGGTATATGGTAATGCCATATTGTGGAAGACTACACCCAAATGTGTAATGTATGTAATGAATGTAAATTCATTGCAAGATGCAATAAAAATAAAGTGTATTATTATTATCATTAAAATTTCCATTTACAACAAGCAGGTCCTCATCCAAAGGACAAGAGCGAGATAGGTTTATAGCTCACAGTCACAGGAAATGCGTTTTGTATTGTCTTTTGCAAACATTAACTTTTTGTTGAGATTTGTATATTCTTTCAATAAGTGAATATCACAAGACTCTTTTTTAATCTCAACAATTTTGGATGAGATGTGTTTTTGAGTTTACCACTTCCCCAGTATTTGGCACCTCCCACAGATCACATGCAAAGGGTAAGTCACTTTACTATTTATAGAACTTTAAAAAGCTCGATTCAGCAAAAAGTCAAACAAAGTCATCCAGAGGGGAATGTGCTCTACAGATATAAAAACCATGCAACATTTCAACTGTGTTTTAGTGAAAGTAGTAGTCTAACCTGTGGAAATCCCCATGCCTCTGTGTGCTCTTGAATCATTTGGAACTGCACAACAGCCTGGAAACTCCGGCCAAAAAGCTTGCATGTATTTGGGAGCAATCACAGAACAGGGATAGACAGCAAGACGATGACGCTTGTAGTTTATCCCGGTTCAGTTATACTTTATTGATCCTCAAATTAAAATGTTTCCTCTGCATTTGACTAATCCCGACAGTTACAGGTGCCTCAAACAGTCACCTCCTTTCAGAAGCTAGGAATCGAAGCGAGAGTGACAGCATTCTCCCTCATGTGTCACTTGCACGGCAGTCTTTTGTCACCTGTTGGGATGAGTTTTCTTTTGGCCTGCTATCACTGCCATCCTCCAAGAACAAAGAGGTCCTGACTGGCCAATCGAGTGTGACCTCAGGGTGACATGACAGCCGGTATATGTGGGGTTGGTTGCCGCTGACTATTTGGTCACGCTGTCTATTTGGTCACGATGTCTATAGACTAGTAAAAATAGCGACAGCAGCTCAGTTGGTAGAGCATTGGCCTTTGAGCCTGAAGGTCGTGGGTTCGAGCCCACCGTAAGACCTACTTCACGACTCCCACTGATGACTGCTGCCGTTGTGTCCTTGGGCAAGACACTTAACCCCACTTTGCCTGAAGCTCCCACTGAAAGATCTCAGCTCCTGTGGACTCACCACCTGCAGGAGGATCAGTGAGGGGCTGGTGCTAAGTGTACTGGGTGCAGCTCTGACTGCCACCCCCCCCGACCCAGAAATGGATTAAGGGGAAGAAAATGGATGGATGGATGGATGGATGGATGTCTATAGACCCTCTGACTCGAATCAACAGGAAGGCCTGCTGCTGAGAACCAGAGTCTCGGGGTGTATGGTTTGTTTTCTGTTATGCCAGTATGTATCTTGTAAATGTTCTCTTTTATTTTTACTTGTTTTGAGCCTATTCTGGGTGACAATAGCTCAGTTGGGAGAGCATTGGCCTTTGGGGCCTGGAAGTCATGGCTTGGAGCCCACCATGGGACCTACTCCAACTGCTCCCACAAATGTCTACTGTCGTTGTGTCCTTGGGCAAGACACTTAACCCCACGTTGCCTGAAGCCCCCGCTGAAAGACCAAGGCTGTTTCACCGCTGACGGAGCAGCCATCTTCCTGTGGACTCACCACCTGCAGAGGATCAGTGGTGAGTTTGCATGTTCTCCCTGTGTCTGAGTAGGTTTCCTCTGGGTGCTCCAATTTCCCCAACCACTAAAAATAGGTACAATAGGTATGAATGTAAATGAGAGAGTGAATGGATGGTGTTGATTTGGGGCTTTGATGCTGCAGTGGGTTCGGCGACTCGCTTCCATCGTCACTGTGTGTGGAGAGAATTAAACAAACTCTGAACTCTGAACATTGTAAAGCGCTTTGGATGACCTTGTTCTGTAAAATGCACTAAATAAACATTTCTTACTTACATATCATGTCACTAGTAGTAAGTACCCTATTTTTCGCACTTATAGACAAACCTGATAATGTGGCACACAAATCAAGGCTGGTTTTTCTGTAAACAAAGACCTGATATAGAATTAATGTCAATCTCCCTAAATAAGTTAGTTGTCAAACATTATAAATCAACTTAATTATTTAACTTTCTCTCTTATTTTATAAACTCTCTCACTTAACTAATTCGCAATATTTTTCAGTTGCATAATGTATCAGCAAACAAAAGTTTGTTATGAAAATGAAAGAACAAAGCCAGAAATTGATCCATATGGCGCAACCACAATATGAGGTGCACTGTAAAAATGAAAGACTTTTATGTGCGCCTAATATCACAAAAATACGGTGTGTTCAGCATGAAGTGAAGTGAAAGCTTATCTCACTTGTAATAGTCCAAGTGTCTGTTTGTTCGTGGGACATCTTTGTCTATAATCCTTATGGCTTCCAGGAGCTCTTCCCGATCCAGTGTAACCCGTTCAAACAATATCTGCTCAACAAACAAAGGCAAAAGTCAACAGTAGGAAACATGCACACACCCACACACACACACAAACACACCCACACACACACAAACACACCCACACACACACACACACACACATACAAACACACACACACACACACACCCACACCTACACACACAAAATCTACTGATAACTCCAATTGCACAGAATTAGTCGTTAACTAAAATCAAGTGTGCAGTTCTTAATCAGATTTTAAAATAATTGTGTGTTGTATATATTGAGGTTCCATTATATCTGTATTTTAAATGCTACTGCTAACAAGGCCGCTGTATTTATTAATTTTGAAACTTGATCTTTACTTAATACTTCTTATCCTGCCCCATATGTACAGTATATAACTCTGCACTACTACATATCTATATATATATTTCATTTTATCTTGAAAGGCTGGTATCGAAGCATTTACAGCATTTACAGATAGTTAAGAAACATAGCTACTACTTATTTTGTATATTTTGTGTGCTCCCTGTGTGCTCTTACGACTGTCCTGTCTGTGCGCTGCAACATCGACATTTCCCCACTGTGGGACGAATAAAGCATTTCTTTTCTTATCTTATCTTATTTTATTTCTCATATGATAAGATACGATCAAATTAATTGATCTCACATAAAACATAAACTGTCACAAGTTTCCACATCTTCTTTGTCAGAACATATTAATATGCATGATGTTGGCATATTATGTTAGTAAACAGTAAACAGGACTTTAAGACTTGTGAATTTGTTAATCTAATCACTACAAAATAATAATCTGAGAAAACATTTGACTTTTCTATAGATAGTGAAATTGAATTCTCGAACACAAACTATTGCCCCTTCCCTCAGGTCCTCTTACCTGCGCCTGGAGCTGTAAAAAGGCCAGTCTCTCTCGGACCTCTGGGCTGGTCTCCTGCGACTGCTGCTTGACCTGGATCTGTCTCTTGTTGAAGTATTGGATGGCTGCCACTAACTCGGCTGTAGTCGGACAGAGAACCCATCATCACCACCGCTTCTGTCTCCGGTCTCATGTGGGGTACTCACCATCTGTGCCGTTGGCGTGCATGTCTACAGTGGAAGGGAGTAACTGTTGCCACTTTTCCTTCAGGACCTGATACCGGACCACCATCTGCTCCAGCAGCAGGGGGCGCTCCAGAGCCGTGGAACTACAGGGAAACATGCCAAAGAGGAAACGCCACACCAGGCTTCTCTCGTGAGGCTGGACCCCCGCTGGATCAGACACAAGAATAAACATACGACAATGTCTGTTAGAGTGCGTTCACATTTGCTCCCATTGACGATGTGAAAGTAACAAAGACAGAGAGGTGAGATATCGCGTGTCTTTCGGTCAGGGCCGAATACAAAAAATATAGTGCTGGTCGGAGGGCACAACTTTTTTCATGGCTAAATATAGAGATTCAGATTCAGATTCAGATTCAGATTCATTTATTTCGCCATTTGCAGTATGTATACACCACATTGGAATACATTTGTAAAAGTTCCCCGTGTGCACAGGACAAGTACAGACACAAAACAACATTAAAAGACAAAAATAAAACAAATTTTAAAAACAGTAAACAAATGTCACAACAAATGTCACCGTGAAGTTGACCAACTTAAAACAGATCTATACGAGTGCAAAACATTAAAGTGCTCTATTCAAACTGTTAACAGCTCGTGGAAAAAAACTGTTAGCATGACGAGATGTCCTGCATCTCAGAGAACAGTATCTTCTGCCAGAGGGAAGAAGCTGGAACAAGGCTTTTCCTGGGTGGCCAGAAGAGTCTCTGATAATTCTCAGGGCACTGTTAAAAAGTCTGGATTGATAAAGAACCTCCAGAACAGGAAGCTCGCAGCCCACGGTCCTCTTAGCAGAGTGGAGCACCTTGTTTAGAGCTCTCTTTTCTTTAACTGTGATGTTACCGAACCACACAGACACAGAACCAACAAGCAAACTCTCAATGGTGCAGCGATAAAAGTTCAGCAGAATCTTAGAGTTAGTGGTAAATTCTCTAAGTTTCCGCAGGAAGTAGAGACGCTGACGAGCTTTCTTTACGACTCGGTCAGTGTTTTTAACCCATTTCAGGTCATCAGACAGAGTTAGACCCAGAAACTTACACTCCTCTACAATCTGCACTTGGGAGTTATCGATTGCGACAGGCAAATGAGAACTATTGCGACTGAAATCAAAGACCAGTTTGCATGTTTTGGATGCGTTCAGCTGGAGGTTGTTAGCCTTACTCCACTGAACCACGTTTTGGATCTCGGCTCTATAAGAGGATTCATCGTTATTACTGATGAGACCGATGATGGTGGTGTCATCAGCATATTTGATGATCAGGTTAGAGTCTGAGGAAGACACACAATCATGAGTGTACAGTGTAAAAAGTAAAGGACTCAAAATACATCCCTGAGGAGATCCAGTGCTCACAGAAACAACATCTGAAAAACAGTCATTGATTTTCACTCTCTGAGATCTGTCAGTTAAAAAGCTATAGATCCATTTACACATGGCAACACTTAAACCCAGAGACATGAGCTTTTCAATCAGTTTACCTGGGACAAGACAATTAAAAGCAGAGCTATAATCAATGAACAGCATTCTTGCAACAGATTTCCTATTGTCCAAGTGACTGTAGACAGAGTTCAGAGCAAAGGAGATGGCATCCTCCACACTCCTGTTCTGTCTGTAAGCAAACTGGAGCGGGTCAACGCTCACAGGGATCTGGCTCTTAATGAAGTCCAGCACAAGCCGCTCAAAAGTCTTCATAAGAACAGAAGTGAGGGCCACAGGACGATAGTCATTAAGGCATGTCACAGGAGTTTTCTTAGGAACTGGGATAATGGTCGACTCTTTAAAGCAGTTCAGCACAGTACAGTTCCTTAGCGACAGGTTAAAGATGTCTGTTAGCACAGGGGCAAGTTGCTCAGAGCACAGTTTCAGAACATGAGGAGGGATGCCGTCCGGGCCAGGGGCTTTCCGGACAATGGTGCTGGACAAGACCCGCTGGACTGCCTCCTGAGTCACGGTGAACGCACCTTGATTGAGGCAATCAGGAAAGACAGTAGGACAGGCATCGGCAGATTCTATATGTTGTGGAAAGCATCTGTGTACATGGTATCTGTGGTTTGCACGATGTATTCTTTTTTTTTTTTTACCAAACACTTACTTTTATTTGGACATTCTTTTCCGGTAAATTCTTCTGACAGTACAGTTATGTTTGGAATGAGCCAAAACTGGACCCAAGGTATAGAAGGCTTGTAATTGCTGATTTGCTGACTGATGTGTCAAATAAGAGTGTGACGATATATCGATATAACAATATATCGTGATACTTTCTCCCGCGATCGATTATCGATATGCATTTGCCAAGTATCGATTTAAAAAAATAAAATAGTATCAATACTTAATATATGACTACATTACACAACTCCATTCCATTTATCATGAAATAATTTTTTCACTTAACATTTTTCTTTTATGTATGCCATAAATTGGCAAATGGTATATTTCTGACCAATATATCGATAATCGTCATATCGTGATATAATCGTTATCGTGAGCTTTGCATCGCGTATCGTATCATGAGGTTCCCACCCCTAGTGTCAAATACCATATCACACAAAAGTATTGTCCGTAATTTAGCTTTAGCAATTTCTCCAGTGAAAATACATTCTTTGCATTTTTTTCTGTAACAAACTCAACGATTAGACTCCCAGGTGGCAGCTCAGGGAGTTGCAGGCCGCGATAGCATGGTTCCCCTTGATACTTGTTTCACCCATAGACTGTAAATATTTCTAATTCTGATATTGTTTCACATTTGAATACATGAAATGACAAAGTAAATTAGTGTCATAAAATGTTCTAAATTGTATATCTTTATTATCTCAACTCCCTGTGGATGTTAATTGATTTTCCAATGTTTCATTGAAAACTATTTTTTTTATTAGGACAGGTGGCTTTTTGAGCAGTGATCTGAAGTTCTACAGAGGCGTTATTGAGCCAACTAACTCTATTAATGATATATTCCTAATAGATTCATAACTAATACATCTATTTTATTTTACCGTTTATTTGACTGTATTCATGATGTTAGCAGACTATATGTTTTAACGTGTTACTTTCGTCTTGTGTGCAGCCGTTTGGAAACTTGTTTTAGAAAAAGGACTATATACATAAAGTGGGTTGTTTTTTGTTGTTGTTAGAGTTTCTCTTTGTCGATGCAGGAGGGTCTGAGGACAAAGGTGATGATCCAGGACAAAGGGCATTCAACAATTTGGACATTGGTCATCTCCCCCTTATGGACCAATAACTTTTATCAGCGCATTTCTAGTGTTTGAACTGCTCGCTTCTCTGATTTTTTGGCCGAATTTAACATTTTTTGTAAAGTCGTCCCAGATAACTACTACTGTGAATTAGGGCTATACAAGAATAAAAAAAATTGAATGAATTGAACTATTGATTGTTCCCTGTACACAGCCTGATATTTTATTTTCTTCCATGGCAAAATTAAATCTCCATATGTTTCAAAGCCTTTTCAAAGACATTTAAACCTATAGTGTGCCAAATAAGTAAACTAGTGAATGCTTATCTGGACTATTGGGCAGCATGTTTTTAGCCTCAGGGTTTTTTGAACCTCGTGATATTGTTACTGCCGGAGAAAACTTGCAAATGTATAAATGGTGTGTGTGTTTTGGGTCAAATAAATGATGTGACTAGTGAATAGTGTCATTGTAGCTCAACATCACCTGATTTGCTGCTGTCTCACGATTTTGATGCACAGAGACAATTATTAATTATTAGTAATTCTCATATGTTTTGTTTTTAGGCACGGCCCATGTATACAGTGCCAATGTGGGGCTATAAATTACTTTACTTTGGAACTAAATATGCGTGTGCTTAGTCCAACCCCTTGTTCAAACGGTGTATTTTATTGCTGTTTATTTTTGTATTCATTTTTATGGTTTTTATCTTTTGAAAATGATACATGATTAACAGACACTATGTTACACTGTTAAAATCAAAATAATTCATAATGACAACATTTTTAACTAAACTGAACTGAAGAAGGATGGCTAACCATGAACTTACCTAGAAGCATGGCTAACCACATTTCATTAATGCATTTAGATTGGGAAATTTTCCCCTTATCAAATTAAGAGATCCTTTATTTGTACCACTAGCTGGAATGAGAGCACACACACACAAAATAATGTAACTGAATATTAAGTATAGCACAATCCTATACTTGAAAAAATAAAAATAAAAACTAATTTTGAGTCGTCAGCTGCAATAGAATTAACCCATTTTCAAAATGTGAGCATCAGAAAGTACTTATAATTAGGTTTATTCTTAAAGTAAGGAGTAATCGTACAAAGTTAGTAGAAAACATAGCCAAGTGAATACAAATACAACATTTTCAGCATTCAAATAGAAGTCGGACAGTAATGTATACAGTATGTAAATAAAGAATAGACCAAACAAATCACCTCCTGAACTACACCGGGCTCTGACCTCATGATATTTACCGTGTTTGAAAACGTGCATCCTCAGGCGGGACTCGTCCACTCTGCCCTCCGCGTCCATCACTCCAGGGACAGAGATCCGAGCCGTGGACAAAGGCGCGCAGTAGAGCGACGCGACCGCGCTGCGCACCGCCGCGTCTGCCGCTCCTACCGCTCCTGTCGCCTCTGCCGCTCCTGCCGCCTCTGCCGCTCCTGCACCTGCTTGTGGACGGTCCATGTGCGCGCGGACTGGAGCCAAACACCGTTCTAACCTACACATCTTCCTTCTCTATCCCAGCACGCGCATTTCTACGGCATGAGAGACCCCCGGGCTGGACTCTCTGTTGGGGCTTTGTGTGTTTGATTTCAGCCCAGGACTTTGGCTCTTTCCCCGAGAAGCAGTGAAGTCATATGACCGCACCTCAGGCTCCTGAAGTTAAAACTCCACATTCCAGGTGCTGCTCCGAGGCACACACCCCCTCTAGTGGACACATGCAGGTATTACAATTATTTGCAAGACATTTATTCATTTACATACTTGATTAGAATAGTAAATCATGTTTTTTTTATATATATATATATATATATAGAATCAAAGATGTTCTAATTACATGATCTTGTTGATTAGTGTTTCCAGGAAAGGTTCAAACCCAGGGAGAGTCCATACGACCTCAGCTGCCTTTCTGAAAGCAAATGTAAGACCAGGACCTCTGCACATGGACTCCCCTCAGGAGGCTGCAGCCCATCTAGACCAGGACCTAGCGAAAAAAACAGTTTATTTTCCTCTACAGTCATATTGCTTCATAGCAATTAGAGTTCTGAGTGCACACCCTGTTTTTTTTAAATCAATTTATTATATATTTAAAACACATAGACGTATCCAGGGATGAAAAAATATAAAATTAAAAATTCTGCACAAAAAGGGGAAAAATGTATTCAAACTGTCCAACAGGAGGCTGCTTGTGACATTACTGTCTGTAGAACCGTGTACTCGCCAAAATCTCCAAAAATGTCTATAAAAGTCATCACTCACTGACAGCGGGACAGTGAGTGAGGGGGCTTTCACCTTGAGGGAATCATCTTTTTGGCGATTATTAGCCCCGCCAAGAGAACATGGGCCGGAGAGAGTATAGGGGACACCATTTCCCAAAAGCGATGACCCCTGAACACTCCGTGCAGGTCACTGTAACTTAAACCCAGTGTCTCCCAAAGTGGGGTCCGCGGCCCCCTGGTGGGCCGCGAGGGTACTGCAGGGGGGCCGCGGGAGGTCAAAAAAATATATATATAATTATTTAATGTTAAATTTATAATGTTTTGTTTGTAATATTAAAATATTTGTGTTCATTATTTGACTTGAATAATCCACTGTAATCATTTTTGTATTACAATGTTTGTAGCAGAGGCTATTTCCCCAAAATAAAATAACCAGAAGAGCCTATTCTTAATGTTGTCTTCTTGGTTATTATTTTGGGGGGCCACGCAGACCCGTCAGATTGTTAAGGGGGCCTCGGTGTTACTGAGTTTGGGAATGGCTGACTTAAACCTATAGGACACTGGAGGAGCTCCGTTGGGAGAGCATGTGGCCTGAAAGTTGGTGGTTTGAATCCTACTCTTGACATAAACATAACACCATTGGTTGAGCTCAGATCAACTGACAGCTCAAGTGTGAAACCCGTTTCCATAGTGATTGCTGCCTTGTGACCTTGAGCCCCCAGTGTCTGCCTGTCACTGCTGTATTACTATTGTGAGTCTTTCCCTTTGAGTATATGCATTCTATTTGTACTTTTGCATTACTTGTTTTGCCCCGAAATAACTTAGCAAATTAAAGTTAGAAATGTTTTGGTTCAACAAGAAAAAAAAAACATGTGATTAAATAGTGACTCACATTCACATTATCGCTTTCATAACATATAAAGCAATAGTTCATATGTTTATAAAACGTGTAACTGCATCATCTTCTGCATTTGTCACCTTCCTCTCGTGTTCAGTAAAACATGTTCAAGAGCTCCCACATTGGACTGTTTAGCGACCTTATTGCTGACTTCCCTTCACACTCTGAACTAACAGGAAAACACACCCCTGAAAAAGCTGCTTCTTGTAATAATATATTTCTAAAAAGGCACCAGAAGTTAAATGGCTTTGTCTTTGATCACATCGCACTCATGGCTCGCAATCATCTTTACATTAATATCCAGGGCAAATGGTAAGGGACATTGTGTTGCATATGTTTTAACCCTAGAACTCCTGGAGCAGTCAATAGGATGGCTTTTGTGGTGTAATCACTCAGAATATGCATATTTTTGTTCTTGATCACGTTTTATCTAGAGATAGTTCATTTATATGAAATTACTTTATCAAATAATGTAATTATATTTTTGACATTTTTAACTTAATTTAGACTGTTCCATTAATTTTCATGTAGAATTCAAATGTAGTCATTCTGGTCACTTGGCCAAAAATCAATCAAGATCAATAAAGTTTTATCTTATCTTTAAGACAAACCCCAAATTAATTTTAATAAAAATAGTGAAAAACAAAACCTTTATGTCGGGATTTTTTTTTCAAAAATTTAGTTCTACATTTCATAATTTTGGGAGTCCTTGTTAATCAAATAATATTAATATTTGTTTCTTTTATAAAGGCAACGGCTGGACCATAAACGTAACCAGACACACTGAAGCCTCCTTTGGGTCAAACGCTTTCATCCGATGCCAGTTCACCCATCCGCATGGGCCCGGCTTACGTGATGTCACCGTGTTCTGGAAGAAGGATGAATTCAATGACAGACGAAAGGGAGACCGTAATCCGTTTATTTTCCATCACGACTCGTCCCAGGTCATGGAGGCGTACCGTGGGAGGACGGCGCTGACTGGGAATGTGCAGAACGGAGACTGCTCTCTTTCCATTCAGAATGTGACAAACTACAAATCCAGGCTCTACGTGCGAGTGCGAGCAGTGGAGTTCTACAGTTTCTACAACTACCCTGTTTCCATCAAAGTAACTGGTGAGTCATTAGTAGAATGGAGTAAGGTGTTTTTCCCGACACAAAGAGTCTTCTATAATGTAAGTCAAATATTGAGAACAAATCAGACCACAACATGCATCTCATGAGAAAGAATGTGTGAAAACCAGTTTGATAAAAGCAAACTGTTCTAGAACCAGGAATGAGTTTTTAACAAATGATAAAACATGTTTGTGGTTTGAATATTTGGTACCGAAAATGTTTACAAGCATTTATAATATAAAGAATATAATAATAATATTGAAAAATGCATTGGTTTTTTATGTCATTATTCTTTCACTCCATATATGGTGGTGATAAATTACTGCTGCAGCCACAACTGCCCTGGGGCACACTGACAGAAGCGACGCAACCAGAATGTGACATCGGCTCTTCCGACCACCACCAACCATTCACACACAACTGACTCATTCTAGACAATGTGGGTTAAGTGTCTTGCCTAAGGACACAACAACAGTTTGTAACTTTACAGCCCCAGCCGCCCCACTATGGCTGGTGTTCTCAGAGGTCTCCCATCATAGTACTAACTAGGCCCTGCCCTGCTTATCTTCAGAGGTCTGACGGGATCTGGCTTTCAGATGCAATGTGACAATAAATGGTATCGGTTGAATAAGCAGTGGAACACTCCATTGATTTGAATTTAATTTCAAAATGTTCTACCGGTCAGTATTTCAGGGATAATGTAGGTAGGGAGGTCATTATCGGAAAATATGTACCGACAGGGCGAAGTGGACCTTGAAGCGGACCCCGATGCGGACCCCGACACGGGATGCAACCCTTTAACTTCAGTCCACTTTTATGAATGCTGAAAGGTTTATTTGACTGCAAATAAAATAGTTACCAAAGGTTTTCCCGTGCCGTGGCTGTGCGAGTAACAGTCAGGTTAGCTATCAAAACTAGAACTCTCTCAAACTACAATAAAACTGAAGAATTGCAATTTTCTACAATGTTATATTATTCCTTATCTTTTCGCAAGAAAATAACCACATCATGTAAAACACCAGAAACAAAAACAAACTAATTTTTCTCTCTAATTGGATAATCTGCTTCAACGTAAACATAAATATTTTATGTCCATTGTTCTTTTTAGTCGAGAGAAACTCCAGTTACATCTTACTACTATGTTCTCAACTAATATTCTCTGGTAACACAAATAAGAACTTAATTTTAATTGAATTTGATATTGATATTATTTCTACACCACTCTCATAACATTTCCCAGTTTTTTATTATTATGGTTAAATTGTACTTCATATACTTGTATTTTCAGAAATAGCAGCAAAAGAAGTGGTGATCACAACTTCATCCCAAACCTCAACCAGCTCCAAGATCATTTATCCATCGGAAACAACTTCCATCTGTACGCACAACTCAAGTTGAAAATCATTTATAGCTTTTTCATGAATTTAATATTTGTATTTTTCTTTCTATTTATATTTTTCTTTCGCAGTGGCCACATCATAGACTCCAGCCTCCTCCTCGACTACGGTCATTTATGTTGTGGTTCCCATGGCTGCACTCTTCATTGTGGCGATTGTGGCGTCAGTGGGTTTTCTCCTCCACAGAAAATATAGCAGGTAATTGAGAGGTACAGTACATTAAAAAGAAAACGAATTAGGGAAACCTTTTGCCAATGTATTGAGTCTGTTTTGTCTTTAATAAGGTGATTGGCAGGTGAGCAACAGTAACGTTAACAGCTATGTCATCAAAGTGCGCTTGGCTACCATGTCGGCTAATAACACGGGGCTAATAATACATTTTGAATATTAAGGGCTGTCTAATATTCGTTCAAATATATCAATATTTTTTATTTTTAGAATTATATTTGAATTTCGAAGTCAAAGCCCTAGTGTTTACCAGCGCTGTAGAGGCTAGAGGACGCATTCCGTTCGCTCCTCGTTCTGTGAGTGGAGGAGAGCTAGCAGCCCGCTAAGTCTCTACTCAGCACTTTTTACGGCCTGAATTCATACACAAGCTGAATCAATGAGCTCAAGTTTTCAATGAAATGACGGATTATTATACAAGGGTTAGTATTCGAGATAAACTCTGCAGGCTGTCCCAGATCTTGCTCTAGCCTTATCCCCTTTAATATTCTTTCAAAATTTGACACATTGACAACTCTATGCCTTTGTTGTTCTCATTAGCAGAAATGTTGTATCCAAATCAGTGGGGGCGGGTCCCAGCTCAAAAGTGGCCAAAATGACGTGCGCTGACATGCTTGCAATACCACCCCGGGCCGATGGGGTCGGACCCAGAAGTAGAATTAGCCAATGCTAACATATAGCATTGGCAGACCTCTCGAAAACGTCTTTACAGGATGGACCAAAAGTCGGCTCTTGGCCCAAAACTCCGTTCCACATGTGTGTCAATGCTGAGGGGGGTGGATTTTTTTGGTCCACTCTAGTTTACTTGCTGTGAATGTTTTAAGTCTCTCGTTCAAATGAATGGAGCTGCGCCGGCTGACGCATGCGCAGATGCGTTTTTTCACAATTTTCTTGTGGGCGGGACCACTCGCGGCCATTTTGGATAGCTCCAGTAGAGCACATTTTTTGGCCCATTAGTTAGAACGGCGGAGATAGGCGTGACTCTGTCCGTTTATATATACAGTCAATGGTCCAAACATTCGCACCTTCAGACTTATTTTGGCTGTAGTAAGGTTTGGATGTGTTAAGAGGATTGTCTTGACAAGGAACATTTTGACTTCCACACCTACTGTGGATCCTACCATGTTTCCACAGTAGGATCCAAAGTTCTCCCTCACACACACCACACACACACACACACACATGAGGGGGGGGGGAGTACAAAGGCATGTCACCGAGAAGGTTTCGTCACTGTAGTTTGAAAATCTTTATTTAAACCAACAATAACAATTCCCAGACCAGAACCTTGAATACCATAGAAGACTGGGTTGCCAACCATAAAAAGCATAAAATTAATGAAGCTCAAGAACTCTAGCCTGGCTCCAGCCGACCTTTAGCCCCGCCTCCATGGAATTTCAGCGGGCAGGTCGGTCTGGCATTTCTCAATTGAAAAACTATTATGCCCGGTACGAAACATACCGGGCCAGTCAGAGTATTTAAGCTGCATTGTTAAATGCTGTCTTAGGGGAAAAAAAAATCCCAGCTGATAAAGGCTTGTATACGCCAACATAGAAGGCCACAATAGAGCAGAACTACATAAAAATACATATTTTAAAAATTATAGATTATTGTTTAATATGAACAAGCAGCATGATGGAGCGGTTGGTGCTAATGCTTCACAGCAAGAAGGACAAATGCACCTCCAGATGGGGCCTTTCTGGGCAGAGTTTGCATGTTCTCTCCATGTCTGCATCGGTTTCCTCCGGGTGCGCCGGTTGCACCTACTTCTATAAACATGTACAATATTTCAGTGAAAATGTGGGACAGTGATAGAAATAAGCCCAAGACTATAATCTGGTGTATTTACAGCACTGCTGTAACTCTCCTCATACAAATAAACACATTATTTCAACAAAACCAAATCAAGAACTCTTGACTGAATTTCACTTGGTTTATTAGTTGTTTATCTTGCGAAAATGTGTTTTTTTCATGTCAGTAAGTATCACAGCATCATATGATTCATTTAGTCAATTTCAGGTGTTTCTCTTGCCAACAATATTTTTCCTAAAAGGGTCTTAAAGTATATAATATTTAAACTTCTATATGTGTCCCCAGATCACAAGCACAAATCATCTTTGACCTTTTTCTGTACAAATATTTAAAGTAGAGTCCTTAAACTCTTCAAAAATACAGAGGACATGAGGTTTTCAAGCAGTTCAATCAGAGCGCAAAATCATTTGGGAGTGCAAAATCTACCCATTTTGGCTCCATATTCTTTTTTAATAACAAACAACAGTAGTATCACAATTGTGTTTAAAAAAAAAAAAAGTTGCCTTACACAAAACACACAGTTTGTCTCATTCCTTGTTAAATGCATCAGTAATCAGTGATTTGGAACTACAGCAGGGATTAAAGAGTTCCGTCTAGGTGACGGATTTCCGTCAAATGAAATTGGTCTGGAAAAAAAATTATATATATATATATATAATGATAATAATACACACAATGAAATGATTGATTATAAAAATAATATATAGTAATACATATACGTGTGAATCTGTTATATATATATATATATATCGATGTATAATAATAATTTGAATATAATTGTATTTATATGTATATAGAAATAATAAGTAATATAATCACGAGTGGGCCTTGAACGTGCCGTGGCCACATGAGCGCTCCGCAAATGAATCAAGGCAATGGGACGTAGCTGAGCTCACGCGCAAATGAAGACGCGATGAAGTTAGCATTGGTAACACGGAGGTGAAAGTTTCTGGAAACTGCACGGAGCTTTTGAAAAGGAGAAGAGGAGGAAAATTGAATCTCGAACGGAGCAATAACAGCAGCAGATCCGCGGACTGGTAAGCTGGGCGCGTAATAGAGGAAAGGTAATTAACGTTTACCAAACGCAATGCTATTTTACTTAACGGAATGTACAAAACGGACTTTGCTGCAACTGGGAATGGGGACAAACATGTCTTGGTGAGCTTTTGATATTGTCTTGTTTGCGATCTTCTTGCAAAACTCAGCGTGATGTAAAAGAGCCAATCAATGAGTCATGGTGCGAAAAGATGAAAGTGGCCGGTGCTTGTGCGTACTTTGCCATAAAAAATTGCATGAATGGGAGTAATGAGAAAAAAGTTTTGATTCGCCACCAGCTCAAAACGGCGCACAAGGCAGCTGTTTTTGTGCACTTTCCCACACTTCATCTTTACCTGGTGCATCAGCAACAACTAACACTAGGCTTGCTATGGCAGACCGTGTCTGTGGCTTTATCGCAGAAAATAACGTTCAGAATATCACTACCGCTGGTAGATTTATTTAAATCATTTGCAGTTGATCAAAGTGCACTGTGCACTCAAACTTGATAGGGAAACCTTTTTCTTAAATATTGACGTGTCCACAAACAAATGTGGACAGAATTTTATCGTCCTTTTGCAATATTTTGACGAGGACAGAGCCAAAGTGTTGACGCTCCATATCGCCTCAAGTAAAGCTACTCTCACTAATATTCTGTCAAAAAGTTTACTCGTTGCTTGATCCACTTATATTTCATATCAAAATACACTGTATATCTTTGAAGAATTCATTTGAGCTGTATTCAATATACAATCTATTATACAATCATATATTGTAATTACAAATATAACTTGGTCCTGCATATTACTGTGATTTACATGTGATAAATTTCCATGCAAAAATTTTCAGTCAAATCTTTTTTTTTTGCTTTAACCCCTGAACTACAGGCAGGAAGCTGCTGACATCAAGGGTGATTGCATTTGCAATGACTTTATTACACCACTAAGATAATAATTGGTTTGTTTGTGTGGTGCCTCAGGGTGCAGTCTTTGGAAAGAAGTTCATCTGGATCCTATTTAAACTTCAACCGAACATCAACAAACCCAAACAACGGGTAAAAACACAGGTCTACAGTAACCACCGTAGCATTCTTTTCAATCATAAAACATTTGTTTGTTCTAGTGCGTTGTCTGCTTTGACCCGCTGCCCTCCTCAACATGAAGGCCTGAAAGTCACAGATGATGAGGCAGTGTACAGCAACGTGCAGGTACGTGTTTTCCAATGCCTGACACCACTTTGGATTTCTTGTTCCAATTCCGATTTCTTGGAGGTCTTGTTAAAGGGGATATAACCTAAAAATGCACTTTTCTCAGCTTTTGAACACGTTTTAGTTGTCTCCTCTTGTAATTTTCACACACAAAGCTGTTTCAAGTGCAACCCAATTATGTTTGAGTTATTTATTTCCTCATACTCGCACACAACCATTGCTCTCCCATTATTCCTCTGACCACCACACCTTGCCCCTCCCGCGGGTTTTACTTACTTTCTGTGGTAACTTTCTTGTATTTTCTGAATCCCCAATTTGTAAGGGATTCATCCGCCTCAAAGTCATCATTGGTGGAAGAAAAACAAATATAATCTCATCACAACTTTGTCTGCAGAGGGGCAAAGCCATACATGTAGGGCAAGGGGACAAAAAGGTGAGGCTAAAGAGAAAATGCATCAAAGGGGCATTTAATGAAGCACAAGCTCCAGACGTTATCAAGGCAGTCATATCGGTAAGCGGTAGAAGTACTAGTCTTAGATACTGAAGTAAAAACATGTAAGAAGTGTGTGGGCTTAAACATGAGGAGTAAAAGTAAAGTAGAGTAAAAGTGGCCAAAAAATTGTAAAATAAAGTACTCAAACCAGAAAAAAAACATTCTTTAAGTGAAGGCTAGTTACTTTTCAAACTGTGAAGAGAGAGAGATAAATGTCAAGCAACAATGTCAGGAGCAGTGGTCACCGTAGGACAGCGTCCAGGGGCCCATCTCCAGATGTTGATGCTTGGCTTGGTCACGAGCCGGAGCACCAGATGAACAATTAAGAACAGAACACTGTTCCGACAAGGATTCAAGCACAGGAGCTTCTTGCTGTGAAGCGACAGTGATATTCACAGTGCCACTATGCCGGCCTTCTTGCAATTGGTCGAACCATTCTCTTCCAGATAATATTACTGGTTGTGGTTTTGCCAAGGAGGGTCTTTTACTTTTTAAGAATACTATGTACTTAATTTACATGACAGGGCAGGGTTATATGGTCAAAAAAATACATTACTTAAAACATGAAATGATACAATTGATATCACTGACATCCCCTTTAAGTAAAAGGGCAACTTAAAGACAAACACATAGTTAGTTTCCACCTCTGCTTATTTCCTGTGTGAAGTCATCTAGCCCCAGAAAGACCTTTGAATGTGTAAAGATAGATGTGTGTTCCTATTTTCTTATGACCACTAACAGAACTGATGTGTTGTGTTTGCAGCCTCAGTCACACCCGCCCAGCTGCTGGACTGCAGACGTGGACGAAAGTATATATGCAAATGTGTAGAGCAACTTAATAGTTTGTCTTGTGCTTTAATGTCTTAAAGAGAAAATATATGAATAATTGTTTTTTTCCCCTTAAACACTGTTGAGAATACTTACCTTGGTATTTGATGTTTTATCACTTGAAATAATTGAAACAAACAGGTTGCATTTTGATGTTATAATTTGTATGTGAAGATGACCAAAGGTGTAGTCCTATTGAAGACCTGGTGGAGATTAAGGATGTAATTAATCTTTATTTATATAGCGCCTTCTTCACAGACCAGAGTCACAAAGCGTGTATTTGCATTTGTCTCTCACTCCACACAGAGATGGGAACGAGGTCGCCGTACAGGAGGCACATGCCAGACCTATTGTACATGGTTTTAGTGGTAGGGTAAACTGGAACTTCTGGAGGAAACCTACACAGACACGGAGAGAACATGCAAACTCTAAATAGAAAGGTCTGGAGGTGGAATCGAGCCGAGGACCAGCATCACTGCTTACACTGCTGCCCTGGCAACGAATAAAGCGGAAGAAAATGCAGGGATGGATAATAAATGAGTGGATAATCTTCTCCGAATGACATGTTATCGTCTTTTTTTTAGTTTTCTTTTTGGTCCGAAATAGATTTTCAAAACTAAAATTGTACTCTTTGAGGTTTGCTTATTTTGACCACTAAAATGGCGTTTTTTGGATTTGACTCTTATTTTGATTTATTTATTCATAAATTCAGTATACCAGATTATAGCAAAAAACATCCATATGTTGTCAGTTTTTGCAATTCACTTTTCTGCCCTAGTTCATCAGCTGCATTCCGACAGAGGATTATGACTCAACTCCTCATGTGATTCTTCCTCCACAACAACACATTCTTCCACATCCAGGGAACAGACATTATATCATTCCATTTTTTATTTTACTTTTTTGTATTTGTAAGTCATTATACACAAACATAAACAGACTATGAATACATAAATATAATACATAAAAAGGGGTAGGAGGTGGTATGAGGTAGGGAGTGAAGTTCAGACTGGGAGACTAAGCGCAAATCTATGTCATGCAATAAACATCATTCTTATATTTATGCACACTTTCATGTCATGTCTGTCATGCCAGAACAGATTACTGTGCAAAACCAATAAACATTGTTTTTCTGTTGAGTCTCTCAGTTTGAAAATGTAATCTCTTCTTGTCCTTACAACTATTTGGCAGTCCATTCCATCCATATGCATATATCCATTTGAAAAGGTACTCAGTTGCAATTTATTGCATTTTGATCTAACTATTGGAACACTTTCTAGTCATTGCAAGTCTGGTTTTATGTATGTGTTTCTCAAAGCTGAAATGTTTGAGATTTTTAGATTTTTTTCCAGTTTAAGAATGTATAGTTTTAATAGATATAGTTTCTATAATAATATTGAATGTTTAAAAATTACAGCCGAAAATATTCATACATTATTAACTCATTTTTAACTAATCACTTTAATAAAGTGTAGTTATACAATGGCGTTATAACATGGTAGTTATGGAGCATTTCCAGACCAATACCAACTATTTTGTAAAACATGTATCACAATAGTTGCCTTCTTGCTGCTATACTTGCTTTGAGTGTAATGCTTTTGAGTGGTAATATCTCCTAACAGAATGCGTTACTGTAAGCAGGGCTTGCCTCTCCGCAGATGTCACCTGTAACTATGAGGTACACTATGTAGTTTTACTCCCATAGCATTGAGATCTTATAGTGCAGTATTTTGGTACGACAGTAGCTTTGAAGGAAAACATATTTTCTTTGACAGTGGTCCCGAACTCCCGGTCATTCGAACCGGGGCCAAGGAAAGAATCCTTTAGTTTGATAAATGCCCAGATCTCTCCTTATGTCTTGGTCACTTGACACAGTAGCGCTACTGTGCTAGTCGGAGCGGGTCAGAACATCCGGAGGCCCGTGTTGCAGATTTTTCCCCATTCTCCTTACTTTCGGTGTTCATGTGTGCACATGCTGTGTACAAACTGCAGCAATGTGCGTCCTATTGTTTTAACTCTGCCTTTCGGTGCATTTGGTTTGCAATTTTGACAGGTTTTGCTTTAATGACGCGGGTTTCTAGATTTTTTTTTCTAAAATGATGGTACATTCGTTTCAATGACGGAGATAGGCGAAACTAGATTTGTTTATATTTTTAGTCTATGGTATTATTCCATTACTTATTTCTGTGTTTTCCACATTTACGCCATCTAGTGGATATTTTTCCAATTGCAAATCTTTTATTGTACAATTTAATCGCCTAATACTGTCCATCCATCCATCCATTTTCTTCCGCTTTATCCGTTGCCGGGTCGCGGGGGCAGCAGTCTAAGCAGAGACGCCCAGACTTCCCTATCCACACACACCTCCTCAAGCTCGAGGATGCCCGAGCCACCTCAACTGGTTCCTCTCGACGTGGAGAAGCAGCGGCTCTACTCCGAGCTCCTCCCGTGTGACCGAGCTCCTCACCCTATCTCTAAGGGAGCGCCCAGCCACTCTGCGGAGGAAGCTCATTTCGACCGCTTGTATCCACGATCTCGTTCTTTCGGTCATTACCCACAGCTCATGACCATAGGTGAGGGAGGGAACGAAGATTGACCGGTAAATTGAGAGCTTTGCCTTTCGGCTCAGCTCCCTCTTTACCACAACGGTCCGATACAGAGACCGCATCACTGCGCACGCTGCACCGATCCGCCTGTCAATCTCACGCTCCATCCTCCCCTCACTCGTGAACAAGACCCCGAGATACTTGAACTCCTCCACTTGAGGAAGGACCTCTCCACCCACCTGGAGAGGGCAAGGCACCTTTTTCCGGTCGAGCACCATGGCCTCGGATTTGGAGGTGCTGATTCTCATCCCAGCCGCTTCACACTCGGCTGCAAACCGTCCCAGTGCATGTTGCAGGTCCTGGTTCGTTGGAGCCAGCAGGACGACATCATCCGCAAAAAGTAGAGATGAAATCCTGTGGTTCCCGAACCGGACCCCCTCCGGCCCCTGGCTGCGCCTAGAGATTCTGTCCATAAATACAGTGAACAGAACCGGTGACAAAGGGCAGCCTTGGCGGAGGCCAACATGCACCGGGAACAGGTCTGACTTACTGCCAGCAATGCGAACACAGCTCTGGCTCCGGTCATACAGGGACCGAACAGCCCTCAGCAGAGGACCCGGACCCCGTACTCCCGGAGGACCCCCCAAAGGACACCCCGGGGAACGCGGTCGAACGCCTTCTCCAAATCCACAAAGCACATGTGGACAGGTTGGGCGAACTCCCATGAACCCTCGAGTATCCGATGGAGAGTATAGAGCTGGTCCAGTGTTCCGCGACCGGGACGAAAACCACACTGCTCCTCCTGAATCCGAGATTCGACCATCGGACGAAGCCTCCTCTCCAGTACCTTGGAGTAGACCTTACCGGGGAGGCTGAGGAGTGTGATCCCACGATAATTGGAACACACCCTCCGGTCCCCCTTCTTGTAGAGAGGGACCACCACCCCGGTCTGCCACTCCATTGGCACCGCCCCCGATCGCCACGCGATGTTGCAGAGACGTGTCAGCCAAGACAGTCCTACAACATCCAGAGACTTTAGATAGTCAGGACGGATCTCATCCACTCCCGGCGCCTTGCCACCATGGAGGCTGCCAACCACCTTGGTGACCTCGGCCAGGGAGATGGAAGTATCCGCCCCAACATCCTCAGCCTCTGCCTCCTGGACGGGGGACGTGACGGGGGGATTGAGGAGAACCTCGAAGTATTCCTTCCACCGCCCGACAATATCCCCAGTCGAGGTCAGCAGCCCTCCACCCGCACCATACACGGTGTTGGCAAAGAACTGCTTCCCCCTCCTGAGGCGCCGGACGGTTTGCCAGAACCTCTTCGAGGCCGACCGATAGTCATGCTCCATGGACTCTCCGAACTCCTCCCAGTCCCGGGTTTTTGCCTCTGCAACAGCCCGGGCCGCGGCACGTTTGGCCTGCCGGTACTGGACAGCTGCCTCAGGAGTCCCACGAACCATCATTGCTCGATAGGACTCCTTCTTCAGCCTGACGGCATCCCTTACTGCCGGTGTCCACCACCGGGTTCGGGGATTGCCGCCGGGACCAGCACCAGAGACCTTGCGACCACAGCTACGAGCCGCCGCATTGGCGATAGAGGAAGAGAACATGGTCCACTCGGACTCGATGTCCCCCTCCTCTGCCGGGACCTGGGAGAAGCTCTCCCGGAGGTGTGAGTTGAAAGTCCGTCTGACAGGGGGCTCAGCGAGACGTTCCCAGCAAACCCTCACTACACGCTTGGGCCTGCCAGGTCTGACCGGCCTCCTGCCCTGCCAGCGGATCCAACTCACGACCAGGTGATGATCGGTTGACAGCTCCGCCCCTCTCTTCACCCGAGTGTCCGAGACACGCGGTCGAAGGTCAGATGATACGACTACAAAGTCGATCATCGACCTCCGGCCTAGGGTGTCCTGGTGCCACGTGCACTGATGGACACCCTTGTGCTCGAACATGGTGTTCGTGATGGACAGGCCGTGACTGGCACAGAAGTCCAACAACTGAACACCGCTCGGGTTCAGATCAGGGGGGCCGCTCTTCCCGATCACCCCTCTCCAAGTGTCACTGGCATTTCCCACATGGGCGTTGAAGTCCCCCAGGAGAATAACGGAGTCCCCGGGCGGTGCACTGTCCAGTACCCCTCCCAAGGACTCCAAGAAGGCCGGGTACTCTGCACTACCGTTAGGCCCGTAGGCCGTCACAACAGTGAGAGACTTGTCCCCCACCCGGAGGCGGAGGGACGCGACCCTCTCATTCACCGGGGAGAACTCCAACACGTGGCGGCTGAGATGGGGGGCAATGAGTATGCCCACCCCAGCTCGCCGCCTCTCCCCGCGGGAAACACCAGAAAAGTGGAGCGTCCAACCCCTCTCAAGGAGTTGGGTTCCAGAGCCCAAGCTGTGTGTGGAGGTGAGGCCGACTATCTCTAGTCGGTATCGCTCAACCTCCCCCACAAGCTCGGGCTCCTTCCCCCCCAGTGAGGTGACGTTCCACGTCCCAAGAGCCAGATGTTGGGTGTGTGGACTGGGTCGTCGAGGTCTCCGCCTTCGACTGCTGCCCAGTCCTCTCTGCACCTCGCCACCACGGACCCCTCTGCAGGTGGTGAGCCCACAGGAGGGACTGCCCACGTCATCCCTTCGGGCTGAGCCCGGCCGGGCCCCGTGGGCCCGGCCGGCCGTCAAGAGTTTGCGCCGAACGGGCAGGTTGTCGTTTGGTAATGGCGAAGAATGCGACAGTAAAGTATTCCGGTCTGGAATTGAAGCCGGAGCAAGAGGAATGTTTAGCAAATGTAATTGCTGCAAAGATTGTGGCGCTACTCCCCACGGGCTCCGTTAGCGGCAAAGGAGATGGCCAAAGCAAGGCTAAATGCTAACGACAGACTCGGGCGCATTACATATGTCACGGTAAACTCACATCCAATCGTTTCAACCTGCAAAAGTAGTTAACCCCTCCCACCTGTTAATGGAGCGCAATGGAGCACATCCAGACCTTAGTAAGAAATGTAATTTGTACTATGGTGTGGTACGACCAGGCTAATTCTATGTAACATCCGGTTAAACTCGCACACCTTATCTTTGAAGATTTCATAATCACAACTTGGAGAATGGAGGGGTATTTAATATTCACCCTTCATATTGGGGTGTTGTAGTATACAGACTGAACAGCAGAGGGGTAGGAGGAATCGTGCTCAAAGGCCAAAGCCATTGGGACTTTCAACAAACCATGAAATTCGCTGGAAATAATGTCATAAATTTATTTATTAATGAAATGAATGAGATTTGTGATAGTTTTTATTGAGAAGAACTTCTATATAGAAGAAGCACACGATTTAAATATTAGCATACACCGTGTCATCGTCTGGGTCGAACATCTGTGGAAACAATGGAAATGAATGAGTTTGGGTGTTTTTACTTAAAGTTATGTTTAAGTTAACGACTTACATACCTCGTCGTTGCCATATGTGTGATCGTTGCTGCAGTCAACTGGAGGATGGACAGCTGCAGAGATCTTCCTATTTGTGGAATAAAACAGTTTAAGACAAAGAAAATATAAAAACTAAATGGATCGTCCTTTTACCTTAAGGGGACAGTGTACTGCGGAGTCCTCACGTGGTCTTCATTGAGTTTCTGAGAATAAGGTTCACTGTCACGGCTTTTCTGGCAACTATAGAAATACCAACAAATTAATAATAACATGATTAACATCTAGACAACATTCACGTGCACACACACACTCAACATGGACACAAACCACAACACGCAAGCACATACACCTGACACATGTGCATATGTGCAGTGTTGTTCACACATGCATTACAGTTATTAAGACAAATTACTTACTTGTGCCCAATGCATTTTACATTCTAATAATCCAACGCTGCTGCTGTTCAGTTTACCCCGATCTTTAACTTATGTTTCAATATTAGATGGTTATGAAGAGACAGACAGGTACAGTGTAGACAAGGTGATCAATATGATGTTGATGAGATAACACTTGCTTTGTAACTTGTATAAAGCACATGTTGTAAACTTTATTGTGAGCTCATGATACTTTGCTGTGGTGGTGTTTGTCAGTGAAGCAGCAGCATTTACAGTTGAACTCAGTTTTGATCTGGGCTCTGAAGCCTCTCATGGTCTCGAGCACCTGCAAATTAACTCAGGCATCTTTCTCCGCCCCTGCCTTCAGCCGTCTCCTCTCGTCTGCGGTATGAGTCAGGTTAAACAGGCCTAACAAAACTTCAGGACAGTACGAGGTCTGAATACCCGCCTCCAGAGCTGCTCATGATCAGTTCAGTCTCTGCTCTCAGCTGTCGTACACCATCCCTCCACATTCAGACATGGTGAGTAGGTTTTATAAAGATAAGTACACAGAAATATCTACAACATAGAAGTATATAAACTGTTAGAGCTGTAACTAACTGCAATTCATGTAATTGATTATATTTTTGGTGCAGTTGTTAAATCTGGACTTTTCATTGAAATACAACATGCACACATTCCTGTTCAGTATTTGTATAGTTGCTGCATTTGTTTGAGCTTTTTCAATGGTGCAGTGATTAGAGCTGTCTTGTATCAGCAAGAAGTTCCTTGGTTCTATTCTCAAGCAGCACAGTCCTTTCTGGGCAGAGTTTGCATGTTCTCCCCATGTCTGCGAAAGTTTTCTCGGCGTGCTCTGGTTTCCCCCACTAACGATGTACAATGCGACTGGATGAAAACGATCCTCGAGCTGATTCCAGTGTATTTACAGAAGGAGTTATTCATTAATATCCAGTCCCATTTGCTATACGTGTAAAGTTTGAGCCTGTATGTCAAGCAGTTAATGAAGTTTACCACTAAAACATCATTAACATTGATCATTATTGAGAAAACCCAATAGGTTGTGGTTAATTCTTTGTCATTACCATAAACACAATGACTGACATTCCCTGCATTTTTTTCTGACCAGCTAACAGAAGAGAAAATTGCTGGTAAGACAAGCCACTTATTCTAGGTTAATAAAGACTATATTATGGAGTAAGACTTCTCTTTTTTGTTCTGTTCAGAGATCAAGGAAGCCTTCTCCGCTTATGACAAAAATGGAGATGGGGTCATCACTGCTCACGAGCTGGGGACTTTCATGACATCATCGGGGTTGAATGCGACACAAGCTGAACTCCAAGACATGATTTCTGAGTTGGACGCTGAGGGTTGGTTAAGGCTGCATTGCTGTTCTCCAACTTAGCTATTCTCCTTAGCCCTTTCCCACCTGATGCAGAGAGGTGTCCCAATTCACTTTTGGGTTAAGATGAAGGGGGTTTCTGGATTTACCCTTCTTCGTGGAGTGTTATATTAAACAGACTTGCAGCAGAGGGGAAGGAGGAATCAAGGTCTTAGGCAAAAGCCATTGGGACTTTCAACAAACCATGAAATGCGCTGGGGAAAAAAATTACAATTCTTCCATCCATTTTATTCCCCTTTGGCCATTTCTGGGTCGGGTGGGTGGCAATCAGCTGCCACCCAGTTCACAGAGCACCAGCCACTCACTGATCCTCCTGCTTCTCCTGGTCCTCTCTGATCCTCCTGCTTCTCCTGGTCCTCTCTGATCCTCCTGCTTCTCCTGGTCCTCACTGATCCTCCTGCTTCTCCTGGTCCTCTCTGATCCTCCTGCTTCTCCTGGTCCTCACTGATCCTCCTGCTTCTCCTGGTCCTCACTGATCCTCCTGCTTCTCCTGGTCCTCACTGATCCTCCTGCTTCTCCTGGTCCTCACTGATCCTCCTGCTTCTCCTGGTCCTCACTGATCCTCCTGCAGGTGGTGAGTCCAGGAGGATGGATTCTCGGTCAGTAACAGCACAGCCTTGATATTTCAGCAGGGGCTTCAGACAAAGTGGGGTTTAATATCTTGCCCCAGGACACATTAACAGTGAACATCAGTGGGAGTCGGTGGAGAATGTCTTGTGGTGGGCTCAAACCCACAACCAAAATAATCTCACAAATTCAATGAATAAGCATTTTGACTGAGAATTGTTAAATTGTAAGATTGTTCTTAGTTCTTTATTGATTTTATTCACGGGTTTACAACCACGAGAGCGAGATACATTACATTTTTTATATGGTGTACATAGCCATTATTGACTATATATTGAAGCTTATGGAGTGTCGTATCGGGTCTTAGTGTTGTGAATTTAGTGACGCATGTGACTTTTCTTGTGAGAAAAAACTGCTAAATGCAATAATCTGCCCAGGTAATGGGACCATTGACTTTGGTGAGTTTCTGTCAATGGTGTCGAGACGAATGAAGCCACGTCGGGATGAGATGAGGGAGGAATTCAGAAAGTTTGATATGGTAAATCCATAGACCATAGACATATTAAAAAGACACACATTCAGTCTTAATCTTGTTTGTTTAGGACGGCAACGGTTTCATCAGTGCGGCTGAAATGCGTCAAACACTAAAGAGTCTTGAAGTGACTCTTACCGATGAAGAAATAGGAGAAATGATGAGAGAAGCAGATATCGACGGAGATGGCCGTATCAACTACGAAGGTATGATCGGCTGATGACGGACAGTTTCATACTTTACTCATGTTTGTAAACTTACAGGCATTTTGTGTTTATTTCCAGAGTTTATCAAACTCATCACCAAATAATGGACTTCCATGGATAACAGAAATGTTCATGTAAATATCTGTAACTTTGAGTATGAATGAATGAATTCCCTCTAACATATGTATTCATGCTCAGTGTGTTGCCCTGAAGTTGTATTAGTCTCATTCTCCCAGGGAGTGCTTCAGTTTTATTAAGATGGTGTGTGCTTTTTCAGCAGTTCTTTTTTCTTTCCTAGTACTCAGGTGTGTTTGCACTTTCGTACATGGGTCCAACTGTTTATCTGCTTTTGAAGTCTTTACACGTTGTTGTCCCATTATAATATAATTAACTCAAAGCTTGTGCAGTATTTTTTTTATGTGGATCTGCATTTAATAAGTGCCAGCCAGTCCCTTAAACCAATAGGTAAGTGAATCATTACGTAAATCAGGCCCAATTTTTGACAGATAATAAGTAGGCACTGTGTACTGTACAGAAACAGCATTAACTCTGAGTTATTAAGATTGTCTGTCCAATACTTATTTTTTCCAACATTATACAAATTGTTTAAAAATCATACAATCGGATTTCCTGTTGTTTTATTCTGTCACTCTCTGCATTGACTTATGCAGTCACTCTTTGTATTTTGTAGAGTTTATGCTTCTTCTGCCTGATTGTGGTCCACCCAACCTACTCAGCAACAATGAGGGATATTTTTACAATTGTACCTTTTTTACTTTGCATCAAATTAGTACTTTTCATTATTCAGCACAATGTTTGTTTTCAATACTGTAGGATACTTTTAACAGATGTACTTTAGCTCAAAGTAGTGTTTTACACAATAAAGTACTTTTAAGGCCCAGACCAATTACCTGACCCAAGGTATTTTCCCACAGGCCCCTGTGAACACTATTGAGACACAAAGTTCAAAGAGGGACCCATTTTGACCAAAGCGAACTCCCACTTTGGCTTAGTGTAAAAAACTGGTTGGCCCAGTTTCAGTTTGTTGGAATTTGCCCCAAAGGTTTCACAAACAAACCAGACCAGGTACAAGACCAGGTACAAGACCAGGTACAAGACCAGGTACAAGACCAGACCAGGTCCAACGTGTTGCAACCTAACAATGCAACATGTTGAAGTCAAAAACAATGTGTCATTTTTCCTTACCATTTTCTTGCCAGCACTATGATGAGTATCATCAGAATCAGACCAGACGCTCCAACGCCAACTCCGATGTAGATGTAAATATGATCTATAAAAAATACAAACACATGGAATCATTTGTCATTTCCCTCGACATGCCCTTAATGCCACAGCACCATCCATCCATCCATCTTCTACCCTTTAATCCATTTCTGGGTCAGGGGGGTGGCAGTCAGAGATGCCACCCAAGTCTCATAGCACCAGCCCCTCACTGACCCTCTGCAGGTGGTGAGTCCACAGGAGGACAGCTGCTCTCTGAGTGTGAGCATAGCCTTGATCTTTCAGTGGGGGCTTTGGGCAAAGTGGGGTTAAGTGTCTTGCCCAAGGACACAACGACAGCAGTCATCAGTGGGAGTCGGTGGAGAAGGTGCAGAGGTGGGAATTGAACCCACGACCTTCAGGCCTGAAGGCCAGTGCTCTACCAACTGAGCTACTGTCGCCCTTCCACCAGCCACAGCACCAATACGATCTAAACATCTCAGTATCACACAGTGTATTTAGTACATTCATTATTGAGCCTTAACAATGTAATGAATGAGACAAATTCAGGCCCGCTCTCCTTCTTTACAGGGTCCACAGATCATGTTAGTGACGCACACATTTTCCTTCTAGCAAAAATGCCTGTGCAATGCAGCCAAACCACCAACACAAATTTGGAAAAGAAAATATAAGAAAATATAAATGACAGGAACATGTATGGAGAGACAGCTTTGAGAGCAACATGGTCACATGTTGGAAAAATCCATTCTGCATGTCATTGTTAAGCATGGAGAGTATTTGGGCAGTTCATTTTTACGTCCTTTCATCCTTAAACATGAACTGTTTCAATGGTTTTATTCTATCAGAGTGAATGTAATTTTTAGTTTTTGGACACTCAAAGAAGCTTCACACATCATTATTCTTTCACCATACACAATGGGGATAAATTGCAATTGTAACCACAGCTGCCCTGGGGCACACTCAGAGAAGCGTGACAACCAGCATCGGCCCCTCTGACCACCCTCAACTATTCTCACACACACCAAACTCTTTCTCATTCAAGGCAATGTGGGTGACGTGTTTGCTGAAGGACACAATTACATTTCAACACTTTACAGCCGTAGCCACCCAACTGTGGTGGTCCAGATCTCTCCCATCACAGTACTAACCAGCCGTCTGGTTAGCTTCAGCGGTCTGACTGGTTCATGTCAAGTTGAATATAAATAGTTAGTCTATTTCATTCCATTCTATAAAACAGTGCAATGTTGTAAGGATTCACCAGCTTTGATACATGAGCATTTTGACAATAAGAGCCAAGTTCTGGATATAAGCGTGGGTGGAACTAAAACCAAACTTTATTTGATGAGTGATCGATGATGTAACATTATCTAATTGTTACTATTAACTCACGTAGCGGTAAAGACAAAAGCAGATCCATGTGGCCCACTGAGTTATTGGCAAAGCAGCTGACAGAAGTGAAGAGTCCCATCTCAGTCTCCAGAGTCAGGACAGTGATCAGGCCGGAGGTCTCAGTCCTGGTCTGGGACAGGACCCGGTCAGACTGTAGCAGGTGGACTTCACATGGAGGGTTGGACTCAGCGATACAGATGCACCGCACATTCCTGCCTTCGTAGGAACAAAATGAGCCATTTCTAATGAGTGGAGCATCTGGAGGGAAAGGAGGAAGAGGAAGTGTGGATCAACTGCCACTGTCCTACATTGACACCAGGACAGAACAGTCATTTTGATAAATCCCATTCAGGTTATTGGAAATCTGAAGTAATTAATATGGTTTGTATCTTTAAGACAGGCTGAAAGGGTTAATATAAATTAAATACAGAAAACCTAAATGCTAACTGCTGCAAGTTAACAGTGTGTTGCTATGGTAACTATTACTGGCTTCAGAGTGAGATTGCTCTTGACCAGTCTAGGATAGAGATAATTTCATATATATAATTACATTAAAGTAAACAACAAGTAGAATCAGAAAAAGTTATGAACACCAAAATCATACATAAGTAGAGTACATACAAAAGGAAACGCCATGGGAAAGTGACATGTTGCAGCCTCGAAACTACGGTATTGGTTCTTTAGGGATAATAATTCAACAGAACTAATGCAGAATATTTCTTCTTTAAAGCGGGGGTATCTAACTTTTTAGTTTAATTAATAATACCGTAGTTTGTCCCAAAAGAAAGTTAAAGCTAAAGATTCAAAAGTCCAATTATCTCTTTCTGTCAAAATAAGGTTTGATAGTAAGATATATCAATGTTGTTGTAATGTTGAGAACTGGCTCACAAATACGATTTAACTAGACTATAAGCCATAACCAACAAAGACTTGTCATAATAATAATATTGCATATTTGCCTGTACTCAGAGTTTCAAATGAAAGAAAATCAATTAAATTTAACAAAGTTAGTGCTGTTCGCCCCCCCGAACAGCACCCCTCTTTGCCTCCTCTTATCGACGCCCCTGTATAATTCTCTTACACTTGACTTCCAGCACGGTGCCTGCGCTATGTTGCTGGCCCCCTCTGTGAGTGACCGTGCAGCGCAGAGGCTTGTGGTGGTCAGTGCGCCGCAGCTGGAACCTGACTGTGGATGTGGTGGTCCATGTGGCGCCCCCTGTTTGCTGATGCTGGAGCTGCACATGTCCAGAGTGAGTCCATGTGACAAGTGGAGGATACAGAGGGCAGGAGTGGGAGACAGAGCACTGGGCTGACACTGACTCAGCCTCCAGCACTTCCCCTTTCACAGAGAACTTCACAGGCTCAGGCTCAACTGCGGAAAAACAAAACAAAACAATAGAATGATTGAACGGACTCATTCAGAGGTATTCAACTTATTTTTCCCAAGGTCCAAAAATTTACAACCGAGTTCTGCAAAATGTTCTTTGAACAGTAACTCCAAATATATCAAACACAATATCTAATTCGATACATTACACTAACAATTTGTGGAAAATAAATACCAAAAAAGTAAAAATCTATACTTCTGCCAACCATGTATAAAGCAGGCCTTAGCCAAAATACAGTGCCTTGCAAAGTATTCGGCCCCCTTGAACCTTTCAACATTTTGCCACATTTCAGGCTTCAAACATAAAGATATAAAATTTTAATTTTTTGTCATGAATCAACAACAAGTGGGACACAATCGTGAAGTGGAACGAAATTTATTGGATAATTTAAACTTTTTAACAAATAAAAAACTGAAAAGTGGGGCGTGCAATATTATTCGGCCCCTTTACTTTCAGTGCAGCAAACTCACTCCAGAAGTTCAGTGAGGATCTTTGAATGATCCAATGTTGTCCTAAATGACTGATGATGATAAATAGAATGCACCTGTGTGTAATCAAGTCTCCGTATAAATGCACCTGCTCTTTGATAGTCTCAGGGTTCTGTTTAAAGCGCAGAGAGAACCATGAAGACAAAGGAACACACCAGGCAGGTCCGAGATACTGTTGTGGAGAAGTTTAAAGCCGGATTTGGATACAAAAAGATTTCCCAAGCTTTAAACATCTCATGGAGCACAATGCAAGCAATTATATTGAAATGGAAGGAGTATCAGACCACTGCAAATCTACCAAGACCCGGCCGTCCCTCCAAACAGAGATGCAGCCAAGAGGCCCATGATCACTCTGGATGAACTGCAGATAACTACAGCTGAGGTGGGAGAGTCTGTCCATAGGACAACAATCAATCGTGCACTGCACAAATCTGGCCTTTATGGAAGAGTGGCAAGAAGAAAGCCATTTCTGAAAGATATCCATAAAAAGTCTTGTTTAAAGTTTGCCACAAGCCACCTGGGAGACACACCAAACATGTGGAAGAAGGTGCTCTGGTCAGATAAAACCAAAATCGAACTTTTTGGCCACAATGCAAAACGATATGTTTGGCGTAAAAGCAACACAGCTCATCACCCTGAACACACCATCCCCACTGTCAAACATCATGCTTTGGGCCTGCTTTTCTTCAGCAGGGACAGGGAAGATGGCTAAAATTGATGGGAAGATGGATGAAGCCAAATACAGGACCATTCTGGAAGAAAACCTGTTGGAGTCTGCAAAAGACCTGAGACTGGGACGGAGATTTATCTTCCAACAGGACAATGATCCAAAACATAAAGCCAAATCTACAATGGAATGGTTCACAAATAGACGTATCCAGGTGTTAGAATGGCCAAGTCAAAGTCCAGACCTGGTTCCAATCGAGAATCTGTGGAAAGAGCTGAAGACTGCTGTTCACAAACGCTCTCCATCCAACCTCACTGAGCTCGAGCGGTTTTGCAAGGAAGAATGGGCAAGAATTCCAGTCTCTCGATGTGCAAAACTGATAGAGACATACCCCAAGTGACTTGCAGCTGTAATTGCAGCAAAAGGTGGCGCTACAAAGTATTAGCGCAAGGGGGCCGAATAATATTGCACGCCCCACTTTTCAGTTTTTTATTTGTTAAAAAAGTTGAAATTATCCAATAAATTTCGTTCCACTTCACGATTGTGTCCCACTTGTTGTTGATTCTTGACAAAAAAAATAATTTTTATATCTTTATCTTTGAAGCCTGAAATGTGGCGAAATGTTGAAAGGTTCAAGGGGGCCGAATACTTTTGCAAGGCACTGTACATATACATTACATGAAACATTTGCTACTTTCACCTTCCGTGGGCGGTTATCCCTCTCTAAGCTAAGGGAGCTTGAGGGTTCCGTGCAAGTATCTTTGCTGTTCTTAGCATGCCACATTTCTGGACTGAGATTTCCGTGCGGGTGGTCGAAGGAAAAGATTCAGATCACAGATATTAAAACTTGAGAGCTCCTCACCATGCATAACGTGTTCATCCCAAATCCAGCACCTTGAGACTGTGCGGAAGCCGTGAGTGTGGGAGCCACTGTCCAAGACGAAACATAAAAAACTCCATCACTACATCAAGGAGACGTCCTCAGTGAATGTCTCAGACAGTGGCGAGATCAGGAGGTGCTGGATGAGGACCGACCATCGGAAGATAAGCCCCCTACTCGGCATCTTCCGCCGGAAAATAGCAGAAGTGGTTGATCTCAAGAAGTCCAATGGCTAGAAAGGGCTGGTACAGGACAGCACAGAAGCACTCATCATGGCTGCACAGGAGCAGGCCCTGAGCACCAGAGCGATAGAGGCCCAGATATTCCACAAAGACAAGATCCAAGGTGTCGGTTGTGCAAAGGAGGATCTGAGACAATCCAACACTTGCAGGGTGCAAGGTGCTGCAGGGAAGGCCTACGTGGAAGGCCTTAACCAAGTGGCTGGCATATGTGCTATTTACACGAGGATGCAGCGACAGTAAAACGTTAGAGTTGGATATTGAATTGGCCTTTTGCATACATTAAGATGGTGTTTTTGGGGTGTGAAAACGCAAGTGTGGAACAGAACAGATATGCTGCGCAGCGGGGGGTTGTTTGTGTGAAGAAAAGGGTGTGAATGGGTCCATAGTGTACAGAAACATCTGTGCCGAGTATGGGCTGGAAATCCAAAGGTCTAAATGGAAAACTGCCAAAGGTGGTGGAAAATGAGCGATCGAAGATCCTGTGGGACTTCCAGATAAAGACCAGCTAAATGGTAATGGCGAACCAACCTGACATCGTGGTGGTAGACAAAGGACAGAAGAAACTTGTGGTGGTTATTCCAAGCGATGACAACATCAGGAAAAAAGAACAGGAAAAGCTTGAGAAATTCCGAGGTCTCAGAGAGGAGCTGGAGAGGGCCTGGAGGGTAAAGGTGACAGTAGTGCCCGTGGTGATCGGTGCACTCGGGGCAGTGACCCCGAAGCTGGAGGTGTGGTTACAGCGGATCACTGGAACAACCGCGGAGATCTCGGTCCAGAAATGTGCAATGCTAGGAACAGCAAAGATACTGAGCAGAACCCTCAAGCTCCCAGGCCTCTGTTAGAGGACCCGAGAGGGTGAAACATAGTTATCTTTATGTATATACTGTATATATATAAATGAGCACACAGGAAGTGCTTCTATAAAGGTGTGGTGGTTCATTTCTCACTTCTGGTGTCAAAACTGACACATAACATCTCAATGTTTGTCTTGATTTTGAGTCTGAGTTTATGGTCCTTGGCTCAATTTAAACAGGATTAGATTGAAACAATGCTGAAGAAAGTAAAATCAAGTATTTTACTTATGTAGATTGAGGTACAATTCATTAAATCCTTAATGAGTCCTGGTTATTTATGTGTTAAGAAATATCAATCACTTTGGCCTATTTAATTGTAAACATGTATTCCAGAGTTACAACTATAAGTATAGTAGTGTGCACAAATTACCAAGAGAGTGAAAACTTACTGGAGGTTGAAATGGAGACAGTCTTTTCTCTGAATGAATAACTAGTATATTGTGCAATCTCTATCCTGAAGCGGTACGGCCCTTTGTCACGCGTCTGCACTGGGTCAATCTTCAGCGAGCAGTCTTTATGGCGGAGGTCTCCCAGCAGGTCAGTTCTGTTCTGGTACTGAACCAGGGACTTCCTGGTTTCAGGATGGTATATGACGTGGCTGGTGCTGTCCGTCCAGATCCCTGTGAACTGTGAGACTTCTTTATCTGGAGGAGGGAAGTCAAAAGAGCAGGGGATGACCACGCACGAGCCCACCAGAGCCTTTACTGAGGGGGGCAGGTCCACGGTCCAGGAGGGTGTGCAGAGGCAAACTGAAGCAAGAACACAACAGGTGATTGTCTGGTGTCTGGACCACCTGGCCAGTACTATGTATACATGTGTATATATATACGGCTCATGTGTTTGTACATAGTCTACGGGGTCTATTGTGTGCACCTATAGTGCACTTAAATATAGTAAACTGAAGACATTTATGTAGATTTTTATTTATACATGCCTTTGATTTTATTCTGCTTTAACCCTCATGTTGTGTTAGGAACTGGCACCACTGCCCGTTGCGGGTTAATTTTGACCCAGGTCTGAACTCTAAAAAGAAAGAATTATCAATTGATATAGTTAGTACTACATCTTAACTAACATTACATGCATTCAAAACCATATCATCTAATTTTTATTTGATTTTATGGCCCGCGAGACAGATCTTGTCCCTTATTTTTAAGCTGAAAATTAGGTTTTTTTCAATCATAATTTACTATATGTAAATGAGTAATGGAGGAGATTGTTTTTGTTGTATTCTAAAAGACACATATTCAAATGACAAAAACTTCCCAAGAGACATTCTATGGGACACAAAGTGGTCTCTGAAAATGGCAGCTAAGACACCCCCCTTTTTGTTTTCCCGTATTTCAGATTCAAATTTGAAATTTGGTGGTGATGCTTCTATTAGGTCCGTGTACTTTTGCGTTCAATACATTTTCTATTTTTGAAGGGAAATGGAAAATCGAAAAAAGGCTATTTTGCATTTTCAGGCACACAGCAATATACAAAAATTACCATTTTTTTTTTTTTTCATTGCTTATAAGACATATGTATTATAATAACCGGATTTGGCAACTAGAAAATGCAATAATTGACCTTTTTTTATTATGTATTTAATACATTTCGGCCTCAATCGATTACCCGGAAGTGAAACAAGTTTGTTTACTCGCACGAGATTAGAATTACCTCTGGACCCCTGATAATTTGTGTGGCGGAGGGCGTCTGAGATTTTGCAGTGCATTCGCACGGGATAAGCAATATCTGTAAAATACTATTTTCTCTGACATCTCACATAACGGCCGCACGTGCACGGGTCTACCCACTTCACCCAGTTCAGAGAGTCACGTCTGACCACAGCAGCCACAGAGACATGAGGACAAACATTTTACTGCTCTACAGTTCTCTGGCCCATACTGTCTGTAATGTTTAATAATAGTTTGTATAGACTACTCGTGAACCACATACTCTGCTAACGGCTGCATCAACCATAGACTGTATATATATTCAGCACGTCTGTACTGTATTACCACAGAGTGCAAAGTAAACGTACAAACCAGTGGGGGAGGGTCCCAGCTCAAAAGTGGCCAAAATGACGTGCGCTGACATGCTTCCAATACCACCCCGGGCCGATGGGGGTGGACCCAGAAGTAGAATTAGCCAATGCTAACATGTAGCATTGGCAGACCTCTCAAAAACGTCTTTACAGGATGGACCAAAAGTTGGCTCTTGGCCCAAAGCTCCGTTCCACATGTGTGTCAATGCTGAGGGGGGTGGATTTTTTTGGACCAGTCTAGTTTACTTGCTGTGAATTTTTTAAGTCTCTCGTTCAAATGAATGGAGTTGCGCCGGCTGACGCATGCGCAGATGTGTTTTTTCACGATTTTCTTGTGGGCGGGACCACTCGCGTCCATTTTGGATAGCTCCAGTAGAGCACATTTTTTGGCCCATTAGTTAGAACGGCGGAGATAGGCGTGACTCTGTCCGTTAATATATACAGTCTATGGTACAAACACAACCCATCAGTCTGATCATTTAGTGTCCGTGAACACATTACACTGTCCTCTACACTTCTCCAATAGACCTCACAGAGACAGCAGCAGCCGCGATCCGCGACTCCTCTGCTCATTGACAAAAACAACGCAGAAAGTAAAGAGAAAGGGACCATAGTGATCACAATCACTGACATGCAGATTCACACAGGATAAGTATTATTACAGGATGTCTGTGGACAAATACAGGAGGTCATTTGCGTATTAAATTATACTAAATTAGAGCGAATAGGGCTGAAGTAAACATATACTAAAATTCACTGATACATTTGCAGACAAAGGCCGCTTGTCCTGCACAAAGAGGCCTTCACTTTCACATGACCTTCGCTGAGGCGACGGTCAGACGGTACCACTCCTTTGCTCGTTATAATGTTAAATGTTTGACAGGTGTACTATCATTCTTTTGCCCTCCCTTCTTTTACCTTGTCTTCCTGCATAACTCAACCCACCTTACCCCCACTGTGGCATGTCTTGTTCTTTGTTCTAGCTTTTTGCAGGACTATATTACCAAATGTTACCTGTAGATGTGAGCAGACCAGAGAGAGACGACGCAGGCTTTGAGTGTGCGTCTGCAGAGTTTTATTGTATTTGTTTATTCTCATCACCTTTTAAATAAATTGCACAAAGACAAGCTGTTTTCTCTTGGATCCATTCATTGAAGTATTTAAATTTCCACTACAACGCAAAAGTACACGGACCCTATTAAAACTGCATTTCCTGTATTTTGGTCAAGCCAAGTTTCAGCCATGAACATAAGATCAAGATTATAAGAACACATAAAATTATTGATTAAAAAAGAGTTGTTACAAAGAGATCTGACATTTAGCATAGCAAGTTTCAAAGTTTCAGTATCAACAAGATACGTAACAAGAATTCGATTTTCCAGATTAGACTGACTAACTTCAGATGTTTTTCTGTTATGTACTCTTTGTGTTATCACTAAGGGAATGGCACAGGTGGCTTCATGACAGGGCCCCAGCCAGGTCTTTTCTCTACCTAGACTGCCAGTGGCTGCGAAGCAGAGACCCTGTGCATCCTAGTGTTTAGTGATAAGAGGAGAAGGGGAAAGCGGGGGAGGAGGATGGAGAGGTGGGTGGTTCTTGGGTGTTGGAGGTGGATGGGTGTTAGGGGAGGGGCAGGAGTTTGGAGATGGACGAGGGGGGAGTGGAGGTGGAGGGGTTCTTGGTGATGGGTTAGGGGGCAGGTTGGCTAAAAGAGGGGGGTTGGAATGGTTTTGGCGTTAGGGGAGGGACCGGTGGATTTTGTGGGTGAATTTGAGTTAGAATTTGAGGGACGGGTGGATTTTGTGGGAGAATTTGAGTTGGACGCCCTAGGTGGCTTTGGAGGTACGTATGGGGAGTAGTTATGAATGTTAGATAGGACTCTTGATCTGGCTACAGTGGGTGTGAGAGGAATAGTCTTCATCGCCGATCTTATGCCTGCAGAGTGCTCCGGTAATTCCAATAGTGATGGAAAACACAGGGAAAGGTCGTCATCATTTTCCTTAGATGGAGTGGATGTGGCGGGGGGGACCCAAACCGGGTTCATGGAAGGTGATGAGGGAGTCTTTGGTGGAGACGGAGGTGGTTGAGAGGCCCCCAGTGCAGGCCTGTCTGTAGCCTGGAGCAATGGGGGGGGGGGGGGCTTCACGGGAGCTGTAGGTGGGGAAGGTGCTGCTGAAGATGATGCAGCAGCCACAGTTGGTGCCGGTGGCGCTGATGCTGAAGGCGCTGATGACGCTGTGGCAGCCCCTGCTGCTGCTGGTGCTGTACCCGCTGCTGCTGATGATGCTGGTGGACGTGTTGAGTTCTTTTGAGACGGTGGAGGTGCCGAGACCTCTGGGTTTCGTGGAGAGGGTTGTGCCCTTTGCTTCTTCCTCTCTTTCAACAGCTGCATGCGCTGCGCAGACTCAGGTCTTAGGGCAGATGCAAAGTTATCTATCAACACTTTTACTCCGTATTTGTTCAGATGTGGGCCTTTCCCTTCAAAAAGCTCGAGCCTATTCCAGAACAGATTAAAGTTTTCAATGAATCCAAGACCTCTGCGTGAAAACTCATTGTGTAGAAATGTATTTAACTGGTACAGACGGCTAAACTTCTATTTTTCCATCTGCATTTGGAAGGGGTCCACTGATTAACACGTGTAACACGTGCATTTTTTTAAGGTCATCCAGCAGCAGAGTAATATCTCTTCTCAACTTCGGCTTTCAGAAAACACTTTTGGCACCAGAGCTCTTATCTCAGACACTTTGGCCGAGTGCACAGAATAAGTGTGTACAAAGTTCAAATATACATTCCGAATGGCAGAATCTCCAAGCAGCAAACACTGTGGCCTTGACTGAGAGGCTGAATCTGCCTGCAGCTTTGCTTCTTCAAACAGAGCAGTATAACGATTTGAAGTCTTCAAAACATTTCGTGGCCGAATTCCACTCCCATTGTCATTCTTAGCTTTGTCAACTTTGGGTTTAGCGCCGCATTTATTCCAATAGTTCTCTTTGTTGATTTTGGGATAAGTAATTAGGTCATCATAACATTTCCAGTCTGTCCATTCATCCCATTTTCACACATTGGAAGAGTCGGGTTAAGTCCCATTTCTGTTTCCAAAATATCCATCCGTTTTTGACGAGATTTGAGCTGATTTTCCAGAGGTCAGCAGGAGTGTGTAGATGTTATTACATTCAAATATACATATAAATACTTACACCTTCACAAACATGCATGAGAAAACGCTCGGTCACACACACCTGTCGCATAATTTTTTGCACTCATATGGAAAACCTGCCCCTATCCATACACACATATATTTTACATGCATGCGCACACCTATATGTAGAGACACGACATTCCTTTTATTAATGTCAGGTTTCAATTAGGCTTCCCCACAGGTCATTATACATATCCAACTTATATTGAAGAGCATATGTATGGTATTCTAGCTGAGAGATGTCTTGTAGGAATTGTTTAAACATGCTAAATGTTAAGGGCATATCTTTGTTCCAATTGAATAAAATGCATTTCTCAGCTACGTATAATATTATGTCCATTTGATTGAACATTAGTGGTTCGTTATCCTCAACTCCAAAGAGACATCTCACAGGAGAAACCAAAGGTCTTTTGGTAACTTCTGCAGTAAAGTCTTGAATACAATTCCAGAATGTCTTTAGTCGTTTGCATTCCCAAAACATGTGGTAAAGCAATTTTTAGTTTTAGTTTTATACCGAAGACACTTGAAAAACTGAAAGACTAGGGTACATTTAGCTCATTCTTAGTGGTGTTAAATACACCCTGTGTAGAAATTTGGTCCAGTATTCTATTGCTTGAACTTTTTATATGAATACTATTGAAAATATTGTTCCTTTTGTTTTCGTTGAGTTCTTTGCCCAAGTCTTTCTGCCATACATTTTTTAGTGAGGTTAGATATGACTCTTCATGATAAGTTAGAAGTTTGTATATTTTTTTAATTACTCCTTTCTCTGGCTTAACATTTACTATCAAATTCTCCAATTCTGACACCTCTCCTGCTATTTTGTTTTTGCTCGTCATACTATAAATACAGTGTCAAATTTGTAAGTACTTATAGAAATTGCGTTTAGGTATCTCAAATTCTTCTCTCAGATCAGAGAATTCTTTGAGAATGTCATTTTTAAATAGTTGATTAATTTGTTTTATTCCCAGTATATCCCAATTTGATAGTAAAGATTTCCCTATAGAGCTGGGGAGGTCAGGATTTGAGGAGAGAGGCGCCAGTCTTGAGATAAGCGTTGAGAGACCATAATGCCTTTTCACCTCTTGCCAAGCACACAGGATATTATAAACAACATAATTTTTTGATACAGAAGGGATCATTTTCATATTATTAATGAATGGTATGGAGCTCAGAGAAACTGGAGAGTGAAGTTCTTTTTCAATATGCACCCAGTGGTTGGTATTTTGTTTATCAAACCAACCCAGCATTGCTTTAACTTGACATGACCAATAGTACGCCTGGAGTCTGGAAGGTCCAATCCACCCTTTTCTTTTGATTATGTTAATGTCTTGAGTGCTATTCTAGGTGTTCCTTTTTTCCAAATAAATGTATTTAAATACTTGTTTAGTAGTTTGAAAAAACTTGTATCAATATAGCATGGTAGTGATTGATAGAGTGATAGATAAATAAAGCGAGGAAGAATGTTCATTTTAATAACATTGATTCTGCCAATTAGTGAGATGGGGAGGAGATTCCAGTGTTCCAGTTCATCTTTGATTTTTCTAAGTAGTGGCATATAGTTATTTTCAAAGAGGTCATCGAGTTTAGAGGTTACATTTACTCCCAAATACTTGAAGCCGAGTTGTGTCCAGGAAAAAGGGGATAATTTATCAAATTGTCCAGCGGGGTTTGCGTTAAGTAGTAGAGCATGAGTTTGAGAACACTAGGACCGCCGTGCTCTAAACATACCTTGCACCGCCCCCTGCGGTCAGTTGACCGCTATGTATTTTGCGCTGATACAGCCTTTTGCCAAATTGATTGTTCACTAAACCAGAACTTGATGTTGCAAGGAAATCGTGATCATAATGAAACTGTGTAAATTATTTGTCTAAATATGCTAAGTAATTGTAATTCTAGCCGAAATAAAAGGCTAAGACGACACATTGTGCGTGTACTGATGCGTGTACTGTACTGTTGGTTGGACAGGGTTGAGTGGTCAATAATATTCAAAAGTCTCCTGATATTGTCAGATGCGTATCTGGCTTTAGTGAAGCCTCCCCGCCAGTAGTTTGGTAATTATAGTCTTATAGTCTACTGGTAATAGAGAAATAGGGTTATAAGAGGAGCATTCCGCAGGGTTTTAGGGTCAAATTTGACTGCATAGATTTGTTTGTAAAATGAGCCTTTGTTCTTCAGAAAACTACTTTATTTTCAGAAAACACCCGTTTTTTGAGAGTTTTCTGGAGTTTGGTCTGAAAAGCTCTAATGGTGCTTTCAGACCGGCAAAGCTGAAACGCTGAAGCCCCGCTCACCAGACGCGCATTCTCTAGTTTTCAGACGCAGAGGACTTCACACCAGAACGTCCTGACGCGAGCCGGAAGTACCGGAAGTAGCCGGCCGGCTCTAATGCTAACAGAGCTATGCTAGCGGCTTCTTGTGTACAAATCTTCTCCAATATGCAGCTTTGCAGCGTGTCTTTGAACAGAGACTTTCCACGGGCTTTATATAACAGTAGTATGTGTTCACGGAGGTGCGCCATACGTTTTTTCATATTATTCAACGGTGTTTCCGCATCGGCGAACACACTCGAAGCAGTTGCATAAGGTCACGGGAGCATGACAACGCATATTTTCACAAGCACAGAGTCCCCCATTGTCAACCCTGGTTTGAGTTCTGGTGAAGCCTGGTGTGGGTCCTGTTTTGGCTGTTTACGAGTATTTTCAGTCTGCTCGCTCAGTCCGCTAATGTCCCCGTGACCACTTTGCGGCTCTCTGATTGGTTCTCGCACGAACGTCCCTAGGAAAGGATGAGCAGAATCCATCTCCTGTGGGCGTCGATTTTTCGCTCCTGCTCCTCCCCTTTGACTTTCCCGCCAAGTCTGTGCGTGTCTACTGAACAGTCCGTTCGTGCGTGCCGAGAGGTCCGTGCGTTGCGACGGTCGAACGCGCGTCACCATAGACTTTGCATTGAAACCTGACGCAACGCATGATCCGGTCTGAAAGCACCATAATGCAGTCTTTTTGTTTTGGATCTGTGATCTGTGCAAATCGAGTGGGTCCAGGGGTCATTATTATGATGTTTGCTGATGTTACTCTTCCTTCATTTTCATTCGGGTTTGAGACAAAACCTTCCCATTCTTTGAAACAAAGTCCTGTTCTACTCCTTCAGTCACTTCTTCATCTGAATCTGATGTTTCTTCATCTTGATGTGGATCATCCACAAAATCATCCTTGGATACATTGCCCTCTAAATTAGCATGATCTGCTAAATTGCTGCTGCTTCTCAGCTTCTGGTTCTGGGTTCAAATCCATGTGCCTTTCTGAGTGGAGTTTGCATGTTCTCCCTGTGTATGCATAGGTTTCTCCAGGTGCTCCGATTTCCCCTACCACTAAAAACATGCACAATAGGTAAAGTCCTTCAGTTCTGGTTCTGATCAAGCCGAGCATCAACATCTGGAGACCGGTCGAAGGACACTGTACTACAGCAACCACTGCTGATAACAGAGCCCCTAGAAGCACTTGCAGGATTGGTCAAATGCAGAGGTCAAATTTTCCTACGGGACAATAATGCGCACATTCGTCTCCTCCAAAGACTCTTCCTCCGTGAGGATGTGATCAAGAACCTCATGGGCGGTGTATCGTAAAGGTGCATTTTATTTATCTCCAAAGGGCAATTGCTCCTCTGCATTTGACCCATCTTGATGCTACTAGGGCCTCTGTCAGGAGCAGTAGTCGCTGTAGTACCAACTCCAGATGTTGATGCTCGGCTTGGTCAGAACCAGAGGTGGAGGATTTTATCTATTGCGCATGTTTTTAGTGGTAGGGGAAACTGGAACTCCGGAGGAAACCTACACAGGCACAAGGAGAAAAAACTACACTCAAAAACGCCCTGCTCAGTCCGGGATTTGAATCCAGGATCTTCTTGATGAGACGTAAAGGGGTTGTCTGTGTATGTGTGCGCAAAAACAGTGTCTAGTCAGGTCAAGTTAATTTGAGTACAACATTTATTTTTTTCCTTCAAAAAGTGTACATTCTTAGTGTTAGAGTTCTCACACGCGTGGGTCACATACAGTTTTGTGAGAAAAGATTTGTTCTCGTGGAGAAAGGGGATGAAGGTGGGGTCACACCTGTATTGTACTCGAGCAAATGTTTATTCCTGTGGAGGAGGGGTATGGGGGAGGTCACATACTTTGATGTGAGAAAAGATTTGTTCTCTTGGAGGAAGGAGGTGGGATCAGATAATGTATGAAATTTGTATAGTTTTACCTGTTTAGTGTATTTTTACCTTGCCGGGTCAAAAATGACCCTAACACCAAAGACGTAACTTTTCTGCCAATACTTTCAGAAATGTCAAAATCATAAAATATAGTTTTGCTTTGTCTATATACGTGTTGTGGAGGATATCATAAAGCCTCGTTCTAATAAAATCAACTACATGGTAGTTATTACATATTTTAACCTTGAACCAGGTCGCTGGAAACCCTAACGCAACACAAGGGTAAACTTGTTTGCACCGAGAGCCAAAGACTTTCTGTTACTCACATGGCAATGAGAGGATTCTGATTCTGAAATATATTGTCCTTTCACATTAATCTTGTTACTCAAAGGATTTAAAGTTGAATTACTTTGCAATGTGAGTCATGTTACAGTGTTTATCATTTTGATGACAACAGTCCAACAAAATCTACTTTTTAAAATCTCCATATTGTCCAAAAGTTCATTTTCAAGTTTCATTATTTGAGAGTAAAACATACCATTAAAAGATTGAGTCAGCAGCAGCAGCAGCGTGGCCCCGGAGCCTCTCATCGTGTGGTTGAGCAGTACTATGTTCCCACCTCTGTGTGCACTTCTCTGTAGCTGTGGTGTGACAGGTCAAGTTTCCATTCTGCTTTTATTAGAACTCCTCTTTTATCTCCACAGATGAGTCTTTTGACAACAATGTTTTTTCCAAATGCATTGTTCATATTTACACTGAACTGAAGTTGTGTATGGAGCTTATTTATAAGGCCCGTAAAACACCTTTAAGTGTGCTTTTTTATATACTTGCGTTTTGTATTAGCAAACCATTTCGGACATGACACGAACATAGCTCTGTAGATAATGTATGTGTATATCTGATGGGGATGAAGTCAGTGCCTCACCCATAACCAACCTCACCGCATGTCACTGATTGCTGTTGTTTGCAGTCGATAAGTTGGAAATAAAAACCACCTTCATGTGAATGTAAAGAATATTGACAAAACGAATGTATGGACAGTACTTCTGTTTTAAGAGGAATCAAACTGTGCTGAGTAGTATTCATCCAAACAAGCTAATCTTCTGGGTAAAATCATTCTGAATAACCCAGAGAAAATGTGTCCATGGCGGTCATAACACAGCTCCTCTGCTCCAGGGAGTCCTCTGTTACAGGTGTTTATACAGCTTTTACTACTTTCTTCTGTGTGGACTATAGTGACCAAATGATTACATACATTTCATGAATAAAACCCATTAGGAACAGTTTGGGTCTTTGAATTCTCCCAGAGCTGTGGTCTGAAATAAAATATGTTTGAACACTGCTCAGAACCACTTGCGTTTGAGACATATACTTATATTTACACATTTGTACGTGCCCATTTATTTCAACAGTTAATCTGACCTTGTGTTTCTCCACAGTGAAAGAGCGAGTTTCATATATCACATATAAGTGCATAGATGCAGGCTGATATTTTGTATGTCACTTATGGATTTCGTTCAATACACTTTTTTTTAAACGTCGTTTATATATTGTAATTTACATTACTTTGTATTTATTTAATGCAAAAACAAAGTATTTGTCAAGGGAAAAAGTCCAGTTGTTTAAGAAGCTGCAATGATTACATTTTTCCACTAGATGTCCATGTTTCTGCTCAGACTGACAGTGTCGCTTCCAAACCATAGTTCCAAACAGTTGCGATACGAAAAGCTTAGCCTTTGAAGTAGTCAGGACAGAGAGAAAAAGGAACCCCTGACGTATTGGGGTCCCTGTCCTTTGAAGTAGTCAGGACAGAGAGAAAAAGGAACCCCTGAAGTATCGGGGTCCCTGCCTTTGGAGTAGCCGGGGCAGAGAATAGAATATACGAAAAAATTAGCAGTATTTTTAATTTATTTTTTACTTCCAGAACCTTTTATAGCAACTCCATTGACAATATTAATGATCAAATAAATGAAATAATAAAATAAATCAAATAGATTTCCTCCTATCCGTCTGTGTCCACTGTATCATATATGTCTGGGGTTTGGCCGTAGTGTAGACAGTCTTTTTTGAACCAGCAGGTGGCAGCAGAGCTCTGTGGGTGTCTTGGTCAAAGATCACTGCCTGAGTACCGTGAGCAGGAGAGTCTCCCTAACCCTAACCCTAGCCCTCACCCATGGAGGATTACAGCCAGGAACAGGCATCATTTAAGCAGTAAATGTGTCTCCAGAGCTGACAGAGACCATGTGGAGTTTCAGAGCAGCAGACCACCCCCAAAAAAGCCACAGAAAAGGGGACTATTGCTAATTCGGTCAATGAGCCCGTCACAGCGCCCGCTGGACTAAACAGAATGACAATGAGGTTTGGGTGCTTCTAGATATGACCGTTCTAGATCCCCTGACATTTACATAGTGTAAATACATTTCTCCAGAGGCCTGCGGTTTATTTTAAGATCAACGCACAATAAAGATGAAGCTCAAAGGGAGACATTTTACCAGTTCATAACACAAGAGCTAATCTACACCTGTAGTACCTGGGTAGACTGGTGATATTAGCCAAATGTATAAAACATTAAACTAGGATTGCCATAATCATACTATAAAAATAGCAAAAAACGGAAACACAAGAGAAAGCAGAGTTTCCAAAAAAAAAAAAATATATATATATATATATATATATATATATATACATATATATATTCGGGGTCACTGCCCCGAGTGATCGGTGCACTCGGGGCAGTGACCCTGAAGCTAGAAGAGTGGTTACAGCGGACCTCCGGAACAACCTCGGACATCTCGGTCCAGAAATGTGCAGTGCTAGGAACAGCAAAGATACTGCGCAAAACCCTCAAGCTCCCAGGCCTCTGGTAGAGGACCCGAGCTTAGAGAGGGATAACCGCCCGCGGAGGGCCAAAGGTGAGTGGACAATTTTATATATATATTTGAAACTAAAACGTTGTGTTTTCTGACAATAGGACAGTGATAGAATTGGCGAGTGGTTTGTCTTCAGTGCTTTCCCCTGAACAAGATGCAAAGTCAGGCCTCTCTCTCTCCCGTTTCTGGGTCTGTCTGTGGCCTGTGGCTTCCAGGAACGTTGCACGCAGGTAAAGGTACCCTTTTTTGATCAAATACTTCTTAATTTAATTCATGTATAAACCACTTTTCTTACTTGTGAAAGTGACTTTCTCAAAAACAACCTAATATGAAATAGCATTCTTCAGAGTAAAGCAACACCTTTACTTTCATTTCTACAACACACTTTCTTCTTCTGCAACACTCTTTCTCCTGCTCACTACACACTGTGTCATACATAAGACACTTTGTTCATAAATGCAATCCTGTGTTATCATTGGGAAAACTATTCAAAATACCACACACATTGTGTGATAGAAAACACTGAGACACACACTTGAAAACACTGACTTACAAAACACGACACACATCAGCCACACATAAACAGGCCTCAGTTTATTCATTTTCAGAACTTTGCGAGTCTGGAGGAAGAGCAAGAAGTAGAGGAAGAGGAAGACAAGGAGTCGAAGAGGACAAATACAGTAAAACAAAATTGTACAAAACAATATTTCTGATGACATTAGAGAAACTTTAGTGGATCATGTGATCAATCATGGCCTCACAATGAGGGAAGCAGAGTCCAGCCACAGCTGCATTATAAGGACCTTCAGAGGGAAACATGTTCTGAGACTCTCTACTGCAGGCAGTATTCACAGTACTGTACTGTATCACACTGTAACTCTACTGCAGACTGTACCAACAGTATTTACTGCACTGTATCACATGTACTGTTTTGCAAGTTGGCTATTGCTCATTTTGAAAAAAATGTAGTTTTGTGAAACATACGAGACGGTAAAGTACATAAAACTAAGATGTCACAGTACTGTACACATTTTACAATATTGTAAAAATCTAAACCTATATGTGGTGCGAGGGGCTGGGATATACTGCTGGAAGTTACTGGGACTTGTGGATAATATGAACTACTTGGTTGCCAACAACGTGTTAGTATTAGATAGCAATATGGCCTACGTGCAGGACTGTACAAGGACTCTACAAGGACTCCATGTTATGACTATGATTTGACTGTCTCTGTGTGACACGTATGTCTTTCGATGTGTGACGTGACAATGACTATATAAACTGTGTACTGCCTTTATTCTGTCTGAAAGAAAGAAACAAAGTAAACCAGTGGAACTTGAGAGAAACTTAAATAAACTTCCAGAGTTTGGCGCACCACGATCCGTCTCTGTCTGCTAAATCCCTGACCGATTTGGTGGAGAATGTGCGGCTCAGTGTGCGCCATTCTCTGGATTGTTTTGAGGGAGTTTGCTTTGTTTCTTTTCCTCGGCGTGAGAGATCGGCATGCTGTGTCTGGGAACGGGGATTCCAGCAGACTGGAAGAGCTGTTCCTGGATGCTTCTTGTCGCTTCTGTCACTTTTGTTTTTTAAATTGAATTTTTCAACGGGGAAAAGATGTTGGTCGACTTCTCGAACAGTCCGGACAAAGAAAATAAGGTAAGCAGACACCTTTTTTAATATGTAAAGTCTGCATAATTGGATACTAGCTAAATTTTGAGCTGTCCCGGAGGTCTGCCCAACTCTCTCTAAATCAAATTTTCTTTGTTGTGTCTTTGTCACGTCTTTGTCATGTCTTATGTTGTAGAAAACAGGTTAGCTGTGTGGGTAACCAGTCCCTATAGGAAAAAGGAACCCCTGACGTATCGGGGTCCCTGTCCTTTGAAGTAGTCAGGACAGAGAGAAAAAGGAACCCCTGACGTATCGGGGTCCCTGTCCTTTGAAGTAGTCAGGACAGAGAGAAAAAGGAACCCCTGAAGTATCGGGGTCCCTGCCTTTGGAGTAGCCGGGGCAGAGAATAGAGAATAGAAAATAGTTAGTGAAACCATGGTGTAAAAATTAAAAGTACTGTAATAATAAAAAGGGAAACGTTAAACACTAGTGCCTTTTGTTACAAGTGTGGAAAGTGATCACTTCTAGACTTGGATGACAAAAGTTTAAAGAACAACAAGTTATATTCGCTTAACAAAGTAATCTTGAAAGTTATTCTTCTTTCTGTTTTTTGCATTTTTGCTAAAACACTACTTTCTGTCTGTGTGTGTGCGTCGCACTATCTTGCTGCCGTTGTCAGGGAAACGGGCCCCTCCTTTGCTGCTCTGGCTCTGAATCAGAGCAAAGCTACTGCTTTAGGATTTCTGGCTTTTCATAGTTGTTATTCCGTTAAATTTGCTAAATTTGCAATTGAACATTGTGTTATGACACAGTTAAACGTTTTTAAACACCATTAGTGAATAAGTTTTGAATATTAGTATGTTTTTGAAACCCAAATATTAGTGCTAAAGCTGTGCAATTCTTTTTAGACCTAACATATTTCTAGATTCCATTCTTTTAAATCTGCTGCTTATTTCTTAACTTTTTGTGAGTTGTGTTTGTTTTTATGTTTTTATTTTAGTTACAAAAGCCGTTTTTCAAACATTTAAATTAGAATCTGTGTTAAAAGTGATTATTGATTATAGACTTTGTCTAAAAAAGAAAGAGACAGTCACATCATAGTCATAACATGG